ATCATAGTTGTGTTAGTATTTGGCGGCATTCACTAATTGATGCATGCGAAACAATCTCCCGGCGCTTTATTCAGATCTGTTCCAATTCCAACTCTCGCATATACATGCATTTAACTTGAAGGCATTCAACAAACACGATTGTTTTCATGTCGAAAAGCGGAAATGACGGCAATCCTAGGCATTTGCGCTTCCGAGCATAAAAGACAGTAACCGGAGAGATCCTCAAAATAAAGCAGAACCTTGGAATCTGTGTCGAGGGTCATTAGATTGACGGTAATCTTGATCGGTGCGCATGTTGATTGATTATAAAATAAACTTTTTGCGGGTGTACATATTTAATTGTAGAGATTTTTCAATGTGGAGCAGTTTCAATCTACAAATGGTCTCGTATCTATTAGCTGAGGCATTTCTTTAGCCAGCAAATGTGTTATTTGAAACGCACCTCTGACGTGTTGGTATGCCGAAATAGAAATGATTAAAATATTAGAGCGACTTCTCGGTGAAACGGCAGTAAATCGTCTCCTATTCTGGAGATGACGTGAATCGTGCATGATCAGAAATGACGCACGGAGATGGTTGGCTCAAATGAATACAATTACCAACAGGTAACGATGTTGTTTATAAGATACGCGAATACGATCTGACCTATGAAAATTCCATACGTTGAAATTCGACGCAAAATATGCAACATCTAATTGCGTCTTTTCTAAGTTTGCTCGTCTGTAATCATAGTACAGTGGTAAGCAGTTAGCACCGTTTGATTGCGTGAGTCGATTCTTAAAAGCCAGCTAGATGCAATCAAATCTATAAAGATAGACTACATGAACCAACACAGTTTTGCCGCAAGTTGACTTGCTGCTACGTGATCCAAAGGCTCGTCGAACGATAGGAGTTGGGCATAAATTATGCGCGCAATTTCCTAGCTAGCGCCTAGAATGAAGCCGCTTTATATATGGAAAAAGCCATAGATATTTCAGCTTCGAAGGCTTTTGGATAATTAGTAGAAATGCTGGAGCACTGTATGTAATGAATTATAATGGTAATCGACGTTCATGACAACCGGGTCGTGTTTATAAATTGATATCACGGACGACATCGGTGGAAGAACCAATAATTAAAAAAACTGCGTGTGTTAAACCCGACAGACATAGGCCGTCATATAGAAGGCTATGGTAACCAATGTAACGTTGAGTATAGCAATAATATATGGCCAGATGAAACCTATTATTATTCTGCGAGAAACTCTAGTTTAACCACGAGCGTGAATGACTCGCTATTTCCGCATGTTGAAGAATCCTGGTGAATTCAGCTATCTATCAGGTTAGCGCAAATTCTCTCCTGAATTGAATAAGCGATCATCTAGTATCGCATTCACTTGGCCTGTTACCGACAGAGGCTTCATAGTAGAGCAAGCATTTATAGCTCTCTAAAGGCAAGATTATGCACTGTATCCGGGAAATCAAGTAACAACTTCAAACGGCTACCCCGATTGTCGGAGACTAATACATAAATATAGAAGGAAGCTCGCTTTTTAAGAAGCAAAATGAAACTATGCAAAGGTTGACAAAGTCCACGTTTTCCTCAAGTATGTTGTACCAAAACCACTTCCTTTCGTTTTAATCCCAAGTTGCATATCAATATAATATTGCAGCTACTTATTTAAATAACTATTAATAAACAAAATTAAATGGCGGATACGCGATTTCTATGGTTAATTTAGTTGAATTAATGAAACATAGCTTAACATCACTGAACGTGAAACAAATTTAAACGATATTTAAAATGTAAGCTAATAACTAATACGGTGTATATGATGGAAAATTCCTTTTCACGTTATCAGCACTTGAATATTTTCGAAGCGATGAATGCTATCACAACAAATGAAACATTCATTTCGTTTATTGCTTTGTGTTTGAAATGGTGAAACATTTTTGCTTTTATTGAAAGATGGCAGCACGCTACGGGCATTCATTTATCTGTCAATTTGACCTTGGTTAATTTATACATTGAGAACTGTACTGTTGGCAGGGGTTGCTGTATTGGGTTAACTTAAGACTTTGCTTGATAAGAAAACTATGGTTATCTGTTAACCCATTTGAAACAAAATGAAGAATTTTACTCGAAGAAGTCATAAAGTAAGTATATATGAATGTGGGATCATGATATATAAGTTGAAGTATGTTTTTCAGACTAATAACATTGTGTTTGATAGTAGCTCATAGTTTTATGTTGAAATGGGAAAACTTATTGATTTTCATGTAGGTACTCACTGTAAATAGAATGTTCTACATATTGTCTATCATATATGATTGTTGTATTTTATAGATATTTACTTATAATGTGTTAAACGTAATTTTACAATTTGAGGTTGTTCTTACATGATCATTATTCATTTTAGGGAGTATGGGATTAAAAACCTTTTACTTCGTTACATTTACATTCATTTTGTAGTATCACATATTTTGAGCATACTTCTTTTATTGTATTTCTTGACAATATCTATATGTTCAAAGATGTGAAAGTTTACCATTTTATATTATCTGTATTCCTCATATATAATACATATACAGTAAAACCTGTCTAATCCAAATGCCTCTTGGACCAGCCAAAAGTGTCCAGATTAGCAGGTGTTCACATTTTAAAGTTTTATAAACAATGTCAATTTGAGAAAGTAAAGGGACTAAGGGTTTTTAGATTTCAGAGGTGTTCGGATATACAGGTTTCACTGTACTATAAGTTATTGAATGATTTGAAGTGCAATACAGGATATATTCTGCTCGAGAAATTCCGTATTGGAACGAGACGAAGTCGAGTGCCAATACAGAATATCGAGACAGAATATATCCTGTATTGCACTTCAAATCATTCAATAACGTTTTTATCGTGTGATCCTCTGTATTGCTACTGAGATTGTCCCCTCCGTACCAATATTTTCTGTATTGCGACGGAGATGATCAACGGGGACAATCTCAGTAGCAATACAGATTGGTACAGCACAAGAACTGACCAATCAGAGGGCTTCATTTTACAGATCATACGATAAATGTATGTACTGACATTTTCTACTTTGAGGTTGCTAGTCTATTGTTTGGGGGGCAAATTGATACAACCTAATTGCCATGCATTACATCAGATGATTTAACATTTACCACATTTACCACAAAAACAAATATTTTAGAAATAACTGTTTGGGAAATGGAAAAACATTTATAGTTTGGAATGAGCTAAGAGTGAACCACTTAGTTTTAAAACCCAAGTACCAAATAATTTTATGATAAAAAAGAAATATTACTATGTAAATCACAGATAAATGATCTAAATATCACAGAACATTTTAAAAGTTAACATTTTATAATCACATTCCCAGTATGTTCATTTATTATAATACCAGGAAAAACATGAAATCACTTCTACATCAAATGTATTAATAAAATGTCAGGTCGAGATAACTTTTACTTTACATGTAGGTTGTTTGAGCCTTTAGTATTTTTTTGATATATGGTTTTATCTTTTAAATACTCAATGAGCATAATTTGAACACAACAAATATATTTCGCAGTATATCTTATCTAGCAAACATCTAAGAAATGTTCATAAAAAACTGTTCATAAAAAAATAAAATTTGGTATGAAGTAAAATATTTACAGGAATGGTAACAAGGAAGTATAATATAGTCTTACATGGGGCTGGTAAAGAGAGAGTGGAGTCCAGTCACCCATTGAAGTATTATTCAAAATATCTGTCAGACTTCATGTTCCATGTAGTTTCGATTTGTCGTTTATTTTCTTTATTACATTCAGCATTTACATTTATGTTTTTTCTTTTACACTTGTATGATTCATCCTTTGTATTATAGACAAATTCAGAATCAATTTCTAGGTCAAAGTGTATCTTATAATTCACGATTGTCATAAAGTTTACTTGGCATAGATTCATTTACAAGCTTTACTATTAGCATATATATAAAAGAAGGCTTGTTTTCAAAGTTTTGTGATGGTACTAATTGCAGGTTGTCATAATTATGATTTTCTTTTGGCGAACTATTTCTTTCATTGGGTCAGAGTTCTTTTTTCATCATTATTGAATGTTGACATCATTACTGAATGTTGGCATAATTATTACTGAATGTAGACATCATTTCTGAATGTTGACATCATTACTGAATGTTGACATCATTCTTGAATGTTGACATCATTACTGAATGTTGACACCATTACTGAATGTTGACACCATTACTGAATGTTGACATCATTACTGAATGTTGACATCATTACTGAATGTTGACATCATTACTGAATGTTGACATCATTACTGAATGTTGACATCATTACTGAATGTTGATATCATTACTGAATGTTTACATCATTCTTGAATGTTGACATCATTACTGAATGTTGACATCACTACTGAATGTTGACACCATTACTGAATGTTGACATCATTACTGAATGTTGACATCATTACTGAATATTGTACAAACAAGTTGATGGAAACATAAATAACAGCATAAATATATAAATTAGAGCTGGCCACATTTAATGCATGATGTATGTACCTCCTTACCAGCCCCTTACAGTACTTGTCCTGGCACTTGAGTATAAACTACCTTTAGGTTTTTTACCTTACATTACTTTTACAAGACTTATTGTAGAGTAAATCATTATATTTAGATAACATTTGCTCATTTGTTTACATGTTCTATTTATTTATATTTTGTTCTTGATCGAGTCCATGTTCTAGGTACATTTACATTTGTATATATATCTTTATTGACTCTTAATCATGCCAGCGATTTCATATGAGTTACTTAAGAAGTTTGACATTTGTTTGAACAACATATAAAATTTATATTAAGACATCAAACACATAGAAAATATGACATGTGCATTGATTGTAAACTTAAAGGACTCGACATTTATCACATTATCTATAATGAACGGTTAAAAGCATGAAATATAAAGATACTATTTATAATTATGAACAATACATGTACATTGCAGAGGATCAAGAAGACACATGGCCCAGATTTTGAGAGCTACGATGGTTTAAAGTCTGACGCAAGGTGTGATTATTGTCTACTAACCTCAGTGAATCGTAATGGAGAGCCAGAAGATCTGCTTATATGCAAGGACTGCAGTGCAAAAGGTATGAAAGTATATTAACAATTACACATGTACTCTAAAATATACATTAAAGCATGTCTTTAATAGAAAACTTTTGGGACTGTCTAAAATGTTCATATAGAGAGGTTGCGTCAATAAGACATTCAAAAACTGAAAAAGTTTTCATTTGTGAGAGGTGTTTACTGAAGAGGGATATTCAGATGAGACATGTGTTCTTTCGTGACGTTTTCATGAGAGTGAGAGTTGCTTACTTAAAAGAGATGTTCACTTACACATGGTATTCACTTGAGAAAGGAGTTCTTTACTCAAAAGACTTGTTCACTTTGAAGAGGCGTTCATTTGAGAGAGAGGTGTTCAATTAAAAGAGGTGTTTACTCAAGAGATGGATTTGTTTGAGAGGCTTTCAATTGAGAGGGTATTCACTCGAGAAATGTGTTCATTTGAGAGAGAAGTGCTCAATGAAGAGAGGTGTGCATGCACTCAAGATGGACATTTATATGAGAGAGAGGTGTTTACTCAATAGAGGTGTTTATTCTGGAGAGGTGTTCATTTAATAGCCAGGCATTAACTAGAGAGGTGTCCATACAATAAAGAGGTGTTAATTCAATAGAGAGGTGTTCACTTGAGAGGTTTTCATTCAATAGAGAGGTGTTTATTCAATAGAGGTGTCTACTCGGGAGAGGTGTCTACTCGGGAGAGGTGTTTATTCAATAGAAAGGCGTTTACTCAATAGAGGCATTTATTCTGAAGATGTGTTCATTTGAGAGGTGTCCATTCAATAGAGAGGCATTTACTCAATAACGGTGTCTACTCCAGAAAGGTGTACATTAAGTAGCAAGGTGTTCAATTGAGAGTTGTCCATTCAATAGAGAGGTGTTTATTCAATAGAGGTGTCTACTCGGGAGAGGTGTTTATTCAATAGAAAGGTGTTTACTCAATAGAGGCATTTGTTCTGAAGATGTGTTCATTCAATACAGAGGTGTTCATTTGAGAGGTGTCCATTCAATAGAGAGGTATTCATTTGAGAGGCTTTCATTCAATAGAGAGGTATTTACTCAATACAGAGGTGTTCATTTGAGAGGTGTCCATTCAATAGAGAGGTATTCATTTGAGAGGCTTTCATTCAATAGAGAGGTATTTACTCAATAAAGGTGTCTACTCCAGAAAGGTGTTCATTAAGTAGCAAGGTGTTCAATTGAGAGTTGTCCATTCAATAGAGAGGTTTCCACTTGAATGGTGTCCTTCAATAGGGAGGTGCCATGCCCAGACCTGTATTTTTGTATCCTAACCTATCCTTTGTACCCCAATTTTTGGAATTTGAACCTAAAAATCAACACTTAATGAAATTATACTGTCCAGTTCAATATTTATTTTGTCATAAAATCAACAAATGAACATCTTTGAGAGTTGGAATCTGGCAGTTGGTATATAAATTGGTACACATAAACATTCCTAACTTTTAAATATCGTAAAAATTATTTTCAGCACATCCATCTTGCATGCAGTACTCTGACTTGCTGTCCAGGAGAGCGAGGAACTCCCCCTGGCAATGCATTGACTGTAAGACATGCTATCTCTGCCAAGACTCGGGAGATGCTGTAAGTGTAAGTTTATGTGCTTCGGCACGGGTGGCAGTATTAGACCCATTTCTTATTCTTATACAGAGCATGCTTAAGGTCAATATGTAAGATTATTAATATGTTCATTTTGAAGTTTATTTGATTTTTAAGTTGATAAACCTTTTTATTTGGTTTAATTTACCAAAAATGTCTAAGTTCAATGTAACTGTCACAAATCACCCTGTTGTTTTTGCTGTTATTTGGCGTTTAGAAATGTTATTTTGCGATGCCTATGACAAAGCTGACAGTATAAATTGCAAGAGTTCTCTCGTTTTATTCTACGGTTAAAATGATATTTGTAATGCTAGTAACTAGTAACAAATGTTAACATATAAACTCACAAATCAAACTCACAATGTTATTTTGTGACGCCTGTGACAAAGGTTACCATATAAATTATCATGAATCTCCCTATATTTTGCTGTTATTTTGTAGGATGAAATGTTATTTTGTGACGCCTGTGACAAAGGTTACCATATAAATTATCATGAATCTCCCTATATTTTGCTGTTATTTTGCAATAAGAAATGTTATTGTGTGACGCCTGTGACAAAGGTTACCATATAAATTATCATGAATCTCCCTATATTTTGCTGTTATTTTGTAGGATGAAATGTTATTTTGTGACGCCTGTGACAAAGGTTACCATATAAATTATCATGAATCTCCCTATATTTTGCTGTTATTTTGTAGGATGAAATGTTATTTTGTGACGCCTGTGACAAAGGTTACCATATAAATTATCATGAATCTCCCTATATTTTGCTGTTATTTTGTAGGATGAAATGTTATTTTGTGACACCTGTGACAAAGGTTACCATATAAATTATCATGAATCTCCCTATATTTTGCTGTTATTTTGTAGGATGAAATGTTATTTTGTGACGCCTGTGACAAAGGTTACCATATAAATTATCATGAATCTCCCTATATTTTGCTGTTATTTTGTAGGATGAAATGTTATTTTGTGACGCCTGTGACAAAGGTTACCATATAAATTATCATGAATCTCCCTATATTTTGCTGTTATTTTGTAGGATGAAATGTTATTTTGTGACGCCTGTGACAAAGGTTACCATATAAATTATCATGAATCTCCCTATATTTTGCTGTTATTTTGTAGGATGAAATGTTATTTTGTGATGCCTGTGACAAAGGTTACCATATGAACTGTCATGAACCTCCAGTGAGGGAAAAACCTACAGGTATGTTTTGATTAAGTTGAAATAAATCATCCCATCTGCTTTCAAATATTATAAACTGTATATCATTGTATAAGTCGTACATCATCTAGAGTATACTTTGAAATATAAAAAATACACTGGTACATATGCAGCAAAATGTGCTAATGATTATATGTACATGTAAGTGATAATTTGCAAACAGCCGTAATGTACCTCATGTGTTATTGTATATTCTATACTGGTAAGTACCTGTGTTAATATGAGTATTGAGGTTGCTATGGAAACAGTCTCCAGTAACATCTGTTGATTGATATTTTAATATTGATCTATCTACATGATATTGTACATGATGTTTAAGGATCAATAGTTAAGTACTAAAAATTAATAAACAATACATTCTTCATGATTAAAGGGAGAATATGCCAAACAATGAATGAAAAATAAAAAACATACCCAGAAAAACAAAGCCTTTCATAACTATTTATAATGGATATTAGATATCCATTTTTGCAGTTTTAGAAATAGGCTGGAGAAAGAATTATATTATTCAAGGGAATCCAATTACTGGCAAATACAAAACATCTATTTCATTGCCCCTTTAGTAGTTCACTGCACATATGCATACTATAATAAAAAAACTCTATGTGCATGGCACTGATTTAGAATGTTTCATATATTTTTTGTTATTACTCCAATTAGTCTACAAAGCAGAACCAATCCAAAAAATGAACTGCCTATGAATATAAATTAGACCACTGTGTATCATTCAATATATAGTCTGTAATACGGACTACACTAATTGTATATTGTCTAAGCTGTATAAAGCTGAATAAGGCAGAGAATGCCTGCTCATCTATAGATAAACGTGTAAAGCTTGTAGCATTGTACTGTATTACTCTATGGTATAATACTGAAGGTGTTATGTTCTAGGCAAGTGGGTATGCAGTCAGTGTCTCTTGGATGATGCTGACAGCGCACAGCTCAGTAACTCCCCAGAGAGTGAGATGAACGACTCCTTCAACACAACAGGTAAGCCTACCTTATGTAGCGTTTTTATTATATAATGGAAATACCATGAAGAGCAATATCTGAAACTGAACTCATTATACAGCTGATAATTTCTCATATATTGAGGGATAAATATTTTCTAATGATCAGTGTAATACATATTTATGGTGATCTGAATATTCCAATAAATAGATGATAAATACAGAAATTTTGTCATATATGTATACAAGTACATGTTCATTCAAGGTGACATATGAGTACCTCATTGGGTTAATTAGTTTTGTTATTCATTTAGTTGTCTCTCTGGAGTTCTGATTTATATTCTACACAGCAGGCAGAAAAATGATCCAAGCTAAGCTAGAGTCAAAGCCTGTGTAATAGCCAAGTCTATATTATTATTGATTTTCCTAAAAAGGTGTTTCTAATATTGTTAGTATGCAAGAATCAATCTTAAGCCAAGCATACATTTGCTTATTCAAATAGGGGCTATGGGCCCTACCATTTGATTTCCCCTCCAAAACTAACACAAATAAAAATTGAAAAACCGGGAAGATAACAGATATACATCTTAAAAAAGGTCAAGCTCTTGTCCATCATAAAATTCATGAAAATAATTCTTTTAGGTTTCTGAAAAGAGCAACAGGCGACAGGCTAGACTTGTCGATTTCAAATATAAAAATGATGAACCCTACTATTATCAAATGATCCATTACATCAAGTTCAGAGTATCATCAGATTTAGACATGGCTGACATACACATCTCACCCATGTTTATATATTGATTGTAAAATAATGATAAATGGAGGTCACATTGAGGATCATCAATCATATAAAATATGTTGTTATTAATACCCTGCTTTCATTGGTAATTGTCATTTTCAGAGGAATTTTATTGCAGAAAGATATAAGCCATTTCCTTAATTCTATACCACAATTTTGATTAACGATATTCTTTTTTGTTAATAGATGGAGGCGCTGCATCATTTTTGCCTACACCTGTGGAGTCCCCTGTTAATGGCATGAATGGTGCTGCATCACCAAGGTAATGCAAATAAAATGGTTAGATTTAAGACTGAAGGATCTAGTGCATAAACATTAAGTTTCGTTTTTGAATGTTTCTTTGTTATCTACAGTAGACATTCTCATGATAGATTGTTTCAAGTAATTGGCATTATTGATCATACTAGTAATGATCTGACATGTATATTTCAGTGAGATGATTAGCCCCAAGCCTGTCATTCCTGCTGCCATCAAGGACGAGATACCTGATGCTTCTGATTGGACAATGGATGATGTCGTCGAGTACTTTAAAAAGAAAGGATTTGAAGAGCAGGCTGATATTTTCAAAGAGCAGGTACACTTGGAGTTAACACCATTTTGTGCCAAAAAAAATTTGTGCCAAAAAAGTTGTAAATAATGTTGCTGCTGCAAAAATGTAAAGATATTGAGAACACCATAATATTTTTTGCTCTATTGAAGTGACAACCAAATTCAACTCATTGCTCATTGACCTACAATTCAACCCATTGCTCTTTGACCCACAATTCAACCAATTGCTCTTTGACCTACAATTCAACCCATTGCTCTTTGACCTACAATTCAACCCATTGCTCTTTGACCTACAATTCAACCCATTGCTCTTTGACCTTCAATTCAACTCATTGCTCATTGACCTACAATTCAACCCATTGCTCTTTGACCCACAATTCAACCAATTGCTCTTTGACCTACAATTCAACCCATTGCTCTTTGACCTACAATTCAACCCATTGCTCTTTGACCTACAATTCAACCCATTGCTCTTTGACCTACAATTCAACCCATTGCTCTTTGACCTACAATTCAACCTATTGCTCTTTGACCTTCAATTCAACCCATTGCTCTTTGACCTACAATTCAACCCATTGCTCTTTGACCTACAATTCAACCCATTGCTCTTTGACCTACAATTCAACCCATTGCTCAGTGACCTTCAATTCAACTCATTGCCCTTTGACCTACAAATCAACCCATTGCTCCTTGGCCTTCAATTCAACTCAACTCATTGCCCTTTGACCTACAATTCAACCCATTGCTCTTTGACCTACAATTCAACCCATTGCTCTTTGACCCACAATTCAACCCAATTCAACCCATTGCTTATTGACCTACAATTCAACCCATTACTCTTTGACCCACAATTCAACCCATTGCTCTTTGACCTACAATTCAACCCATTGTTCTTTGACCTACAATGCAACCCATTTCTTCTTTGACCTTGTGATTCATATTTATCCATATATATCGTTGAAGGAATTATAACATAGAAGCAATAATCGTGAAATTAATCTTCTGGTGATAATTTGATAATAACAGCACCGTTAGTATTTTAGTTTACATTCTGTTTCAGGAGATAGATGGAAAATCACTCTTGCTTTTGAAGAGAAATGACGTCCTCACTGGACTTGCGCTAAAGCTTGGACCAGCTTTGAAGATTTTCAAACATGTGGAAAAGTTACAAACAAGAGGTCAGACAATGTCATGATAACCCCTCCATTGGGCTAGGAGTTGACCGAGGTCAAGGCTTTATATCTAGGAGAGTCATGGTGCTTAATGTATGATACATAGAGGCCAGTCACCTGACCACAACCAGGATAGTCATAATGCTTAAATGTATGATATACATAGATATCGGACCAAAGTTGTACTTTCTTGGTACTAGAAGGGCAAATGACAGTTCACTTAGATACCAGAGGGAAACTACATTTGTATATGTTAGTTAAAATACTTCCTTGTATTCTGAGGATGATATCTAAGGTGCACGCTGTATATTGTAAAGTGAAACCATGGATGAACAGAAAGTCGACGATTGATCCAAGTGCAAAATGTACATGTGCAGCTCTAGGATTTTTCTAAGATTATTCCGGGTTATGTGACATATATGCAGATAGGAGGAAATAAGAGATATACCATCTGCAATGTATATAAGGATAAAACGCACTCAATGAATGACGTAGGATTACCTGTATATGTGTATATTATGACCTTTTCAGGATCATGTGCCCTTAATGTTGTTAATAAGGATTACACACCTGATGTGATTGATCCTATGATTATGTACGACCTAATTATGGATTATAAGGATTATATCCCTAACTTATTGATATAGGATTATATATGCCCTAATTAAGGATCATATACCCTTAAACCATAGATACAGAAATAAAAATTACCTGAATATGGATTTATTGCCCTTGATGAGCTTATTAAGGATTATAATCTTTAGTGGTGGATTTAAATTTTTTTAATCTAATTTGGATTTAAGATTAAATACCCTTGATGAACTTAAATCAATACCTTATATATGTTTACTACAACGCTTATATCTAGAAAATATATATGGGAAGGTTAAAGGTCAAGAGCTAACATGTGTAGATAAGAGAAACGCTAAAGCACATGTATTACATACAACAGTACGTGTTCTACACATAACAGTATATGTTGTACATATAACAGACCATTTTGTACATATAACAGTACATGTAGTACATATAACAGGACATGTAAATAGATCATATGGTTGTGTTAAGTTAAACATTTAAAGTCAATTATTTATGTGTTCACAAGGAAGGAAGATTATTTCCAGACCCAATGGAGTATCCATTTTTTGTTGCTAGGGGACATATTTGGATTCAATAATCAATTTAATATAAGGTTGCAAAAATCATGTAAGATAACCTGGGGATATCTGAATATTTATATTTATATAAACAGAAAAAATTAGGATTCCTATTTTGTCAATTTAATTCATGAGATACCAGTAGCTTTTTATTATGGCCTTGGATCACTGATTAATTGAACTCAGAAACACCTTTTTTCTTGATTCAACTGTAAATATTGATTCCTTATCAAACATGTACCTTCTCATTTACTTTTAACTTAGTCAATACTCGGGTATTGTATTTTGCTAGGCTAAGGTACATGTATATTGCTAGTAGCTACCTGTACAAATCATTAATTTAGTTACATAAAAAGTGAGGTCACAAAATCAATGAGGATTTTTCCATAGATTTTGAAAAGCTCCATTCCAGGGTTACATTTTTCTCTCTAGTCTTCAATATAGAATCAAAGAGATGAATGTGATGTGAGGCTATCTTATATTGACAGTAGTGTAACATGAGGCCATCTTATACACTATCTAATATACTGCCTTAATTAAGGGAACAATTAAGTTGAAGTAATTTAGACCATCAATGAACTCTCAAAATCACAATTTTTATTTAATCATTAAGTGGCCCTTTATTCTTGGGATATATCAGAGCTAGAGGTACTAATGTATCTGTTGGTCATTTCTTGAAGGTAATAATCATGAATTCAAATGCCTGATGACTTTCCATTGTCACAATATTTCTATAGAATAGGCATAATGTAAAAGCCTGCCTGATAGGTCTGAGAAAAAAATGACCACCAGATGTAATGTAAATACTGAGAACAGTTCATTCTCCTTTCCATGATACAGGGTGGCCCAAAAGAGGTTTTAAAATTATTCAACAATCTGTAAACTGTAACTTTAAAGCTACTTTTGGGTCACCCAGTGGATGGGACTGTATTCAGAGAAAGTACAGGATATGGTGCAAACAGGGAAACGTATACAGAGTTTGTATCATAATTGTAGAGACTTTATGGACACACTGTATATTATACAATTGTTGACCTCTCCAGAGGTCAACCGGCAAAATTGTATACCGAGACTGTAAACCGAGAAACTACTGTTGACAGAGACCGAAGGTCGAGGTCAACAGTAGTTTCAAGGTTTACAGTCGAAGTATATGATTTTGACGGTTGACCGAATGGAGAGGTCTACAATTGTTTTGTTAGTCAGAAGAAACTAATAATACACATACAGTAGACGATAATCATCAATCATGGCTTCATTTCACAATCTTTTCTTCGAACCACACCAGCAATAATTTTTTTTAAGAAAATTTGAAGACAGTGGTAGTTAAACTCTCTGTTTTCGGCACATCACTGCGTACTCACTAGTAAATTAATGTTAATTTTACGTTTCTATTTGTATTTTTGCTATACTTGTCGTCTAGTAAAGACAAAATATCACTTTCATGAACTTTTACAAAATAACCGTCTACCATGTTTTTTTCTGTAAACATTATGACGTCATATTCCCCATAATTCACAAGTGTAGTACAGTAACATACGCGGTCAATAATATGAGGCAAAAATGTTGACCGCTAATTGACCAATCAGATGCGAGTATTTACACTGAGGTGCTAACAAAAGGTTATGTTTACCTCATATGTCACTTCCCCTTTCAATTTCAAAATAACTTAGGTTTAAATTATTATATGAACAGATCTAACGATTTGAAAGTGGCGGATTAACAATGTAATATATAATGAACAAACATGTTAGAATAAACAGGAAATATGTAAACACTCAATGATGAAGACTTGCAGAAACTTCACTAATAAATGAAATATTTGAGGTGTAAATCTGAAATGCATTGGAAAAGTAGCATTATGAGTCGAGAGATAAGGGATTTCTCATTATATGTTCTAACATAATAGGTGTAGAATTCTTATATTTGTTATTGTACAGTTCCAACAAGGGCTTTCCATCCAACTCCAGGTAAATTCAACCTTGACTAATACTCAAAATTACCCAGGTCAGCCATCTTGAAATATGAGTTTTTGATTTAGTTTTTGTAAACCTGGCGAAAAAGGCGTCTGTGGAAATAGCCCATAGTTCAACATTTTGGAAGACGTCCCAAAGTTTATTCTGTCAAACATCATTTAAAATGGTATGGAGTTGATTTTTTATGACCGTTTAAGTTGTTATAATGTTATTTAAGTACATTGTGTATAGTTACAATAAATATTTTTTGTAATAAAAGTTTAATTTTATTTCATGTTGAATGCGAATTATGAGAGCTTCTCACATGAATGTGTGTGCATGCGAACATGTAGCCTGCTTTGAAGCCCATAAATGTACATTCATCTAATCAATGTTAAACATACACATTCATTTGAGATTAAAGCTTACATCTAACCATTTTATATAGTAATTTAATATTGCATACACAAATTGCAATGCCAAACATATTTCCAATTTTAAGTTCTCAACCAACTAATAGATATTCAATTTTGGAGGTTTTTCATTGTTTTAACTATTAAATCCATAGATCAAGCATTTAATACATTTTCAATAAATTGAGCACATTCAGCAACCTTCTTTGGGTCTTGTATCGATTTAAGAGGAGTAACGAGATTGACAATGTCTAATGACTTGGCCAGTGCTATGGCGATGGGGTCTCCCCATAGCAATGTTCCCAGGGCAACCAACAAACGAAATCGGGCCTCGTGGTCCGTAACGACACCTAATATTTCAATAACTTTATGTAGAGATGTTTCCTTATTGTCACCAGCTATGTTGATTTGAATGGCAAAATTCAACAATAAAGTCCCTATTGCTATATGAACATTCTTATTTGAGATATTCACACTATTTGGCAATGCGTTATATATTTCCTCCTGGGAGAGACCCATAAGCAATGACCCTGCTGGTTGTCGGAAGGCATTACAAAAAGTCCTAAGAACAAGCATATGGTTGGGTGCGGAGGAATCGGCACTTGATGTGATGCTGATGAGTCGCCTGATAAGTTCAGGGCCCTCTTTCGCTGTGTTACATAACGTCTCACTACAGTCACGCCTCTGTATCACAATCCTTAGTACATCTAAGACTGGGAAGAGAATATCTGAAATACAATTATGGCGCCGTTGTAACATAAGATAAACGAAAGATTTGTTTCATAACGGTTAAAGACTTATAATTTATGTTTTTCTGCCTACAGCTAAGATACATTCATTCATGAACAATAGAAAGATAATTTTCTTTCAATTCTAGAATATACAAGTTTTCATCCATAAACCTGGTGAAGAACTATATATTACCATTTGGCCACATGAGAAGCTTATAGAGTATGTTTATCTGCTCCTTTGATGTCCCCTCAGATATCAACATGGCCTCCACTACTCCCATCTCAACATCAGTTAGCTCAAGGGAGCCTGCTCTTGTATTAAACTCCTTCAGTTTACCTGTCAAAATAGTAAATGAATATAACAGTCTTCAAGCAAGACAATGCTGAAAATAAACACATGTAGTTGCATAAATTGAAGTAACACTTTTAATCTTATTGTATTATGTAAGAGAATCAATTGAATTGAATTATTTGAGGTTAAACTCATCGTTAACTTTTTCCATATTTTCCATATCTTTACTGTTAACATTTCACTATCTATGTATGTATAAGTGCTAACCATTCTCTTAGAAAATTTGTCGAAACTTAGCCTTGCTTGCATTCTAGTAACAACAGTATTGTGTTTACATTTATAAATGTGGCTTTGTTTACGTGGCTCTCTTACGTCCGCAAGTTTCCATAACAAACTGCTTGTTTTGAGTATGAGTTCATTTTCTCAGCAATTGTTGCTATTTTAAGTTCTATAAAGTACATACTCGGAAGCGATGCTCGGTGTACAAATACATACATGTACATGCATGGTTCTTTTGTGCTGGACTTTCATGAATTATAGCTCAAAACTACCATTTCATATTACTAGTAGTTGTCTTTTCACCCAGGATATCATTCATACTTGCGCACTACAAAATACCAATGTTAGATCAAACAAGCGATTGCAGCTCAATAGAGAATCTATATAAGTTACACGTACACAAGTTAAACTGGGTGGCATTTTGGAAGGTAACTTGCACTGTGCAGTAGACTGTAATCCTCGGGTGTTTACACATATAACACGGGCCAAACATGGAATACCGAGAACGCACACATAGAAGCCAATCAATGTAAGGTACTGTCACTGGGCTGTATAAAGCTAAAAATAGTTTTTTTGTGCTTTTGTGTTGTGCGATTTTCGTTTATTTCACTTTGCTTGTACGGCACATAAAGGCTTTATATCCTGTGTACATGAAAATTTTTAAATGGAAAGTTATGAATGTATGTTTATGTATGATTGTGAGTGTGGCTGGAATAATGGATGCATATGAGGGAAACTCGTTTGTATATTATGTTAGAAATGAGACTTTTAATTATGTAGATTTGTATTTGATGTCCATGTTTTTAAATTGTGTAATTTCATTCTGCTCATAAGCCTGTAAATATTACACTATGTAGCCTGAATACAAAGGGTATACGTCAAGCCGTCAAACGACGGAGTGTCTTTTTGTATCTTAAGCGACTGAAGAAAGATATCTATTTTCTTCAGGAAACACATTCGTGTGAGAATGATTTGGATGAGTGGAAAAAAGAATGGGGTAAAAATATTAAAAGAGGTGAACGAGGTGTTGCTGTATTGTTTAACGATAATTTTGATTGTAAGGTTGTCAAAAAAACAACTGACCTCGATGGTAGATTTATTGTAGTACAGATTGAAATTGGTGGACTACAATATACACTGATTAATGTATATGCTCCAAACCTAGATAATGCTAGGAAAGAATTATTTGACGAACTATCAGTGATTGTATCCACGAATTTTGCATCTGATAATGTCATATTTGGAGGTGATTTTAATGTAGTGTTAAATAGAGAGGTAGATAGATATTCTAGGGCTATAGTAAGTCAACAAAAGGACCTATCTAGAGATTCTTTGATTGAGTATATGAATCGTTTTGACTTAATTGACGTATGGAGACACCAAAATCCCACAAAAATCCAGTATACATACGAATCTTATGCTAAGGATAATATGCAAAACTCTGTCAGTAAAAGTCGAATTGATATGTGGCTTATTAAAAGACATATGGTTAAAGAATCAGAAAGCAAAATAGTGCCATCAATTAAGTCCGATCATAAATGTATTGTGCTAAGCATTAACTCATCTGTCACTCACAAAGGAGGGCCGGGTTTTTGGAAAATTAATAACAAATTAATAGAAAATGAAGCATATCAAAAGTTAATTAAGGAACTTATCGCTAAAACTAAAACAACTCTGAATAACGCTGATGATATTCAATTTTGGGAATATTTGAAATATCAGATTAAAGTAAAAACTATTGAATTTTCAAAGCAAAAGGCAAGGGAACTACGGGGAGAGGAAATAAAGTTGTTGAAAATTATTGAAAGCCTGGACTCTGAACTAGTTAAGGATGATTATTTGAATGAAAAAGCGTGTAGAGAATATGACGATGCAAAATGTAAACTAAATGATATATATCAATATAAAGCAGAGGGGGCCATTGAGAGATCAAGATCTGACTGGGTAGAAAAAGGGGAAAAAAGCACACACTACTTCTTCAACTTAGAGAAATCAAACTATTCAAAGAAAACTATAACTGATTTAAATGTTGATGGTAATGTGGTGACAGATGAGACAGAAATACTTAACAAAATTAAAGCATTCTATGTAGATCTCTATGACTCCAAGGCTAAAGCTGACACACAAAAGTTCGTTAGTTTTGAGAAAGATCTTAACATAAATAAGTTAAATGAACATGAAAAGGCTTCATGTGAAGGTTTACTGAGGGTCGATGTTATAAGGCCTTGAAAAAATTTAAAAATAGAAAAACCCCGGGAAGTGACGGGTTGAGTACAGAGTGGTATAAATGTTTTTGGAATGAAATCAATGAAATGCTTATTAAGTCTCTAAACTTGTCATTTGAAAAGGGTATCCTCTCAGTTAGTCAGAGACAGGGTATTATCTCGTTAGTACCAAAGGGGGACAAAAATCATTGGTTTTTGAAAAATTGGCGCCCAATCACGTTACTTAATATTGACTATAAGATTGCATCTAAATCAATTGCGCTCCGTATTAGTGTTATTTTGGCGAAACTTATAGGGCCCGACCAGACAGCCTTTATCAAAGATCGTTTTATTGGCGAAAACATACGGTACCTAGAGGATATTCTTGAATATTCTAAGAAAAAGTGCATTCCAGGCATTATTTGCATGGTCGATTTTTTTAAAGCCTACGATAGTGTTGAATTCGAGTATATAGAACATGTGTTGAGACTTTTTAATTTCGGGGACACACTAATTAAATGGGTAAAATTATTCTATACAGATATAAAGAGTTGTGTTTTGAATAATAATAGATCAACTGGCTGGTTCGATATTAAAAGATCATGTAGGCAGGGGGACCCCTTGAGTTGTTTGACATTTATCTTAGTGATAGAAGTCCTGGCAATTAGAATTAGACAAGATCAGACTATTAAAGGGATCCGCTTGGGAAATAATGAGCAAAAGATCGAGTTATTTGCTGACGATACAACACTGACAGTAGATAGCAAAGAATCTCTTAAACTGGCTTTAAACATTTTTGATGAATTTAAAGATATTTCTGGATTATGTATTAACAAAGAAAAGACAGAATGTATGTATATTGGTTCAGAAAGATCTAAAACTGAGGATAAGTTATACGGTTTAAAATGGGTTAAAGATCCAAGTAAATTTCTGGGAATTTGTGTCTCATATAATAAGAAATCAAATGATTTTGTTAACTTTGAGAAGAAATTAGACTCGCTTCAAAAAGTATTGAAAATGTGGTCAAGAAGAAATTTAACTTTATATGGTCGAGTTCTGATAATCAAAACGCTTGGTATTTCTAAACTGGTATATTCCATGTCAATGACAAATACCCCAAATGATATATTAACAAAGGCACAACAGATAATTTATTCATTCCTATGGGGTGGAAAAACGGAAAAGGTTAAGAGACGAACTTTAATTGGTGATTACGACGAGGGTGGTCTAAGAATGATTGACATGTTTTCAATGGAAAAAGCACTTAAACTGATATGGCTAAAAAGATTAATCGAAAGTCATTGGAAATATATTCCAGAATTGTACTTTAAACCGCTTGGGGGAATTAAGTTCTTTATACAATGTAATTTCGATATTAAAACAATAGCCCACGACGTGCCAGAATTTTACTCAAATATTTTACAAATTTACTCTGATATAAGGAATATGCAAGCTCCAAGAACTAGTTCTGAAGTTAAAAGTGAAATACTCTGGAATAATAGATTTGTCCTAATTAATAACAAAGAGGTCATAAATAAGCATCTTATGGATAATGGGGTCGTTTACGTAAATGACCTCCTAAATGACCAGGGACATTTTTTACAGTATTATGATTTTAAGGCAAAATACAACGTACAAATTAATTTTATTGATTATTATGCTATAATATCAGCTGTACCGAAGGAGTGGAAACGTTTATTGAAGCGAGACTTAACGTCAGTTTTTGAACCGAGCCTACAAACGGATCTTGTGCATTTAACACTTGGCGAAAAACCAGTGTCATTGAATGGTTTAACAGTGAAGTCAATTCAAAAAATATTAAATAGAAACAAATATTTGGAACCTCTATATAAAAATGAACATGATCGTGAGTTAGGAAGAATAGATTATTTTAAAATGGCTTATGGCTGCACGAAACAAAATAAAATTCGACAACTTCAATTTAAGATTCTACATGGTATTTGTACCACAAATGCTTACTTAACGCAGATAGGAATTAAACAGGATGCTAGATGTAGTTACTGTCCATTAAGAGACACTTTAAAGCACAAGTTTTGGGAATGAAGGCGGGTTCAGATCTTTTTGAAAGCTATTAAAGAGAATTTGGGGAAATTATTCAATGTAAATCTTAATTTTAATGCCCATGATATGGTGTTCGGAAGATCTGTAAATAATGAAAACACTTTGCTAAACAGGCTATCACTAGCAATCAAATATTATATATATGCAAAACAATTTAATGAGGTAAATCCCAACTTGGACGTGACTCAATTTGAAAATACCATGTTTATGTATATACCAGGACTTCTGGGTATGACTGTTGCGAATGTCTGAATGAATGGAGGTGGTGTGAAAGTGGTTTAATATTTTATCATTGCCTTGTTTAATGTATTATTTTATGTTTGATTCAATAAAAAAAAAAAAAAAAAAAAAAAAAAAAAAAAAAAAAAACATTTCACTATCTACACATTCAAAAGATCATTCAACTCCATCACCTGTTGGAGTATTTAAAAATGAACATATTGACACAATTACACATGACCTATTTACCTAGAATTCCCTGAGTGTTGGCAGTATCAAATGACAAATAGTCTTTCTTTGGGAAATACTGGTTGCCCGAGGGTGCGGCATCCCCTACTCCATTGGCTGCTTGAGGAGGTGCACCCCCAGGGACGTACCTCCCTCCCCCAGTCAATGGATCAGACTCCCCAGTTGGGGGACGAGCAGCAGGTGGTGCAGCTGATCCTGGGACATAGCGCCCGGAACCTGTGAAAGGGTCAGAAACGCCAGGTTGACGTGCCATAGATGGCGCTGCACTACCAGGGACGTATCTCCCAGCCCCAGTGAAGGGGTCGGCACCTTCTGAAGGTGGAGCTTGTCCTCCATCTTGAGATCCTGGGACATAGCGACCTCCTCCTGGAATATATGAACGTAAGGTGTTACTGAGGCAAATTGATATTATGGATGCTTTTTCACAATGCAAAGAAATCAAATGCACATTAACAAGTTACATGTTGCATCACTTGATTGCAGTTTACTAATATCTTAATTTGCCAATCAACATAATGAGCAGATGCAGATTTCTTAAAATATTACTTTAATTCTTTTGAAATACATGTACAATTACTTACAAAATTCTCTAACTTCCTAATTAATCATCTGATCAAAACAAAAAGTTAACAGAATTTCCAAAAATCCAGGTTTTCACTGTCATATGCCTAAAAGATAAGTCTGATGTATAACTCCATTCCATCACTTTTTACTCAATCAGACAAGTAAATACTTTGAAGGGGAGAACTATATCATAGAGGACTGTACTTCAAACTAATCCACATTCAAACCTAAATACATGTACATTGTACTTAAACCTCAATAATTAAGGGGTACAGGTTACCTGTAAATGGGTCAGCAAAACCAGCAGCTGGGGCCTGGCTGAGGGTGGCCCCCTTGGTGTTATCTACAATGAAGTTAGCCACCTGATCCAGGAACAACTGGCTGAGATTGTTCTTATGTATAAAGTTCTGTGCAGCATGCCAGGGGTCTTCACCTATGTTGTAGGGTAGGTTTAGTGGAGGTTTACCTTCCTCTATGTCCACTGTGAACAGATAGTCATATTCCTGTAAAATAAGAGTTTGCTATGATGAACAGCATTTTATTTTCATTTAAAACATCATTTTGATATTTCTTTAAGGATAAGAACCAGTTTTCAGTGATTCGGCAAGATGATTTCGTCTTGTATTGAAGATATTGTTATTTTATTTTAACATTTTAAATGTTTACATCATTAATGACATTATCATAATGACAATTTACCTGCCCCTCATAGAGTGTTTTGCCAGATGTAGCTTGTGATCCACCACTAGATCCAACCACATCCCCTATCTTGGCCCACTTCTTTTCAGCCACACTCCATTGGTGGACCTCAGCTTTTTTACCAACACGTATCATCTTCGTCTGGCCATCTTTCTCTCCTTGAAAATCATAAACGAGTATTTCAGCATACAGAATCTACTGCACAAATCAATTTTGGTTTATTCTGATGACTATTTTCATTAACAGAATCTGAGAAGTATGGACTCAGAGGCCTGAACTAATAAGTTTTGATCCAGGTCAGTTGACATTTCATTTGGTCGAGGAAAATTACATGGCAACTGAGGAAAATGGCAACTAAGGAAAATAACAAAGTAACATGCTATCATATATAACACTGACACATTTGGGTGGGTAATGTTTCCCTTTAAGCTGGAAATACGAACTACTACACTTCATACTTTTTAAAACTGATTTATTGTGACAGTATACCTGGTTCTAATAAACCCTCAGGGCCAGGCAATTCATCCAGTTTGATGTCTCCTACTTGGCTTGGAATCTCTGAGGCAGCAACCTGCTCATCAAACATCTTTAGGACATCATCCTCGGCTATCCTCCCTGGGTCCTTGGTGAACACACGGATCACACCATCACTGAAACAATCAAATGATTAGAAGGCATGGATCACACCATCACTGAAAGGATAAAAGGACAAGAACACATGGATCACACAATCTCTGTAACAATCAAATGATCGTTGTATTATCTATTTCAATTCTTATCTTGAGCATGCAATGGCTTCTCTGAGTGTTCTCCCTGCATGCAAAATTATCCACCTAAAAAGGCTTTTGACCAAGAATGTCAGAAATATTTCATTGTGAGCACAAAGTAGAATGTTATTTTCTGGGTGTGGGTGCCGAATCCATTGACTAAATGATGGGTTGTTCACAGTCTCACTGGTACTCACCTAGTCACGCTGACGATACATCAGCGTAACAAGATGGAAGAACTTCCGGGCTTCGTTTTCGGTAAGATATTTTTATTTTTCGATTCTACACTACTTATAACTCAAGTTGTGAACAATAATTTTAAGGAAGATAGACTAGTTTGAGAATATGCAGACGGTTCTATGTTCGGTATATTAAGGACGACGCAATTTACATATTTAGTCCCTCCCTTCTGTTACGTTGACGATCTTCATGAATATTGCCAATGTGTACTAAAAGCTAAAATCTAAATTGTCACATTTACATACATTTATATACCTGTATACCTATATATGGGACTAATATACTAAAGTTATTCTAACTTTCATATACAATGAACTTTATAGTCTCAAACTTTTTAAGGAAGGTGTTTGGAGTTTGCCAGTTGGTGTTTAGAGTTTGATGTCTGTAACAAATGGCAGGTAGTGAAATTTTGCATGTTTTTGATAATGCCCTGTATTCTTGATATACTACATTTCAGTAGTAAAATACATGAAGATGAAGTCTCTAAATAGGTTTTACACCAACCTGGAGCCCGTGGCTATATCTCCATTAGGCAAACAGCAGACAGCCCAAACCGATTGTGCAGGATGCGCTATAGTCTGGACACATTCACCATCACACCATACCCTCAGTGTCCTATCCTCCCCTGATGTCACAAAATCAGTACCATTTGGCATGACAGCGATACTGTAGACATAGTTTGTGTGGCCGTAGTACTCGTGTATACACTCACCAGAGATCATCCAACGCCGTACTATACCATCGTTAGAACATGACAAGAACTCTGTAGCATTCAGGACAGCTAGGCCACGAACACAGTCTGTATGTCCTAAAATAGTGATACAATGCATGATGAATATAATGAGATTTAATCAGTATAATGAGAACAGTCAAAGAAAAACAAAAAAAACAGCACTTGGTACATGAGTGGAAAGAACAACAGCATTATTCAAAAACATCATCTGGAGGTATTACTACTTAATGAAGTATCTTTACATGTATTGCTAAAACTCAAGCATTAAAATGTATATGCACCACATTGCATCTAAATTCATCTAAAATCTAGCTTTTCTGAACAGTGAGTAGAGAAAGTAAAGTAACAATAATGAATAGGACATAATACCTTTATATGTTTTCTCACACCTGCCTGCCTTCCACATCTTAATAGTTTTGTCAGCTGAGCCTGTTAGCATGACCCCTTGTTCTGGCATCACGGCTACTGCCCACACTGCTAACTCATGGCCTGTAATATTGCAAGTGTATTTTGCTATTATATTTCCATCAGCATATTTTCTATGAACTCATTGTCTGGCCTTAAAATAAAATAAAAGTTAGGAGAAAATCAGGGACAATTTGCTTGACAACTAATGATATATCTATAAACTGTAACTAAAATGGTTAAGCATGATACGGATGACAGAAATGAGAAGTAAACCTGTAAAGTGCAACACCTACATAAGTGGAACACCTACATAAGTGGAACACTTCAGTGTCCAATGACTAGCTGAATTAATGTCTGAGTGTGTGATGCTACTTTGTAAGTAGAATATGCTACTTTGTAAGTATAATACCTTACAAGGTGAACACTTTTTAAAGGTGTTCGACTTAATCAGGTTCTATTATAGTTGAGGAGTTGAGCATGTTACCTGTCAGTGTCATGACACATTTTTGGTTAAGCCAGACCTTTGCTGTTTTGTCCCAGGAACCACTGAGGATTGTTCCAAACTTTCCAGCTGCTAAACAAGACACTGGAACAACACGATTACCAGGTATGAGGCAAAGTTTTACAGAAATATATTAATTCAGACGTTTTTCAACAATTAAGCCTTTTGCCAAATTTTTGATCCTTGCTATGTTGCTAGGGTGACTAACAAGTTACTTGATATTATTTTTGTATTACATGTACAATCAATACACCAGAATAAATGTAACACAAGAACACAAATGTGTACAAAATGTCCCCACCAAGTGGTGATCCTGTGAAATGGTTATCCTGAAAATGAGTAGACAAGACTTTACCAACACAATTTGAGGACGGAAAATCCAAAGTGGCCACCTTAAAATTTACCCAGAATGCCAAAAATTTAGTCAGTTCTAAATTATCATACTAAGAACCACCCCTGAAAATTTGAAATTGATCCGTCACACAGTTAACCAGAAAACATGTAAACAAGACTTTACAGACAAGACTTCAGGATGGAAAATCCAAAATGGCTGCCTTGACATTTACCAAGAACGTCAAAAAACTAATCTGTTTGTAGATTTTCATACTAAGAATCATCCCTGAAAATATGAAATTGATCTACCAAACGGTTCACCTGAAAACGGGTAGACAAGACTTTACAGACAAGATTTTAGGACAGAAAATCCAAAATGGCTGCCTTAACATTTACGCAGAATGCAAAAAGAGTAATCAGATGTAGATTTTCATACAAAGAATCATTCCTGAAAATTTGAAATTGATCTATCAAACCGTTCACCTAAAAACGCGTAGACAAGACTTTACAGGCAAGATTTTAAGACGGAAAATCCAAAATGGCTGCCTTGACATTTACCCAGAATGCAAAAAAACTAATCAGTTCTAGATTTTCATACTAAGAATCATTCCTGAAAATTTGAAATTGATCTACCAAACAGTTCACCTGAAAACAAGTAGACAAGACTTTACAGACAAGATTTTAGGACGGAAAATCCAAAATGGCTTCCTTGACATTTACCCAGAATGCCAAAAAACTAGTGAGATCTAGATTTTTATACTAAGAATCATCCCTGAAAATTTGAAATTGATCCACCAAACGGTTCACCTGAAAACGCGCAGACAAGACTTCACAGACAAGATTTTAGGACCGAAAAATCCAAAATGGCCGACAATAAAAAAGTCCTTATGAGTTTTTGCTGATTTCTTTTTACAAAATTATCACATATAACTACTGTTAACAATAAAGTAGGCTTTTACAGCAAAGTACATCTGAAATTATTTATAAAGCTATTAAATAGTTAAAGTATGAAAACTCAAAAACACCATTCAATATGATACAAAGTATTATCGCGCGCTAACTTTTCTTAAGACATTCAAAATGGCTGACATGACTGAGCTAGCAGGTCCAAAACCTAATCAGATCTAGAATGAAGTGAGCTGAACAAGATGTTAAAGTTTTAAAAGCAACTGTGAAGCAGTTTTTCTTAAAGTTTGCAGACAAGGATTTTAGCATTTGACTTCAAAATGGCCGACAGGAAGTAGGTTTCGAGTTAAATTTTTTTCATCCACATCTATAGGCACTCATAAGTTATTCCTGAAAATTAGAAGGTGATACCTGTAGCGGTTTTGGAGAAAACTGCCGGACGTACGGACAGACAGACAGACAACCAACCAGACAGACGGACGGACGCGCCTAGGACGACAATATGGCCCCACACTATGTGGTGGGGACATAAAAACACATCAAAACTCTGATATAAGCTGAGCCCTGGAGCTGAGGCACACTATCATTCTGGCAGCAGTCATTTGTATGGAGAAATATAACCAAGATACAATCAATGGTTTTAAAATGAAATGAAATTATGAAACTAAAATTTCTTTTACACTTTTAATACTAGAGATGTCACGGAACATAAAAAATGGAAGGGTTCGGTTTGGAACATTTTGCTTCGGAACGGAACAATTTCTGAACGGTTCGGAACAGAGTGACTGCGTATTAGATTAAAATAACTTGATTGTCTTGGTCTATTTGGTAGCAAAAAGCTCTTCAAAACTCTTCAATGAGAAGGAGTGAAAAGAATGAACTTCTTTTGATGCAAAATATTGAATGAAAAATGCTGTTTTATGGCGATTTAAGGGCCACAAGTTGTGAAAGGGTAAGATTTTCTTGTTCCAGAACCGAACCGAAATTCTTCATTTTTGTTCTATGTTCCGGTCCGAGAGCATAATTCTGCGGGTCGGAACAAAATCGGGTATCCGTGACACCTCTATTTATTACAATATCATTCTTGAGATGTTGATTGATTTTGTTGTTTTAGTTTTTTTTATTTCTATGATATATGAAGATTATAGATTATATATAAAAACACCATTTTGTTATACCATCATTGATTTTCAAGAATATTCTCACTTAAACTCTTGTCTTTTTATATGAATAGACACATTTCAATTCTACAAATCAATTTTTTATGTTTGAGAAATATGCCCTGTACAAACCTGTGTTGGAATGTCCCTCAAGGCGCAAGATAGGTTGGGGTGAGTCAAGGGTGTATCCAAATATCATCGAGTCATTGCTCCCTGTTAGAATCAGTCCAGTTGGGTGCTTATCATCTGGTGGACAGACACATACACAGGATACAAAATTACTGTGTCCACTCATCACGTGGCCCTCTGTAAATCCAAGTCCACCTCTGAAAGTTAAAATCAGCATTTCAGTATTACTTATTGTAGATTTATCTATAATCCGACTAACAGTGATAAATTTTTTAAAAAAACCATGTTACTCGAGTCTCTAGCCAATTCCTGGCTAGAAGTAATTTCATCTGAAACACCGTGAACCGCTTGAAAAAAGCTGGCCGTCTTGTCAACATTTTTTTAAATATTTTAAAAATTGCCAGATAAATAAATCATGAATTAAAATGGAACTGGCTTGGCTCCTTGATGAGATATTGCATGATTTCATCAGGATTTAGCTAAAATTAAAATAAATGGCTCCAAGAAAAATGGCGATATTCGAAAATTGGACGAAATGTCTTTATTGTCTGACATTAGTTACTGGCTATAAATTCAAAGTTAGCGATCCAGAAGAAGTGAACTAATACATTGATCACTTCATGTGTGTTTTGTAATTTTTGGTGATGTAATGAGACCAAAACTGGCAATTCGAATTGTGATGTGGAAAAATGGCGAACGTTTGATTTCAAATTTTTTGATTACGTCATGACCCGTAAACAGCAGTAAAAAACATGGAGGGATTTATCTTTGGACGAAGGCCACGATATGGTGGCCATAGAAGAAGGTTACCCCCATGTACTCTAGTAGCCTAAGACTTAACTCTATATAATAGAGGATAGATGGCACTGACTATAGTGTGCACGCTGTAAGTGACTTGTCTCGAAGAGAAATCTGCTTGGTCCTCTGCAAGCTTGCAAATATAGTAATTGGAAACACATAACTAATGTTTCCCATGATGTAGTTACTGTTTCTTAATCTTACCATACCAACACCATTGTCTCAAATCAATGATTCAGCAATTCAGCGAAACGATTTATTTTTATTTTCAAAAATTAGTTCAACAAATGACTAAAATCTAACATTAACTTACTTATTTGGTGCCCAAACCCGGGCAGTAACATCTCTGGAGCCAGATACTATACATCCATCTGGAATATAGCCTGGAGATAGACCCCTGACATCCTGTTCATGGCCTTCAATGCAGCAACTCAGTTTAAAAGCATTTTCCATTTTTCTTTCGAATCACTTCCGGTTTGTGACAGTACTGTACGCGAAATAATAAAGCGCAAAAATCATAATTACAAGGGTGAAAAATCGTTCTGTTCTACATTTGCATTGTAATATGTACCGGGAGGAGCATGTAAAAGGGTAGGATGGTCCTACTCTTCATTGATTTATATGGTGACCTCTTTGTGCTATTTCCCTAATTATCTTATACACAATAATTGACAATCACTCAGGGCCAATAAGGCTAGTAAGGGGGGCCATAATCCCCGGGGAACCATAATTTCTTTCACAACGGCCTAGGATTGGCCCGGAAAAAATCTTTGGGCCAAATAATTTCTGTTTGATCCTATGGTATATATTATATCAATATAGAGTTCTGCTAGTATTCTAAAGAGGGCCTTACTATACACTCCCTCCGTGGTAAGTCTGACAATCGGACGCCAGTTTTATTAGATAGCATATCCAAGCCTGTAATCGTGTAATGTTTGTATCCTAGTTTTTGTTCCATTATAACAAAAGTTAAGAAGTTTATGAATTTAAACTTTTGTAAACTGTCCAACGATTTGATAATAACCTAATGGGGAATTCCGGTTGCTAAACTTATGAAGGGGAGTGTAAAAGTGTACCGTCCTTTTTGGCGCAGCCTAATTGGTTTCTCATCGAGGCAAGTTATATGTATAAAATTAATTTTATTTGTGTACACGTATTTATTTCAAACGATAAATGTATTACAATTGTATTCAATAAGCAGTGTCAATACTATCATCCAAACTAAGTGACACATTCCATTATTGTTTCTGCTTGCCTTACTTTTCCCATACCATTCTTTACCAAAGTCTGAAAGTATAAGAAATCGATTATCACAGGATAAGTAAAAAAAATACCGACTTGGGCAAGGCTAACGACACCCCTGTGTTGTCCCAACTTGTAGCTTTTTCCATTATACATATATAGTGTGAAGGATCCTAACCTCTAGCACAAACAAATAGCCAATTCATGGGAAATGGTATGAGACCATAGATTTAATTTTCATTATATAATAACAAGGGATCCAGGATTTAAAAGGAGCGAAGCAAATTCATACGACCTAAAAGGTACAACTTCGTTCACGCAAATTCAAAAAAGTGTGAATGAATTTTTCTCTGACTTTCTTTTAGAAACGTGAAGTCAAATTCTTGAAAAAGGTTATGTAAAGATAAGCCCTGGACTGAAATGACCATTTTTTGAAGGTGTTTCCAAAATTTGCACGAGATGCGCAGCATCGAGTGTTTATTTTAGTGATGTACGTTACGATTATAATGAGCTATGATGTACATTAGTAATGTTACTTGTTATTTACCGACTCCAGAATTCATCGGATCGAAATTATCAAATGTCGTTTGATTTCCATACTGTTTCTTCATTTCTTCTATGATATCCACCCTTTCATTATCTATCAGGCGATCAACTAGACCAGGATCATCGCACTCTCCAAAGCACGCGACTGTTTCTAAACCAGTTCTGATATCTCCAGCAGTTAAATCGATACCTTCACAATCGTCCGTCGGGCACGTGCGACGTCTAGTTCGGGTTCCCCGGCCACACGCTGAGGCCGAACACTCGGACCACGGTAGCCATATCGACCACGAAGCTGGAATAGTTATGGTAATAGAGTTTGCACTGGCTGTTACTACTTCGAGATAACCAGATAACTGAACAGTAACACTGATAAAATGTACCGTCCGGAGATTCGCAGTCGCACTCAGAGTTTATCACGGGGACTATCCAGGCCCCGCTGACATCGCGAGCAATGGAGTCACGTTAGAAGTGGGGCTTTGAGAGATATGATAAAATCGAAATACAACATTTTCTATATAACTTTAGTATTTGAAACTCAGTACAACTTAATTTCATAGTACAATGGCTATCAATTTCAGGGCAATTACATTCTTCAACTATAACTATATTTCATCATATCTCTCGAGGCCCCGCTTCTGACATGAGCTCATTTCTCGCGATGTCAGCGGGAACTTGCTCGCGGTTTACGGGGCCTGGATAGTCACCGTGTTTATTCATGGAAGCTGTTGGCCTCTGGTTCAGTAATAGTCAGCAAGACCTTACCAGTGCATTTAATTTTGAGAGTGTTTCCATCACAAGGTCTCTCCCTTATCCGAAACTTTTCACCATTGCATTGCTTGGTGAAGACATCAGGCTTATAAGCAGAGCCACATATCCTAAATCTCATCTGCTTTAGTTTGCCATCAGTTCTGTCACAAGCGCATTGAAACCAAGGTGTATAGTTGCTCCAACCATTGCTCCCTGACAAAGTTATAAAAAACGATCACACACAGGCTTAATTATGATCATCCTTCAGTTATGTAATACCCTGATGGATCAAGATGACCTAGCGCCTGGCTATCACGATTCGGTGAACAATGAATTTGAATGAGAGAAGGAATATACTGCATGGTATTACAATTATTTGAGCCCAACTCAATGTCTCCTTACACATATAGGCGAAACGCAGCCTGGCGAATTTGGTTTTGTCTATTGTGGGGAGAATTTGACCGAGACTGTTTGAAAGTTACATAATCTAAAATACAACGAAATATTTTGTTACATTGACGTTCCGTCAAAGAAAATAATTGTGGAACAGTGACATATACATACACATACAGTGTGGCTCAATAAAATTGTTGCAAGTGCAAAATGGTCAATATCTTTGATAATTTTGGTATTTACCCTAAAATATACTTATTATTAAAAGTACTTGAGAAGCAAGCATTCCCGATTAGTCATGACTTTCCTGGATGGCATTTAGAGATTCAAACACCAGTATTGCCATTTTCGGCATGATTGGTCTGACAGAACTCTTTGGAAAGCGGATCATAGCCCCCAGTCAAGTGGCCCCCAAGGTCATCAAACTTAACTGGATTTCTTGTGGGACCACACAAAGAACAGCGTCTTCACAACACCCACTTATTTGAATAAACTTCAGCAAAAATAATTTATAAAGTCACTGTGGTACGACAAGACAGGGAGCTCACCAGACGTGCTTTTAGGAACATTTTGAGGCGAGGCACGGCGACCATGTGGAAGACAGATAGGAAAATTGCAGAATGAATCAGTTAGACTTAATATCAGTCTTCAACTGTGAAAAAGGAATGCCTCCGGATCCTATTTGTCCGTTCGCGCAAGTCAGATTTCACATAAGTCAATAAAATCTGTCCTGTGCAGCCAACCATGGAAGAATTTTGATATGTTATAAAATTGATTAAGAGAACTTGAAATGCCAAAATTATAAAAAAAATATTGGCCATTTTGTACTTGTAACATTTTTCTGAGCCACTCTGTGCTGATGGGAAGGAATTTTACTCAAGTCCTATTCGCCAGTATACATGCAAATTGACGTTGGGGGGTTTTCGCCTATGTGTGAGGAGGCCTTTACAATCTACTAACCTACAAAGAATAAGAAGACTAGATCACTTATTTCAGAATGTGGTTCATTTATCATGTAAACACCAGGGACCACTTCCACACTCGTTCCAAGATCAACCCTGTTATAAAAGAATAATATATATATACATATCATAACTACGATTTTAAGTTTGACTGCATATGAACGAAAAGCGATCGTTCGCCCGTTGACATACTGGTTAAACATGCAATATGGTGAAATATGTGTATATGCCAGACCATGAACTTCATGGTTATTATACCTTAATGAATATTCTTTGGTCCATATTCCGTCGTCATCAAGTGTTTGTTTATGCTCCAATATTTGGTTAAAATAATTAGAGTTTCTCTCACTGATTTTACCATTAGTAAGATCCATGCGAACTCCTTTCGTGCTGCCTTGACCATTTTGGACGACATAACTGATCCCATTGGCCAATTTCCCGCTTGGGGAAACCTCCATAACCATAGGATTAGTATTTTCCAACTTAAATTTGGACATTTGGTTTTTGAGATACTTCCTGAGATCTCTCAAGTTGGGCGATGCGTATTTAATCGTGCGTGGAAGAAGAACATGTTTGACAACGAGGTCATCAAGGAACACTCCCTATATTTAGTAGTGGAAACATGTAAAGAAAAACACATGTTCAATTGTAATATGTTTACATACAGGTTGATTTATGTTAAATTTGAGTATTCTTGATATCGAGAGAAAGGGGATATTCTGTGTAAGCTTACATTTTTTTAAATTCTTGTCAGATCAGCGAAATTCACCTGATCCACTAATTGAGTTTAGCTTAAAATGATCTGTGATTTCAAAATTAAATTAATATTATAAAATTTTAATCTTTAATTTGATGTTTGAGACTTACGTCGACAGTGAATTCCACTCGATCAACAGCATTTCCTTTCAGAAACATAATTCTATCAGCTGCAAACCTTCGATAAGGTAATCCATCCGGCTCTATAGTTAAACAAAGTTTTATAAAATCCAGCGTAATGTGGTATTTTTATGTAATATCTATACAGGGTGACACAGAAATGCAACCCTCTAATTTTGAAAACTCTCTAATTCTCAATTGGAATGGAACCTGTAGTTGACAAAGATATTCCAAAATTGTAGGCTAATATAGTCCGAAGATAGTACAAGGTTGACTTTTTTGCGTTGCCCTGTTCGATATCGTAGTTTTTTAAATGGACAGTCAATTTCAAACTGGAAAAACTTTAAAATAAATTTTGAAAAAAATATTTTTGACGAAATTATTTTGAAAAGTGTAGGCTGAAAAGTTGAATAACTCAAGACATGCTCCAAGTGAGCATGTCCGCAGTCACCATCGACTCAATAGGGACTGATGATTCCATGCAATGGACGCTGTATCACTTCTTCAGGAGGATGTAATTAGCCCCATGAGCACCTGTTCCTGAAATCAACTTGTCCATTCTAAAAGGAAATGTGTGTAGGAGGGTCATTAACAACTTCGTTTGCCAGATTCAATTGTGCCTGGGGTTAGAGACGAGAGGTGCCCACTTTGGACATGTTTTGTAATGTGATGTAAAACTTTCACAACAAAATTCACATAGAATGGACTAAATAATTTTGAAATTTCAAGGCAGAATATCTAAAATTGACCGAGTTATTCAACTTTTTTCGGTCCTGTCTTTGTATATAGTTTGCGTGGAAAGCCTTGCAAACTAGATACAATACAAATACTTACTTTTTTCACAGACCTTATGCCGCAGTAAGTGATTACCTTCCCAAAGGAAATTATTCGGAACTTCTTTCCAACCATAATTATGCCGTCCTCCTGCCACCATGACAACCGCGTCACGCATTTGGTACTCATTTACCTTATCAATCTGATCACGATGCTCAGGTATCCAAGGAATTGGCCACGTCATTTGCTTCTTACTCCCGACCCAATAGTGATGAGTTTCGTTCTGAATGAAATATTATTATTTGCTGCATGTTGAATATCAATGTGTTTGTGCCACAGAGAAATGTTTATATTTTACACGAAGTACATTTATTCAAACCTACATTTTTATCAGTAAGTCCTATCCAGAACGTCCAACCACTTGAGGTATCCCACTTTCCATTAGCCCTATAGCTTTTCTTGAGCCAATCAACAACATAGTCATATTCATTTTTGGTCTCAAACATGACCAAGTCTCCGCCAAGTTGCTGACATTCAACACGACTATGGGTCCAGGTTTTAGCAAAACTTGCATAGTAGCATTGTCCACCGGGCGCCTTTTTCCAGAATTCCCCACCGCATGACTTCTCTGAAAACATCTACATACTATATTGATGTGATTATTTAGTCACATAACCAAATGATTGAAAAATGCCATATACATAACCTTTTCTCATACTCTACACCATATGTGTACCCATTACCTTTTTTATACTCTAGTAGTCTATACCATACTCAAATTCGTCCTAGACGATGGACCCATGGGGGGATGACCACTATGGCTAGCTCAGCACTATGGTCCTACATGTTGCTCAAGTCAATAATCAACATTATAAGTTATTGAATGACTTGAAGTGCAATACAGGATATGTTCTGCTCGAGAAATTCTGTATTGGAACGAGACGAAGCCGAGTGCCAATATAGAATATCGAGAGCTATATTGCACTTCAAATCATTCTATAACGGTTTTATCATGATCGTAGACCAATAGCATTTTACCTAGGAGAATATTCTCTGTATTGTTACTGAGATTTTCCCCTCAGTACCAATATTTTCTGTATCGCTACGGAGATACAGATTAGTACTGCACAAGAACTGACCTTTCAGAGGGCTTCACTTTACAGATCATACGTTAAAGTAAAATACAAGCCTTTTAAACTAGTATTAATACCATGAGAACAGACCATGCAAGGTGGCCTCAAACTCTACAATGATTATCTCCTCTGTATGTACACATTGGTTTTTCTCATCTATATTTCTCTCTCACTCTTTATGCCTGTCATACCCTACCACTAATATATTCTCTCATACTTTATTTATAAATGAACACATTGCCTCCTCTCTTTCCTTCTATGTCTACGTACTGCATTCTCTTAATTGTCTTTATCACAATACCCTAGTCCCATACTGTAGCCTGTATTTCTTTAAAAGGGATACAGGCTACAATGAAGTCGCAAATGGAAGACGTTTGTTTACTTCAATATTTCTGAAGGTACATATATTCCAAGTGTTCTGCTATACATTTTGTAGATTCGTCGAGCCGTTTGCAGTGTATAATTATTTAGTTACCAGAAAAGCCTTTGAGACAAAAGTAGAGAATAGCCTCTCCATTTGCAACTTCCCCGTGGCCTGTATCCAAACGTGGTCACATCATGGTGAGTAGCGTATTCATACACTTTCTCACATACTCTATCCTGTATTGTACACGTACTTTTTCTACACGCAGGTATCGGGTTGTAGTTCCAAGATCCATCCTTGCATAGATTCACAATGGTCATTTGAAAGAATTGCTGCTCTGTTTCATCTGGTAGTTCAAACACGTACGAAAAATCACACATTAACAGTTGAATCACTTTGTCTTCTGTTCTGTGTATATCCAATATCAAAGTAGCAGCATTGATGGGTACACTTGGTATTGTATTCTTACAGTGATTAGCGGCTGTAGGATAAAGAAAGAATGGTGGAGCAAATGTATGGACAGGGGGTGTAAACGCGTAGAGTATTTTCGTTCGAAGAGCAGGTAGGTGTAGTTCTATTTGAACGTTTCGTAGTGTTTCCACACCTGCCAATACCCCCAACACATTCCCAGTACTCGGGGGAAACATTCCATTGTTATTAATTCACAACCACCAATCTAGTTTTTCTAAATGTGGGGTTAAACAAATAAATATTTTGATTTTGAACAAAAATTCCGTGGTTAGCCATACATTTGTGAAAACTAGAGTTTTGGGTGTTAATATGTGGCAATTAAATGTTTCCCTCCTATTGACTGAGCTGAGGCGAGCAAGTATCAGAAATACGTTCAAAGAAAACAAAATAAAATTACACTATTTTTGAATAACGATGGCTATTTGGTAATGTTTTTAAGTGTGGATTCCACGAAAATACTCTACGCGTTTATACCTCCTGATGGAATGAGATGCATCCAGGTCAAACATTAAGGAGTTTAAGCTTGCATACAAAATCGAAACGCCAACCTATGACCGATCGCCCATACAAATGCATCGCTTAAATATTTTCCGTTTACGTTTAGCTTGTGAAAAACATTGCAAACTTAAATTCCCTAATGTATCAAGTGAAAAACCGCAAGTGGTGTAAGCCTAATAGTCAATATTTCATTTTTTAAAATAATTCCGAGCTCGCTTCTGCCACACGACAGGGTCAAATTAAGTCAAAGCTCAAAGCATATGACCAAACAACATACAACCTGGTCTTATATATAGGCTATATAGTTATCATATTTTCTTACCATTACATTGTGCAATACAAACAAGAACGCTCCAACTTACGACGCACATTATCGAGTTCATTTTAGAAAATTCTGACAAGATTTCGTTACTTGGACACACTGTCAACACCAAAACTTCTATTATGACTAATGCTACAACGAACTACGTCATAGACAGCCCTATGAATTCATAAAGGGGTCTTCTCTAGGAACAACACGTAAATATTCGTTCCTGCAACTCCGATAAAGGTTAGTTGCTCTCTAAAATCTACAGTATTGATATTGATATATTTACGGTAGCCTAATTATGGCACTTTTTAGAGAGGATGCGGTAATGAATTAGACGATGGTTTTATCTTCGACGTCAGTATCTCTCACCATTTCACATTTTGGAGAATGATTTGATAGGGTAGAAGTAGAAGCAAAGTGAACAATTTCAACAGAGTGTGTGAAGAGTGCAGCCCTGTCCAGTACCCATAGCGTAAAACACGCCTCTCTCCCCGAGCCTATTTTTCCTTGTTGTGGATGAGCTTGTTAAAATGTTCAGCAATGGAGATGTAGTTCGCTGATGATGCTGTTTTACTTGCCGAAAATGAATTTACAATGCTTAAAATCGCTATACATTTTCTTTAAAAAGGGGTTCAGCCCACGGACCTCTGCCAGATTACCTCCTCTGTGTCTAGGCTCAATAAATATACTCATTTATCCTTTGAGCCTACTACAAATAGGGGCTGGATCTGGTTCCGCATTTGTGGTTCAGCTCAATTTCTTAAAAAATGCCAAAAACTAAGAAAAACAATGCCCAGTAACCTAATGCTAGTTCGTTATCTAAATTGCCCAATGCTTATAAAGAAAGCAGAGCATGAATTATCTTATATTTTACATCAAACATAAAATCATGCATCCTAATAAAATGTGGTCTGATAATACTCCCCTCCATAAGTTTGGCAACCAGCTCTCCAATTGAACTACGTGTTAAAGCCTCTTTACGTTTGAATTTTTATTTACTTAACCGACGATGAAATAACTTACAATATTGATGGAAACGTATTTCCAATACCTCCAAATTTTCTAATTTTTTTCCTCAATTACAATAGGACGAAAATTGATGATAAAGATGAATTTTTGAAAATCGCCATTCCCATGCAATCCAACGGGGAATGGAGGGTTCGGGGCAAATCAGAAATCAGGATATCTTTTTAGTAAAAGATTCAGCAAAAAATATTTTTGTATAGAAATTTGAATTGTCTAATTTTTTTTGTACACTAAGTGCTTAGTTTATTTGATGAATACTAAAGTTACAGCGCTTCAAAGTCATTTTTGAAAATGATTTTTCGCCACCTGTGTTATTTCGATGGGAGAGGTTTTTTGAAAAACAATTTTGACGTTAAAGCCCTATAACTTTTTTGAACCTGAAGAAACATACCAATTTTTTGTTAAATAAAGCTAGCAAATTCAATTAAGTAAATAAAAATTCAAAGGTAAAGAGGCTTTAACACGCAGTTCAATGGGGGAGCTAAGGTTGCCAAACTTATGGAGGGGGGTGTAAGTACAGACATGATGCAGACTGATATCAGGCTTTCATCAAAATACAACATGATCATTTTAGATTGCTTTGAATGATAAGCCTTTCGTTGTATCAATGTCTTTATTCCCATCCCTTCTCAGAAAACTGTGCATGCCTGGCTACCCTGCGCGAAGAGTCTAGTTATTAACTATGAAGACGAAGCTCTCTTTTAAGAAGTGAAGTCGAACGAATGCAAAGGTTAACTTACTACCTGACCATGCGACCACTTAAAACCAATACACGATGCCCATGTCAAGCAGCATGCCTACTAGGCACGCAGTTTGAAACTCTGACAAACTGCGCGCATATTTCAAAATCGAAGACGGGGAGGACACGACTCCCAAAAAGAGCCAGAATACGAAAAATACAAGGTTAGTCTCGTTCTAAAGACAGTACCATTCTGTGAAGATGAACTTAATTTACTCATAGTACTCAATGTTGTTCCCGATGTAAACCTAGTTATCTCAATATAAGGGTCTTAAGTAGCTTCTGTGTTCAAAATTCACAGTGTAAAGTTATATCTATGTCTTTTTATCGTCATTTGCCGTTTATTCAGCCATTGTGTCTGTGTATGCTAGGATATATAAGATCACTCCATCTGATTAAAGCAGCATAGTTTGTGTTCAAAACGATAATACGCCATAAACGTGATTTAAACATTTTTCTTGTCAAACTGCGCGCCTATATTCACATGTATTTCCCAAACTGCGTGCCTAATATTTTCAAACTGCTTACCTACCTAAGCTTGTTTTGTATTATTAGAAAACGTTAGCGCCATATGTAAGGCAAATATGTGTCTAATAGTAGAACCCCATAAGTGAAACACTATGAGAGTCCATCCACCAAGATGGTGATCTGAAAATAAAAGTTTTTCTTTCCCAACTTAATTGTCACTTCTATTATACATTTTGACTTTCAATATGAAAATCTCATAAAATCTGACGATAAAGCAAAATTTCCAAAGCTATATGAAAAACACCTACACGTGCCTCTGTATAAATTCCAATGATAATATGAATTTTTAATAGTGTTTGTAATTTCTGGCTAAAATAGGCGCGCAGTTTGTGCTTTATTTCTTTTTAATCTCCTGATTATCTGTTTTATCTCGAAATATTTTGAATTATACGTGATGAATGCGTAAAGAATTAAATATAAAACGAGTCTAAAGTATTTGTCATTTATGTTTAAAGTGCTAGATCGATTTACGTATAAATTGCCGTTAAATCAGTGACGAAAATGCCATTAATATGCTTATGTTTTAAAACTTCGATTCATTTGCACATAGTTTTTGCTAGTATTTGCAAGATTCGTATATTCGCCACAGAATGAACGCATTGAACAAGAAAACAATGCAGGATAAATTTCTTTAAATTACGTTTCAAAATACAGACTCCAACTTAAATGATGCAATGTTGCCAGGCACGCAGTTTGTGATCGAAACAAACTGCGCGCATAAGTAGGCGCGCAGCTTGACATGGGCACCGTGCAATACGAACATTGGGAACAAGAAAATGTCAAAATATGAGACATATCCAACATAGACTCCGTATGCCTTTTCTTTAATGATAGAAATATTCAAATGTCATAGAAAAATGTGACCCAACACTATCTTCAGGTCTTTTATCAACCAGTGTTTAAATTATACGTATAGTATACATGTTGGGTGGGTCTTAGGAAATAACATTTTTACATTGTTGGGACAAGAAGAAGTTTCCAAGTGTGATGAATGTTTCAACGGTCTTAATTTTTGGAAGAACCATACCACATTGTATTTTTGTTCCGCTATATCCAATAAATAAAAAATGTCCAATGAGTACAAGTAAGTTTTATTTCATTATCTAAATATTCATATATATAAATACACTACCTCCATAATTTTGGCACCTGAAATAATTCCCCCTTTGAATCAATTATAAAAGCCTGTTTATGGTTGGCGATTTAAAACTTGCCATTATTGAGGGGAGTGTAGCCTAGGGAACAGCGGGGTAAGAAGGGCCGTGGGCCAAGACAGACCATCAAGTTTATCTTATTGTTTCAGAGTATATATCGCCTAATATTATTCTGACATGGGATCATCACGACACCGACCTCACTCTCCGTTCATTTTTCAACGGTGAGGGACATATAACAGGGGCGGATCTGGGAACCAACAAGGGGGGGGGGGGGGGGGCAAATTTCAGCTCAGACAAAAACCTTTTGAGGCCCATTTTCTTCAGAATTTGGCCTGATATTATAAAATAAGGCCTTACAAGGCCAAGTAATGACCAAAAAGGCCCAATTTTTCAGCCCAATTTTTTTTCTGGGCCCACCCAAGGGGGGGAGGGGGAGGGTCCAGCGGCCATACCATTGTATCTCAATGTTCCTTGTTTCAATAAACATGGGTTCAGTGGACAGAAACCCTAGCAAAATATCTTTACGAGCTGTTAAAAATGACTGCTCTTAGGGTATCCGTCTTGTAAGCTTGCTGTGCCCATCGGATAGACTGAACTGTTCCATTATGCAGACCTATGATTTTGTTTAGGTATTGGGTTTCTTTCTTTACAACTTGTTGTTCTTTGATATTTCTGTTTTTTTTATATCTGTTTCATAAGATAATTTGTTTCCCTTAAATTCCCTCAGTCCATTGATTGTACTTGCGTATTTGACATGTTTTGATGCAATGCAATTTATGTCTAGGTAGTTGTGGCGTCAATAGATGGCACTAAGATAAGTCACGTGATATACAAACGTCCTTGACCTTTGGAGTTATTCTGCTTATGTATCATTTGGATGTCTTTTAGGAGACTCTAGGCTCTAGTCCCAGTTAAGAGAAGTTAGAAAATTGGAAGAAACAAATAGAAGTAACTATGTTTTACCTATTTATTTGAAATCAAATTTCGATATTCTAGATCCAGTTCTTGTTCTAGAACAATGATAAAATCTAGCTTCACTTGTTCATCGTCGGTCGTATTCGTGATCGTCACGAATCATCAATCTTTTTGATTTTTTACTCGAAATATTGAAAATGAAAATCTAAAATTGAATGTTCATGTTCATGTAGTGTTTACTCTATTGATTATCTTTACAAATAAACCAACAAATATTAGTTTGTATCCACACACACTGCCATTCATTACAAACATCATCTTTCATACGATGATCATCATGATCGTTAAAGCATATCGTTTCCTTTAATGGCGTTGGTAATGAAAGGCTCATTTTTGATTGTGATCGGGATTGTGATTCTCACATGGGCGTTAGGGGAAATGGTCCAATTATCGCATGGTCCTAAATCATAACAAGTCTACAAGTTGGAATATGCATCTGTCGCAAATCGTAATTGAATAGACTAGACCTGCTGGCAGGTGAGTAATTGGGTCAATGTTTCAGTCAGCATGTTGTGTTTTACTGCACAGTGTCTTTTACCCTAACAATATCGCTACTGCCAATGAACTTGAAGTAAACAATATTTATTCGTTAATCCGGGATAAATCTCAGTGATGTCGATTCCAAATAGGACCCGAATTTTACTGATGGTAATTATGAGGATCCATTCTGGCATATGTCACTACCAACTCATCAGGGTTCAAGTTCAAACATCAGATTTCTTCAGGTTTGCTACCATCAGTTGTTTTGTGAGCAGTTCGAAATCCTGGAAAATACAAAATTGTGATGACTGGTTACAAGATGGTCCTAGGCGTTAATTTGAAATAGTAGCATATGTGAAAGAGTAAATGATGACTTCAAGATTCAAGTGGGTTCAAATAAAAGCTTACGAAAATAGTGGACAATTACAGTCCAACAAATCAAGTTCATCTATGTCAGTTGTATAGATGTCACCATATTCTACAGTCCTTTTACTTGTACATACACTGTCGTCTTCATAAAGTTACTTTGAAACACTACTTGTACAATCACGGAAATACAAGAGGGGGGGGGTCACATTTACAGAGACATATTATATGTGAGATAGTAAAGAATACTTACCTCTATTTCAGCCAATGTTTTAGCACTAATCATCCCACCAGGTTTGTACGTTGTGGTGCTACCCCTGGGACTGAGTCCATTTGGTTCATGGCTATCAATTGTTTTCGAGTGTTCAAGCGTAGAACTCTCAAACTGTTGAGAAAGATCAGTTGACAGAGGATCGTTAAACACTGCATCTGAGTCATCAGAACTCTCAGAGTCAATAAGATTAACAGTAGACACTTTTTCAGATAGAACACCATCTAAATGACCACCACTTTGGGGAAATTCCAGAAATTTATTTGCGTAAGTCAATGCTTTCATGTGCTCGATGGCTTGGGGATCCCAGTTTTTGCGTCTTCGACCTGAACTTTGCTGGGAGTCATCTGAGTTTGTGCTATTTCCTGATCCTGAGCTGTTGACCGAATACCTACTAGGGCTCTTACATCCTACATTTGGCGAACCATTGTCCATACCAGATTCTTGTACAGTGACTAATCCGTTGGATTCTTTTGGTGACAAGCTCATTGTATCCAAAATATTATGTGGTGAATTTGGAACATTGATTGGTTTTGTCTGCGATCGTTTTTCAGTGTTAATATTTTTGAGAACTTCTTCTACGCTTTGCCTTAGCTCTTCTTGATGTTCAACAAGAGTCATTTCTCTTTGGCGTTTGCACGAAAGATCCTTCAATGCTTTCTCCTTGTTTGCTTCCTGTAGCGAAAGGTTTTTATCTATGTGCTCAAGCTTCTCAGAGAGTTCTTTGAGTTTCTCTTCAGCCATGAGATTCTGACCCACAATACGGGGCTGTGGTTTTTTCTTCGTCTTGAAGGGCATGAACGCTTGCTTCCTTTGTGTCTTTGGTGATGACTCGAGATTCATTTTCTGTAAGGTTTCCATCTGTAAGTATATCAGTGTATTTACATTTCCTAACAATGATGGTTGCATTGAGAAACACAATTAGATGGAAGATTGAAAGACGAGTTTACAATCATTACGGAATACTGTTTTATTGTGATGTAAGAATAAGCTGAGGAGAAAACAAATATCACCTAGTATTTTCTCAGATTGATCAATTTTCTAATGTCAGCGACGCACTTGAGCTATCACTGAATCAGATGTTTTTGCTATAACATCTTTTTGATTGACAGAGATAGCATAATATCTGTTTATAATTTATATTACTTAATATTACTTTTATGTAACTTATGTTTTGATTACCAGTGAAGCTAGCGCGCGCTGTGTCAAACTATAACATTTAACAACTTGTTTTTATTGTTTTACTTTTATTCTATCATTACTTGGTCTATTTTCTCACCTTTAACTGTGTTGATATTTTTCTTTGTTTTAGGTATGTCATGTCTCGGACCGTCTTCATTTCTTCCGCCACCTGTGCCCTGTGGTATTTATTGGCTATGTCAGCCTTACGTACCCTCGGTGATCCGAAGGGGGCATTTGTTAATGTCACTGGGTCTGTGTGGGATCTTTGGTGAACGTTCCCAGGGGAATTCAGACACTAGAAAAATAACAATATTTTTTATTTTCTTACATGTATGTTTTAATCTTTACTTTATGCTTTCATCAAATCTACAAATGTCCGTTTATTTGTAATTGCAGATCTAGATTGCCACTACGAGGACACAAAAGATGGCGAATGCAAAGAAGTCACAGATGATGTCAAAGGCTCTACTGCAAAGATCCAGCGTATTCGAACTGCCGCTACATAGACCAGGTCCTTGTGGGTCAAGTATAACCTCCTTTGCCTGTGAGCCGAAACACAGCGATCACGATCCTCACCATAGGCAACAGAAGAAGGTCCAATTTGAGAATACATACCGCATGGAGCCTGAGACGAGATTCAAGATAGAGACAGTACAGGAGATTATACGTGAGGTTCTACAAGAGAATCTAAAGGATAAAATGTATGATCCCATTGACTGTAGCTTGTTATGTAAGGACCTTGCGCAAGAGATTAAAGTCAAGGTAAAAGCGCTTGGATTCGCCAGATACAAGATAATATCATACGTCACAATTGGGGAAAAGAAGGAACAGGGCATGCGATGTGGCAGTAGAAATATTTGGGATGCATCTAGGGACAATTTTGCCAGTGGCAATTTCGAGAACACAAGCCTCTGCGCGATGGCAACAGTGTATGCAATTTATTACGAATAAATTGTCGAATTGATGTTTCTTCATATGACAATGATAGAAAATGCGGATGGTGCCTAAAAAGTTCAGAGACGTTTCTAAAAAAATATTTTAAAAGTTATTGTTTGTAAAAGTTTTAATGGTAATAAAATGTAACTTTACATTATGATTTTAAGAACATATATATTTGAGGTTCCTGGAATTAGGCTACTGTATCTTTGACTGCTAACTGACTGCTGGAATAAACGTTCAAAGTCATATTCATAAATAAAATGGAAAGGTCATTAATCTAAATGCCAAGAGTAATTTCTTATTGCAGCAGAAAAGATATATGATGTTATCAAAGAAAAGATGATTGCACAACGCAGACCAAAACACATTACGTTTTTTTATTAGTTTTTATCAATCGAACAAAGTAATGAAATCATTAAATACCATTTCTACTGGTTGCTTGGCAAATATGGAATTAAAATGGCATTTCCATAAAAAGCTTTTATTGGATATCCTTAGGCCCACAGAAAGTAATCCAGATCATCTGCTCTGCAATCTAATATCTACGATCTACTATCTGAGTAAGTTACAAGTTATTGTGTGATAGTAAAAGATACATAGCTGATTCATCCCTATTTGTCCTTGGATAAGTGAAAGAATAATCCAAACAAGAAATGTATTCCTTGACAATTTAAGGATTTTCTAGCAGGATGCTTGATGGGTAAAAGCATTTATAGGACTAGTGTATAAAGGTTCCAGGAAATAGTGTTATTTGCCAGGTTCTGCGCTGTTTGAAATTGAGCATGCGAAGACATCTGTATTTTTATCAATTCAATCAAATATATGATGTCATAATTTGCAGATCTTCGGTATACTTTCAAATAACTATCAAGTGGATCTTCCAATCTTATCTCCCAATTTACGATAATTACCTAAATATTTGAAGTAAATTACAAGTCGAGTTATCTATGGTGGCATGTTGATATATACCTTTCAAATTGGTACATTTAACAACAAGATAAGGTCAGTATCTGGATTTAGGAATACACTTGGGTTTTGAATACAACCCCCGAATTTAGATTAAACACAATTTATTCATTGAAATACACCTTTTGAATGTTTAACAACATTTTATATTAATCTTTGAAAAAATAATCAAAAAGCCTGTCCATCCACCACTGCACGTTCGGAGTTATTTTGTGCCTTGAACTACGAAGATACAAATGAGACATTTTTATTTTTATGATTTATGAATTGTTTCAGATTCTTTTTAAATAATCCTCTTTAATCTTAGTATTGAACATGGGAGTCAATGAGAAAATGTTTTCCACAGTTTGTGAGGGGAATGTATTTTGAATTTTGTTTTGATTGGCTGTGATCTTCCTTTTCACTAATAGATACTGGCATAATAATCAAGCACAGTAAATGAAATTGTGCATCATTGAAATAAAAACAAAGGTCTAAAATTACTCGACAAATGTTTCATATAAAAACAAAACATTTCTGTTCAGCTATCTCACTGGATAACAAACTAACAGTTGTCTACGTATTGACTGACGATTCTTTGCCCTTGATGACGTAGTCATTTGTTTTTCTATGAGTTGATTCATTTTCTCTCCATTATCGCATGATTACTTTCTTGTTTTTACTTTCAATAGTAAAGATAACAAACGTCAATTGACAATTATAATCTACAAATCGAAAATCCCGGAATTACAATGCAGATGTATCAGTTATAAATGTATTAAGATGGACCTTGAAGGACCTTGATTTACATTGCACAAAAATAACGAACATATTCTATTTTAATTACCTATATTAAAAAGTGATTATTCTTTCCAAGAGTGGCAAATACAAGAACACACCAATTTGATTCGAAAAGTAGAGATATGCATGAATGAATAAGAGAAGTCCGGATGGTTTATTCATTCTGTAATTCCAATCAATTGGTTGTGCATGAAGTGGAGAGTAGCAAGGGTTTTAGGGAGCTTACGTTTAATCTCCATATATTACTAACTGTATTTGAAATCAAATATGATGACCATCATAAAGATACTGTAAGTTGTAAAGCATCATACGATGGAGTGTGTAAGTCATCTTTACTGCCTTAATATAAGTCTATGAATTACAACGTATACAACTATCTAGAACCGACTGCCAAAATTTAGCAATGAAAATTGTCGACCAAGAATTAAAATATTTCCACTTATTTTCCTTACCTAACATGCACCATCAACATTTTACAGGTTAATGTGCCAAAAGCACCAAACAAATTACTATATCTAGTAAATATGAATATTTGCCAAATTGATAAATTGTTTTGAACTTAATGTACTTCAAAGTATAAGAGGCTCTACAGAGAGGACTCGATTTATGAAACTTGAATAAAAAAATTGTAAAAAATCGTATATAGTTTTAAGTATTGAAAATCAACATTTCAACAAAATACATAATCTAACAGTGGATGAACGAGTGAGTATATCTTGCCGTGGCAAACTATTGTATCACTTACCTGGTCTTTGCCAGATTTCCGATATTGTAACTGCTCTTTGGTCTTCAACATCTCGGCCAGTAATTCCTGCTTGAGATCACTTCCTCCAGAGCGACGATTAACAGATGTGTCTGCAATTATAAGTCAGGTGTATGAAATGCACGTTGTCTGCTGTGATATAACTAAGCTAACTTGGAAGACGATCTGACTTCCAGATGTGCAACCACGTGATGCTTAATTGGAAAAATCTGACAGCCTCTTTCTACTTTTTGTTTGGTTTAATGACCAGTGCATATGTCAGAATCAAGAGTTGTGTTTGTTAAATAGTCTATCCATCCAGATGGAGAAAATAGTAACGTACTCAAATGTAGGCCGAAAGTCTAAATTCGGAAAAATCATGGAATGAAAATCGGTTAAAATAACATTTTAATAGCCTGTCAACTCGACGTACATTAATCCCACGATGAGGCATGGATCTACACCGTGGCTTGTATAGGATGACATAAAAGTTGCGGTATATGCCACGCCTTACCATCTGAGTCCATCCATTTCATGGAAAAACAATATGTGATGGGTATAAGATTAGAATGGTACATTCATTTTCAAATTAATAAACCACAAAAACGAGTAACGTATAAACGCACGATATATCATTTGTATTATATTACAAACGGAAATTGTAACAAATGATCTGTCTTCGCGAGGATCATGATCAAAAAGAAGTAGCTAATTAGTATACAGAATAACAATAGAATATATCTTTCGGGTTCACTAATCAGTTATCATTTGTCTCTTACCACCATTTAAAATGATGCCTCGGTTTTTGCAATCAATACACAATGCAGAAAGCTCTATCCCGATACAGAGTTCTCCATCAGCTGCTGCTACCAACAAGGGAGCTACAGATTAATTATTTCAGAGACATGTTTTTTATGTCTCTGATTATTTTGAAGAGAAATTCTAAATCAAGCTGGCCAGGCTTTTTCCTTATTTCAAATTCCCAAAATTGCAAAATTCAAAAATGTCAAAATGAAGGTAAATCCATTAGCTCCCGGGTGTAAAAATAAATATTTATAGTTTTACTTTGCCAAAGGAAAGTATGCCAAGATGTACTAGTTATAGATAAGTAAGTTAATTGTTGGATTTACACTAGATCCCTAAGACGTCTTGGCTAAAACGTTTTAGCGTTAAAATGTTTTACAAATAAAATGTAATGTAAATCCAGATTTTCTCAGGAGCTCTCGGCTAAGAGCGCTTAGCTAAAACGTTTTAGGACCCTAGTCATAGCCAAGACGTCTTAGCGTTACGTTTTACAAGCGAGTGTAAATCCATCGGTTTTAGCTAAGAGCTCTTAGCCCTGTTTTTTGCGTTGCGCCGAACGAAACATTTGAAACTTTCTATTTACATAATGTCGCATGGTCCTTATCCCTTGTTCCCAATATCATCCCAAAATTATTGAGAACTTATTTGCCTGGCGATCTATCATAATCCTAATTTATGCATAAAATCTTCCTGCTCTCTTTCATGCTTTTAACAATGCCGTCTTTAAGATATATTTTTGTGAAACCGATGCAGTCTTTAACACAAAGTATAGAAGCGGGAAAAAATAGCTATATTGACTGTCAAACCGTCCTTCAACCAGTACTGAACTGCTTTTTTCATTTTATGTATACCTACATATCTCTAAGACGTTTTAGAAAAACAGGTGTGAACTTAATCATATTGAACGTCTTGAAAATTGTGGTGTAAACTCAACATAGTTTTTCTAAAACGTTTTAGCCAAGACGTCTTGGAATGTCGCGCGTTGTGTAAATAGGGCTAGTATGTCATTTCCAAGGTAACAGGTAGGTTTACTCAGATCTTGGGTAAGTACATCTGTAGCAGGCATGTTGTACGTTACCATGGCAAATCAATCAGTGTATCCACATGCTTGCAATTTAAGGTAGCTCTCAATTTCTTGAATTTATATTTTTAAGAGTTGATATTATTAGTGAAATGTAAACTTAGTTAAAATAACACGAATAGGCCTTGAAACAAAGTAAATGTAACCATACGAGTATTTGTTAATTCTTTCATAATAATTGCAATATAACAAAATTGTAAGAGAAAATATCAGACGAATCATTACATAATGGAACCTCTAATTAGCCAATCCAAAAGTTAATGAACCAATTGAGTGTGTTAATCCTCTAAACTCGCAAATCCCTACGTGCAAATCCTCTAATAATCCTAGCAATATGCTAATCCAGCAAATTAAAGATGTTGTGCATTCAGTAAATTCGCTTTTGCCTAAATGTCAACAATTTAAATGTTGTTGTTCTGTCATTAAGAAAACGTTTCAAAAATGTGTTTATTGTACTTTAAATGATATAATTGTCAAATGTTTTTTCTCATTATATGATTGTCAAATGTGTTTCTAATTTAAAATGATATAATTGTGAAATGTGTCATACAGGGTGGTCCAAAAAATGGGACAATTGTATTTCAAAAATAAATATAGATTTTAATGATGAAATCAATTATAGCCCTTAACCTTGGCATAAACTGGTCAATTTAGCATCATTGATATGCCGTGGAGACAATGAATGGCCAGCGATTACTGTCTTTTGGGCTCTATTGCTTGGAGCAGTTTCTTTTTTGGAAAATGTAATGATCCAAAAATGAGCTCATATCAGGAATTCCCCCTCATCACTGCCAACCCCAGATCATCCGATGCCAATGTCTGCGACTATCACTTCTGGGGAGAACGTAACAGAACTGGTGAACAATCATTCTGATACTCACATCTTTCTGTCTTCAACCAGAAGTATACGTATACTAGTGTGAAGCTAATAGAAGGCCACGATATCTCATAATGGTGAACAATGAACCCCCAATTACATCTATCAGTCCCTTAGAATAGATGAGAAGTGGAATCATTGTGGAATCAGAAGCATATCAATGATGCTATTGACCAGTTTAGGCCAAGGTTGGGGGCTATAATTGATGAAAATGGTGGACATATTGAACAACTGTTTACGTAAATAAAGTTGTTTTTAAACTTGTTTTTTACAAGATTTGGAAAACCCGTTGAAATAAAAATGACGGCATTTTATTATGGACGCTGGTTGACAGACATTACAATAAATTTGAACTTATGATATACCAAATTAAAGATAATTAAATTAACTATCCACTTGTGTATAAAATGACATGTTTTTATCACAACTTATATTTTTCAAATGCCAGTGTCTCATTTTTTGGCCACCCTGTACACCATTATCAAATGATTGTGTGGCTTAGATATATGTACTTGTCAAGTGTATTTCATTTTTGGAATGCAATTTTGCTATACTTGAAATGTATTTCTACTTTGAAAACTATTATTGTCGAATGATTTTCTGAATGTGTATGTCAAATGCATTTCTGCTTTTTAAATAATACAATTGTCAAATGTATTCTCCTTTAAATGATAGAATTGTTAAATGCATTTTGCTTTAAATGATGTGATTCTCAAATGTATTTCGAAATTATTGTCAAACATGATTTTGCAATTAGTACATTGTAATAAATCTGTTATCATTGTTCATCCGCCCGTATATTGTGTCCTACCTGAGTATGAATCTGTGCTAAGAAGGCTGCTGGCACTTCCGATACTGCAACGGGAATCAACATCCTCCATAGTCGTACAATCCTTGTTATTTCTCACTCTCGCTAAGACTGCCTGAAATTACATGAAACCACAAGTTGTAAATTCCAATCCCACGAGTGAAATTCAGTTAAATTACCAAATTACAACCTGGAGATGTCGCAGCGTCCCTCGGCAGAGCTATCAAAATGAACGTAATTTAACTGTCGCTATTCTGTTATAATATTTTGATACTTCTGATGAAGTTTTATTACTCTCTGTCTCCTAATATTTATTCTACCTGATGAACTAAGAATAACACAGATCAATATTTTGCTTGTAATAATCTTTCCTATAATAGCCATTAATCTAATGTCCTGAGTTTGTTGAAATTGTCTCTTATTTGTCTCGGGTAAAGGAAGGTGCTAGATCTTGAATTAGTTTTATAATAGATGTTTTATTCCGAGACCTCGTTCCTTCGCACTTTAGAAACTATTAATTCTAATCCAGTCGAATTTATTTATCTAGTAGTTGTATGCTTGTTCGAAGTGTTGCTCTTGCATACACATGAACATACGCATTAGTAACGTATTTAGATGATAGAGTCCACGGCCAGGTACATTTACGTATAGAGCACTAGGTCAACTGCTTTATATAGGTACTGGACCGAATGGCTTGGATCATCGATTGACTTATACCAAGAGATTTTGTTGGACCTATAGCTTGGGGAAGATAATAGAATGTTTATTGAGTCCTGGTTAGTTAATAGGATATTCTGGTTTGTAAAAAGTATGTCCTGGTCAGTAATAATATCCTGGTTAATTCCAACAATGAATGTTTTCGATGAACATGTTGTCTGTGAAGCAGCAACCTGTTATAAGTAAGGAATGGAGATTGATGACTACAGTTGACAGAGCCGACAATGAAACACAGGCACAGTCTTGCCTAAAATTGAGACCCCCTGTACTTCACCTTCTCAACAGGTGAAGGGGGGGGGGGACACAGTCTTGGAGCAATGAGGACACAGACATGGCATTCTGCTAATCTGGCGATCGCCAAATTCATAGATGTCCCATGTTACTTTAAAATTGATAAGGACAGAAGAGCTTTAAATGCTTCCGTTTCCCGTCAACTGATGTTATACCTGAAGTAATGCATACCTCCAGTTTTAAAATACTCAATCATATGTCAATTAAACTCTTAAAATGAGCTGACAGCGAAAGAGGAGCCCAACCATAAATGTCAGGAAGAACTACTGGTCAAGAATTCTGGTCTCACTAAACAATGTCATTGAGGATGATCCACTTGAAACTAACAAAACTTTGAAGTATTCTTATCTTCCAATGTATGCATCATACAGTGTATATATTAGTCACTTCACCACAATAGTGTGGTAGTAACTATCATCAATCATTGATTGTGTTCAATGTCGAACATCCACTCTCATGTGTTATGACACAATCCCATCCTGAGTGTTAGCCTACCAGGGGCGTACCAGATTAAAACATTATAAGAAGAAAATGGAAATAGGTGCCAAACAAGGTATACTAAATCATTTTCATAGTTTTATTTGAAAAATGTCAGTTGAGGCAATTGCCTCGCCTTCCTACGCACATGCCTACACGATTACGATGCTGCTTATTTAGGTGAAGCCTAGAATGAACACATGCATCTTCATTCTAGTTCAAGTCTTCATCAAGCTTGCTCTCCATCAATCTTTATATATGATTGAGGTACTCGTGTGTCGGATGAGGAGCACCATCACCATGCAACGCAGTCGCCAAAGTGCACTCACATATAATAATCATATATTTATTTATATTCCAGGCACATCATAAATGGCCTAGCAATGTCCACGAGGAATTCATGGAGTTGCTACAAGAATGGCAGTTTTTTGGAATCTTCTTTCTCCGCCCAGCGATTTTATCTTATTCATGCTTGATAGCATTAAGCGATTGCGTGTGGAAAAACGGTACCGAACACATTCAGAACAGAGAAAGAAGATATGGTGACCTGGGAAGAGGAAAACAATAACATTTGCCCAGCTTATGTTTATCCAATCTTTATTTTCAGACCTCACATTAAAGATGTAAAATAGATGCACTAGGAGTATGGCTAACTTACGTCAAACGTTTATTAATGATCGATGCTTGGCTTAGACACATGTTGTTGCCCTTCGAGGTCAAGGTCATACAAGGTCATAGTCTTGCCCCGGTCTTGATTGGAAGATATTTTAAATGTCTCTCATGCTGCGATGTTGAAACTGATTCAAAACCAATTTTCTATTTCATTGCTTGTCAACGAACTTGAACAAAATGCATAATTTCCCGTGAATCGTGAAAGTAATTGCTTAGAACGCACATATAGAAAAGGGCCATGGTGATTAAATGATCAATTATCGAATGAAAATTTGCCTTACCGTTTATAAATCTATTCGAAAATTACTCTCCAAAGCATCAACATTCATTCGTATATGTTCAACTATATCCACATTTTGTATCTCTACTTACATTTATTAAAGCACTCTCTCCCACCCTTTTCATGTTCATGTACTGTTCAAGATTATTTCAATGTTTTGTTTTGACATATTTAAAAGTTCCTAAGGTTAACGTTAGAAGTCAAATAATCTTGACGCTACTCGACCAAAAACAAACGAAGTTGAATGTTGCATGTCAAACCTACATTTTTGTACTATGAAATCCAAAATTGATAGGTTATTCTTTTTTTGGAATGCTATCCTTTAAAGCAATTTCTAAAATTGGCTTTCAAATGTCGTCTTGATTGATATCAACCACTTGGCGGAAAATGGGTTTAGATAAACTTCAAGATATGAAGACGTCATGACGTACATTTTGTGTGTCAAAGTAACAACTGTCAAAATGTTCAAATTGAATAAAACCTTTTTGCCCTTTATTTTCTTTGTATGCATGGTTATGATAAATATTCAGTCCAAACATGAAATACTTGAAATGTGATATGAAGGGTTTACAATTTGAAATTGATTTGCGTGTAAAAAGATATCAAAAGCTGTCTTCGCGATCGTCTATTCAGTCAATATTGTAACAGTGTCCTAGACATTCATTGAAGTTCCTATTTTTGTTAGTTTCAATTATCGTTCACTTTTATTAAAAAATATATCAGCATTTCATACATGACGTGATATATATTGTGGTAGCTGCAAACTGCGATACATTCAGCCTTCAGCCCCATATTGTACTCTAAACGACATTCTATGAGAGAACTGATAACTAAATAGCCGCGAATCAGTATTCCTTATCTTGCTCTCGTACTCGGAACAGTAGAACAGCACTCCAATGACATTTAATATAACCTTATCAGCATTTTCCATAAAATATATTTGAAGCATTCATCTCATATAAATGGCAATAAAAAGCTCATTTGGAGAAGGACTATAAATCTTTCTTTCAGACCTCTACACTATAAATACCTAGGGCAGGTACAAAAGTAGAAACACCATGGAAATCAACAAAACATAAATCATGAATGTCCAGGTTTATAGTTCATCTAACATTAATCAGTTCTAGGATCTTTTATGTTTTATCACCATGGTACTGACCTGTGACGATTGACGCGTCATTCGTTTGTGTTGTTGTTTTAAGTACCTAAAGATGCAAGTTGTTATTCTATTTGGAGATCTCTGGTTTTGAAAATAAGGAGATTTACCATGGAAATGTGTCACGAAACAAAGCGATCTGATCTCTAACTCGTCCCTGAATCTATAAATTGCAATTGCAATGTCTAACTTTACCTAACAACGCAAATGATATATAATTCCGGCCTCAAAATATCAATTTACATTTAAGAATTGATTCGAATTATGAAAATCCCTTTTCGGAAAAGATCAATTGTTTCCATTTAATTCTATTCCTACCTTAATCTTGCTAATTTGAAATTTTCCAAATATATGATCTCCAAACAAATATCACAGCTACATGTAGGCCCATGCTAAACCATAATAAATCATTACTCATCAACTCCACGTCTTCTTAGCTATTCTTTTTCTCATTAGAGAGATCAGAATTTTTGCTGCAAGTTTTCATATATCTCATTAGATTTCCAGATCGAAGTAGTGTTTATTAATCAGTGTGCTGTCAGCCGTGCCAGAATCAGATTATATTGTAGTCTTTACTATTCAGTATTCAGCGTTGAATATTCTCAAGTTAATATCAGTCAGATCAGTCAATACTTTATTAATACATAACTGGTATCACATTGTCTTGTGTGTCTTTTTCCTCAATCGAAATGTCAGCTACTCTCTCTCGCTAATCTCCTGCCTTGACGTATCCCGACCTAATCCAGGAGTTCCATTTAGAAACAAAGCCTAATTTAAAATGAGAGTCCAAAATTGCAATGCCCAAGGAGTATGTTACATTTCATCGAAGTTTTACTTAAACCTTTTTGAACAATCGGTCAATGCTCAAATGCAAAAAATATTGAAGTTATTGATTCACTTTACTGTCTGGATGCTATCAAACCATCAAGGGTTCGTTATCTTAAGAAACACACTCGTCTTATGTTTTATACACTGATCACTGAACCATGAACATCAATATGGATATGTCAAATCGAATTAATTAATCAATGAACCACGATTATTCAAGGGTATTTCAACACTATAGTAAGTAAACTCGACACAGAGATTAAAGAAACCTTCAGTGAACATTCAAGTACATTTAAAACCACCGAGCTTGAATATTAACGAACATTGTTGAACATTAAATAACCTCATCTTGTTTCACATATTGGTCAAAAGCCAGATGAGAACAAAATTATGAGATAAGTAAAGTGAGATTTCTTAATTGGAACGCTTCGCAGATGTTCCACTTATAGAGGTTCGTGTACAGTTGGCCATTAAATCAATGGATTTTGACATTGTTCCATTACACTATAGAAGAGTCCCACTTCCAGAGGTGTTCCACTTGGCAGATTTTACCGTACAAAATCTTATTTTCCGTACGTGGTCTTAACCCTATAACCCCTCTCATCACTCCGTTTAAAGAGGTGTTCCACTTGACAGTTTTTCTATTTGAACCATGTATTTTCACCCTGGCCTTTTTCACTCCGGTCCTATAACCCCATTTACAGCTTGAAAATATAAATGTAAACCTTCTACCTTGTGTTTAGATTGAACAACTAAAAGACTTTAAAAACTCAACTTACCATGAACATCTTAAAAATCTGTCCGTCTCCACTTTCCAGCAATAACTGAAGTTATTTTGCACACAAATAAAAACGATATAAAACAGACTAACTGGTGAGCATCTACGTCATATCAATAACATAAATGAAGATAGAATATGATTCATTAATGGCTAATTTAGTGTAATTGGTCACCTGTCCTCGTTAAAATAACGCACAACATCTGCAATAATTGGGCACCTGGGGCAGTGATGTATAGTAATAAAGGGAATACCTGAAATTGTCCCCGTCTTATAACGATTTATCCTTTCCAAGTTTACAAATTTTACATCAAATCTCCATCTTGAATTCTGATGTTTCTGTTGTGAATTCCACTCTCAAACTCCTCTCCATAAGTTTGGCAACAGGAAAATATCAAGCATAAAGTATGAAAGCCTATGTTTGAATCTTAATTTCCGAAAGAATACCCCGAGAACATTTGCTGTCATGGGGTTAGAATACTGCGCATATATATTAGATTCTATACGATGGTCTATTTACTATAATTTGTCATCCGAAAAATAAAACAATCATGAGATATTGATCTTATTCACTTACTTTGTTTCGTTTCTTGCTTCCTTGTTCAATTTGCTGTTAATATTTATTAACAAAAGTTAGTTATCGAGAACTACTGTTGATATCGCTGCTTGTGATATTCTTCTTTACAATTCCTCCAATTTTAAGTGATGATGATTCTTTTGCAGATAAGCTTATTTATTTTGAATACCACAATGGATTGTTTTGAATTCCAGCAACATTAAATGCTGCACTTTGCTCAATTTTGTTCTGTAGAAATTATACAAACATCTGAAAATGTGTCATTTTTGATACCTCGAGGTGATTGTTTTGATGAGTCAATTGATGTGACGTATTTTCCCAACCACTCAGTCAATAAAATATGCACCCATATGGTCCTTCCGCGACCACATCAATTAAATTCGCCTGGATGTGAAACTGGCCTTATCTAAGGTCAAAAGTAGTTTCTTGAAAATCTTTGAATAGATTGCCGGTGTCCATTTGCGTTGTGCAATACATTAGAATGTCGCAGACCTTTTTGAGGAACTGTATATCTTGTTTACTGTCTTAAAGGCGGCTTTAGATGGAAGATTAATTGCTACACCTGTAATTGAATTCACGCCTTTAGAGCATGGGCTTTGGATTTACAATGGCATGAGATTGTCGATCATTCTAGTACATTCTCCTGGTAATTTCCTCAAACGAATTTTCATCTCAAGTAGATTCTGTTGTAATTTCCGATATCGTCTTTGTTCCCCTAAAGATGTAAGGATGACGACTAAGGTCTCTATATAGTGATCTGTTCCCGAGTGATAGATGTATAGACTCTCCCAGAGTAATAATGCTCAATGGCTTTACCAAGGGATTACTATATCAGGCGTACCTCTAGCAATCTATGTCCAACGAGATTAACAGTGTATTTTCTATTTCTGAGTAAATATTTTATTTGCATATCTATTCTTGCGGCTAATACATTTCCCGGACTCAAGTTCCATCGTTTGTTTGGAAAATGCAAAATTTGTTGAACTTTCGTCGACGAACATGAATTGAATTTCTGTATGGATACGTGTTCAAAGTTTGACGTCGATCCTAGCTGCGGGCCAAACACCTTTCCATTATCTGTGGTCTGAAGGAGATGTTTGGCACTGAGTCCTAAATGTACATTTGCAATTATAAATTCTTTTGGCACAAACAGTTACAATTTACTTTTCGTAAGTTTACACCTTTATGTCATGTTCACGCCATGTCAAATTGACCATCCATAATACAACAAATTATACAAATCGTGTGCATCCAGATAATTCCAATGTAGGATGAAAAGGTAAACTTACCTGAGTTGGAGTTTCGAATCTTTCCTTGTGCTTGGGCCTTACATGGTCTTTAATTACCTGAAGATATAAACAGAGAAACCAAACTTAGCATAAACATAAGTTATAGAGACAACAATATTTTAGTCCACGATGGATGAATTGAATTGGCTTAGAGATAAGTCGGCCAATAAATCAATGGGATAATTGTTATCTCGGTTGTGTAGTGATTGAAAAGGGTTGTCATCTCGATCTTTCTAAACCTTATCTCTCCACACTTTTCAATTGTCGCTTAACAATTTGATTGTAATGTTCACTACGAAGATTAAATAGAAAGAGGTTTTGAATTTGCATGTATTTCATTTTGTCTTCTCTACAATGATGAGATGAAGACGAGAGGTAAATGCGAGAGAGCAGTTGAGAGAGGCTAGGTATTTAACGTAACAAGGGGGCTAGGTTGGAAGACTGTTCCATTGTTATAATGCTGTGCCATATATAATGTTTGGTGCACCTTGGTCCCACTTGATCGCCGATCGGAGGCTGCATCTGACCATTGCCAAGTAGAAAAGCCCGGGGGACGTCTCTAGCATCTTGCATGAACACTTTCTCGAAGCATGCGCATTTGAAAAATATTAATCTATTATGGAAATTCAATGACAATGTGTCGTGCAAGTCAACATCGATGAGCGCTGAATTACATGCTCTAGTGGACAGCTTCTCTAGGAATCAGTGGATTGGAACCAATCAATTTTAAACCAATGCTAATCCCGGGGACTGAAAAGTGACATTTTAAAACACAGCACATTACCTAAGTATGTTATTTTTCCAAAACATGAATGTAAACATCGTTTTGTTATTAAACAATATGTCGTGGATAGACAACACAAAATTGCAGACATGTGGAAGATGCGACTAATGCGTATTCCTTAATGTTGTTTAATTTGTAGGTCGGAGCTCTGGATAAAGGTGCTCTAAACAGTAAATAGTAAGCTTGCTTGCTAGCTGAGTGGGCGGAATACACGATTAGATTCGATAGCTAAGTATGACAATGAATTACAAAGTGGATAGTTATGAGAAAAATATTCTTTATTGCATTAATTATAAATTATATGCAAATAAACTCTTCCTATTTTCACCACGTTTTCATTTTACAATATCCAGTGATATGTTATCGATGATCATGTATGGGGGAATATGTCTGATCAATTAACTTAATACAATCTTTTTTCACCAAAGGTACAAGTGCCACATGTAAATTTCAAAAGATAATCAAAATCGTATTTCAAGTAACGATGAAACAACAACTGTGAGCATGCATTGTTCCTCCGGATCCTTCCTCTTGAAGTTAGTTGCAAATGTGACAAGTGCAACTTGGCCGGATAGCATCCCATCCATTCTGATACTCATAGTATCTCTCTCTGTTGCATCTCTATCCCCGGGTCTATATCCAGAAGGATAGAGATGGAGAGGGTGTGGCTTACCACGATGCATCCCATCACAGATCTCTTGTAATTGTGTCAAGTATAGTATAGCTCAGCTGTCAGAATAAGACTGCAATAGGAACGCCATCTTTATTATGTCAGGTGTACAATATCATGAATGATCACTGTCTTAAATCTACCATTCTGATTATCTGTTTTATCATGTTACAAGAGTATCTACATTTAAAGAATTCCAAAGATTACGTAACATGCTCTTTCTAAAAGTTTGATTTCCTTTTAAAAGAGAGTTTCATCAGCCTAATGTGATAGGCTAATGATAATGTAATAGGCTCTGACCAGGGTAAATAAGACCACAATGTGAATCGAATCTACACTTGCGATCTTGAGAGATCGATCGAGCGCGTCTCACATTGCACTTGTTGATAAACTCAAAATATTTTCTGTTTAATTCCAATCCATGATAATCATCTACAAATTACAATTTGTATTTAGAAGTTCCAATTTCCCACTCCATTTTCGTTCTGCAAGTTATTTGAAATGAAATGATGAACGAAAATGGCAGGTAGGGTAGCCTATACCCTTGTGACCTCACCCCGTATAGCTCTCACATCACCTCTACAAGGATCAAAGTGAAGAATACCATGATGGGTATACATCAATGCATTTATCAATATGCATGCAATTCAAGCAAATTCATTCACTTTGGGATTGGATGAAGAAAAGGCTACCATGCGCGCAGAGTCTAGTTATAAACTATAAGAAGCTCGATGTCGAACGAATCCAAAGGGTAAGAAAAGGCTTGAAAGTCTATGTTAACAAGCTATCCGTTGATTCTTGATGATCGAATTGATGAACTGACATATGAACCAATAATCATTTTAATCCATCGGTGAAAAAATCATGATTTCACCATGTTGCAATTTGACAAAACACTGATATTACCTATCTATGATGATATGCGCTTTGTATAGAATGTGGAAATAGTAGAAGCGGCTAGTTCACACTAGAAAATGCACACTTGTCTTTTTAACATCCAGGCAAGACAATGAATTATATAATTGATCAAAAATATTCTAAAATTGAGAATTCAAATAAGTAGCTTTGTATTCCTGACTAGAGATCTCCCCTTGATAAACGCTATTTGCAGCGACCTACCTGCCAGAGAGACATCTTCGAATCAATCATTATATCCCGATCTTTGATGTTCATTACATTCCACATTTACCTGAAACTTTGTATGATTTTTTTGCTCTCTGTGTAGGTATAATGCACATCACTTTTAAGAGCAAGATATCCGGTTGAACTTTGTAAATATCAAATGGAAAATTGTCGGCAGAACGAGGTTTATCTTGAAATCCTCGAAGAAACAATTTGTTAAGAGATTACTAGTGACCACGGGGGATAAGCAAAACGAGGGCGAAGCCACGGACTGCGACTCGCGTAACTTTACACCGCAGCCCAGCGCCAAAATGGAGGGACATTCGGCAGTGCCTTCTGCTTCTTCCGACAAAATAGAGAAATCCAGGTATTTTAAATGCTATCGTAGTGTCTAATCGGTGACCAAAATATTACTCTGTATCTACTGTTGGTCTGTAGATAAGAAAATAAGCAGTTGTCCAGATCAAGCTAAAACAGTAGCAAAGTTCTGATTTTACCTGTAAAATATGTGCATATTATTTAATTTACTATACATTTGAAAGGAGTTTTAACACGTTTCTGATATCTAAAGGTTAGTTGAGGCTCCGAGTATAATTCGTGAAAATGATTTGATAATAGAATGTGTTCATGAGGAGAAAATTAGATTCAAACTGCGCATTCATAGTGGACGCAGTCCAGTAAACAAAGCTATTTCAACAACGCAACACAGCCTCTATTGATATTCTAAGCAACACAGTCCAGCCGCGAACACGAAATAAATAAGATAGTGTAAACTATATTCCTACGCTATTATTGTTTCAGGAAAAGAAAGTCAGCATCCAGATTATCACTATACGTTTGTAACCAATCAAAAAAGATCATGTTTTTCCAATTTTTCACAAAACGTAGTTTATGCCTTTTAACAATCAAAAGCGTCTGTTATGGAGCTTTGTTCTTATTGACTCAAGACGAAACTTCGATTATTAATAATTAAAAAATGATTGACATATCCTCATATTCACTCGTGGTATTGTACGTTCGCTCGTGCATGTATCATAATTCATTCCATAGAAGGGTGCCAAATAAGTCCCGCACCCCCCCCCACTACACCAAAAATCACCAAGTGTGACATATCATTGGAAAGATCATTCAAAGTTACGTTGATTAACATATATCTATTACCTGAATCAATGTCCCAAATTGCTATATTGTATCGTTTAAGACCTAGAAATATGGCAATTCAATAGCGTATTTGGCAGAACAGTCGAGTGCAAGATGACAACGTAATATGTTTATTACAAACCAATTTGTGGATAGGGTTAAATATATAGATAATTGGATAATTGGATAGTGGTGAGACTTTTTATAAGAAGTAGAAATGCGAAACAATTAACTTTTTGATGATGCAATAAAAGCTGTTGGGGAAGGGTACATTAACTAGTATTTAAGATATCAGGAAAATATCAAATAATTGGAGAGTTGGTGAGTTAATGTAATTTTGGATGATCTTTCCAACAGTCCATCAATATTGCTAGCTACCTTAAATTCATGATTTCAGCTGTATTCGACAGCTTGTATATATTTGCAGAATGGATTGAGACACGATGTAGGTCTATTAAAATAGCCCTTTATATTCAATTTTGTCCAAAGTTGCTCCATTTCGGCCACACCTGTACACACATTGTGCTATCTACCTTTTGGTGTGATTGCGTTCAGCTTCAGATATAAAGCAACACTGAGTCGCGGACTGCGTTAGGCAGATGGATGGACTGCGACTATTATAAATTCCAATTTTCTATGTAATTGTACGTTTTCCGCTTACCAAATATCACACGAAGATGTAATTGTAACAACAGAACATGAATAATTATATTAATTCGATGTCATTTCTGATTCCTTTGTTTAAATCGGTATATTAGGGACAAATATTGACAAAATTACATTTTTTGTGGCAGATTTCGAATTCATTTGTGTTCATGCTAAACTATTGGACAGCCGAGCACCAAGAATGCCATTGCAGGTGGAGTATGAATATGTTGATCACCGACTGGAACATACTAGCTATTCTGTAGAATATCCAAACCAATAATCTACCCCAAATCCTAACATGCCTTCCAAATTAAGTTTGGACTTACCGCCATTGTTCAGCTATAATGCGTTGTAACCTCGTTTTGAATTACGCGAGTCGCAGTCCGTGGCTTCGCCCTCGTTTTGCTTATCCCCCGTGGTGACGTAACTTTTCAAAACTATTACGCCGATTTGTGTTTCATTTTGAAAGGTGTTTTCGCATATGTATCAATTTAAAAGTACAACAATCGTAATGTAATCCATGTTGTGTATTGTTAAAGCATTCAGTTGTCTTAGCAGATCATTTACTCATAAAAGAATCATTCTTTAGCCCTTTCTACCCCGTAAGACGCCAGAGGTACATGTAAATAAATAAAGTTGTGAAGATCTTATAATATCAATGGCCTTTCGGAAGAGTTTAGTAGGTTCAATCAAGGACGTCCACTACACCACGTGAAACTCTTTGATTCTGCCTTTGAGGGTGATTTTCTCTAAGGTTCCACTTGAAAGTTGCGGAAAATCGGAAATGATATATCAACATATATTTAAACTAAAAACTGCACTCTGTAGATCAAACGTATCTTTACTATATATAATTGCACTGACCTGCTGTTCGGGAGCATCAGCGGGTCTCTGTTGTTTTATTGGTTCAGAAGAGTTGATATAATTATTGTTTTGTTTGGTAGGACCATCCTCATCAGTCCTCATGGCGTGCTGTCTAAACGTGGCTATAGTCGGTACATTAGGAAGGGCTGACAGCTGGAACTTTACCTTGATAATATTACTTCCTATTTCCGATTGTTTATTTGTACTATGTAATTTAAGGTCTATATTCTTGGTACTGTCAGTAACTTCTGCATTCTCTCGTCCATCTGTTCTTGGATTATCATTTTCGCGTTTCATCAGGTCATTTTGCCCTTTGATGTGCTCTTGTTGTATTTTACTTTTGGTCCCAGATTTATCATTGATTCTATGTGAATTGAACAAATCGGCTACCCTCAAATGAGATTCAGAATTAAACGCTCTATGTGAGACTTTGGGAACTATTTTACGATCCGCTTTTGATGCACTCGATGTCCGTTCGCGTACTGCACTGTCATTGTTATTATCATTTGGCACTGCTTTCGTTGTTATCATTTCCCTTTGGAGAACACCCATCCATCGAGTCAGCTCAAAATTATCCGTTGCACCAAATACGAACGATTTGTTATTAGATTGCACAATTTTGAAACAATATGGTTGCTTTTTATCCCCCTTCTCGTGCTTCAAGTCCCCTCCACATAAATTGGCTGCAAACGACGGAGTTTCAGAAGGAGCGTCTGTTTTGTACCCGTAAAGATATCCTTCTGAAGTTACCGCCCATAATTTAGACCATTTTAGTAGTTGTTTATAGCACAGGTATCCAGATATTGTGATATCTTTAAGACATCCCAACTTTAGATACTCCTTCCTCTTCTTCAAGAAGATATCTTTGATTGATGAGATTCTTGTCACAAGCCTGTTTCTCTTTGGTGCACCCATGACTGGTTTATGATCATTGGGGGTAGAGTGCACGTCTATTGTGAGACTTCCAGCTCTGGATTTCTGCAGACTTTTACTGCGTTTCACCTTAAGGGGCCTTTTAGAGAGATCCTCTGTGCTGGACTGTAGCAGTTTGGACAGCGATCCAATTCTCTTTGCTAGCAATGGACTGTCTGTGCTTTTCACTGGGCGAATAATAGACATCTCCTTGAAATGTAACTTAGGGACACTTTGTTCATATTCATCAGAATTGTCCTTGTCCATTGTGGTAGCATAATCTATATAGTCATTAGCGTATGGTGTCGGGCTTAGCCCTTCTTCTGCAGTCTCAGGAGCCTCAGTGCTAACAGTCTCTTCATAAACTACGGCTGATGCTGCCGTATTATCTCCACACTCATTGATACCTGCGCTGTATGATACAGGACATATGTCACACATGTTATTGATACGCACATCATCGACACTTATCTGTGCATTGGTGACACTTCCATTAAGATCATACGAGCTTCTGTTATTTTGTGACAATCTGTAAGCGTTCATTTCTGGCACATAACTTCGCTTTGGCACGGGTATATATTGGTCGATAGTTGTATTTTTGTACGTCTTTGAACTAAGGGAATTTAACTGATTTTGATTAATTGATGACTTTTCTAAGTTAGTTTGATTGTTTGTTGTTTCAGGATGAATCACATCTGGTTGTTTTGACTGATCCGTTGAAATTGCACTCTCACGTTCTGTATTAATTACATTTTTGAAATGGATGGTGTTTTTTAATTTGGAGTTGTTATCAGGTGGTGATTTATTTTTGTTTTTGGAACCTCGACAAAATATATCAGTGTCTAGTTCAACCGCAGACTGCAGCTTCGTGATCCAGGTCTCCAGATGTTCTCTTGTTTCTACACTAAACACGTAATCCTTATCAGCGGTCGGTTCCTCGATAACGAAGCGATATTTTGGAATTTGGCTCGCCAAGAATGGCGGTAGATTAAGATGCAAGGAGTCGGTGATGACAGATTGTATCTCGTGGCTTGGTAGCAAGATAACACATTTAGCAGATGCCTTAGTGCTGGCATTGTCAAATGCAGCAAATATCATATCATTAATTATTCCCCACATTTCATCTCCCGTGTCCTCATTTTTGATGCATCCACTGAAAGCTGGTTTCTTCATGTCTGAGATGGTCACATCTAACGTTCTTATATGATCTTCTACGATTTGCTTCTCACATAACAGCCCGCATAGCAGCTTGTGGCTGTATGACGATGCCCGGGCCATAGTGGTCAATGCCCTGTGTTGCAGTAGTCGTCTATGTAGGGCATCGTTCGCTAATGATTTCCTAATCTCCCCACTGTTGTTGATTGTCTCTTTTGCTTGCCCTCTGATTGCATAGTCAATGTATCGACACTGGGAGACGAAGCCGACCTGGAGATTAATAAATATGTTGGATCAAATATTTATGATTATTTCTAGAAGCAATATATAAAAGACAATGGGATAACGAGCTTTAAATAGGACTTGACATAAATAATATCCCTTTGTTTATTTTCCATAAGTAAAAGTTATTCCGGCTGATCGATCAGAACAATATTAAGCATGACATTGTAAGCGTTTTACAATTTATCAACTTCTGTTTTCTGCGTTCTATTTGAAGATAAAACTTCTAAATGATCCATGATATCTTATTAAAGTTATTTAAGGTATATGTGATATGTTGATTCATCAAAATAAAAATGTTGATACATCAATTTATCATAAAAATGGACCCATTAGCGTTAAATCTTTGATTTTGACCTATGATTCTATGATTAATGAACCTATGAATATCTGGAATTAAGACACCGTTTTGAAAAATACTCTCTTGAGATTTTTTTATAAATCGGTATTTCTCTCAAATCATTTTGATTGTCTAATTCAAGACTACCTTTACATGTATCAAACCAACTTTCACCTGTGAAATAATGACTTGTGTTGTGAGGCCATCCGATCTTTAGCTATGGATGTCCTCGTTGTTCATATTCAGTTTAGATTTGTAGAATCCAAACACTTAATCAAAACATGACTGTGCATTTGGTTCCACGCATGCATTCATTTAGAACTTATATCCCACAAGTATAAACTGGCCTACAAATATTTTTTTTCATTCACATCATTTGTTAAGAAAGTTTGTTTTTAAACATTTACATATAGTATTTATATTGACTATTGTCATTCACCTCGGTCTGTTATTCTAATCTACCTTTTCAAGCATTATAAAAATTCACTTTGTATCGATACATTTGTTCGAGCAATATCCAATAGAATATAAATTGAAATGAATAATAAATGCTGTTATATTCTTTGTAAGTTTTTTGTTATATAATCCCCAATCAAATGGATATCTGATCAGCCAAAGAATGGAATTACAAGAAATTGAATAATATTCTACATTTAGCATCGCCACTTATTGAGTCTATCATCGGTTTATATGCGTTAAAGATTATTCCAACGTTTGTATGATGTTTGACTAATTCCATCTAAGAGTTTATGTTTGCCATGTTTTTGGAGATCTAGTGTTTGTCAATGAAACTATATAGTTAATACTGAATGAACTGATCGGCATTGCAGTTTGAAATGTAAATTTGAAGATGAATTTACATTTTTGTGCTTTAGAGGTACATACTCCCAGTTGACACTCTGTATATAGATACTGTACTTAGAAACCTTAGATGCGAATTACGATAGTTTGGCGACCCTTTAAAACACGAAGAACGACTCAAAAAGTTTTGAGGCAATTTTTTAGAATTTGAAAAATGAAAATATAGGCCTTCGGTCAGTGACACTGATCCAACGTTAGTTTGTTCTATTTTGTCCTTGGATCCAGTATCAGTTTCTGTGTTACTTGACTTACCTTTAAGAATTAATTAATGTACTTTTATTGTTTGATTCATGATATGAGCCTATGTCCTCTACCATTGTTACTTGGAAATGAGTGAATTGCGATCCCTTGTATTTGTATCATCAACAGCTTTAGCAGCAGTATGGCCTGCATGTTTCCCATTGGTTGTTGATATCATTATATCATGCTTGGAATCAATTAGATTTATTCGAGGTTATTCACATTTTTGTAAGTGTCAAATATTTGTCGTAACAACCTCGAATATATTATTTAAATCCAATTTAAAACCAACGCTAATAGTAGACGCTACCCTTCTTGAAACCTTTGATGTCTAAGAATGGAACAATCTTTCCCTCGAAGTGTTGGGGTATTTGCCAATGATCCCATCAAATGACGTGATCGCTCATTGTCCGATGGTTCACTACCGTACAGAAAGCAATGTTCTGATACCATGAATGTCAACAGTTATTGCATGGCCTACTCCTGTGGGTGGCATAAAATACCCGAGGCTATCATACTGAACTTTGTCAAAGAGTTCCAGATACTTAATTCATATAAATGAATGGTTGGTTGACCATTTGATCAAAGTTATAGGACATTAGCTAGCAGCAGTACATGTACATGAAGTAATGACTTCTTTGAATATAAACTACGGTGTACCAAAATTTGATTGTGTTCCTATTGGTGACATTATAATTACCAGTATTACTTTTTCATTACATTCTGTATGTGTTGAGTTGTTTAATTCTTCTAGATTTGAAAGTTGACCATGTGCAGAGTAGCATTATGTTATATTGCATTGCATTGTGTTGTGTTGTATTGTATTGCATCACATTATATGTTGTATTGTATTGTATTGTATTGTATTGTATTGTATTGTAATATTAGATTGAACTTCTTTATCGTATTTGTTTATAGTTTTGATTGTATTGTACAATATTGCTAGATAATATCATGCAATTCTTACCTTGTTAGTTTCACAATCCAAATGATCATTCATATCTTAAAAGTCTTGAACTTCAAAATCAATGACACGTTTTTAAGTGAATGATCTTGCGCATGAATAATGAGAGATATTGATGCGTTCTCCGTGGTTTTCACAGCTAATATACTTGATCTAAATCATATATACTCAGCTGATACGTAGAACTTAGTACATGGAGATTCTTTCAATGCTTGAATACCATTTCACATATATACTACATATATGATATCATTGTACAATGCATATTTATAGTTCATGTTATTCATAACATGCTTTTTATATTAGAACTTTATTGCTAGCAGCCATTGATTACAACAGGTGTGGTAGATATACATCTGTTTAATTGCATGATCGTGGTAATTCTGATGAACTGGCCATTATGGATTAGTCATAATTCATTAATTGAGCCTGGCCATGGGAAAACCGGTCTTATCACAAAAATTTAAATTGTGCTACAGAGCCAAAAATGTGCTCAAGATTAAGAGGAAAATGTGCTAAATTCAAAAGCGTCTTTTGGTCTATATCTGCAAGAAAAAATTGTTAAGACATAAGCCATGGCTCATTTGAAAGGCCTCTTTGTGCTTTTTAAGATAAACAAAAAATCAAAATATTGAAAAATAAGTGATAAGACCCCTTTTCCTGTTGCCTGGCTCAATTGTTGACGGGAGTAGACGTTCGTATTTTCACTGTAAATGCAATGTTGACCTTGATCTTGATATTGTTAAACATTTGTTCTTCTTATTCGACATTGGCTTTTCTTTGGACATTACCAAATTCGGAAGTGAATGCCTACTACTATTTTGTCTTCATTATATTTCTATAGCTACATGTTAAGATGGCGGTTGCACTTGCAGACAAGACCCGGAGTATTTACCATACTCATTACTATACTCATTTAACCTTGACCTTATTTGACCTACATTGAAAATATTAAAATGGCTTACCACTTTCATTTTTTTCTTGTTATTCATTATCTCTTTGTACTTTCAGCAATAATTCGAGGTAATCAACCGGGGTGAGGAGATTTTTTATCAATCATAATCCATAAAGTGAGGACATCCATTGAACACTCATTTCAAAAGGTAGTCAAAGTCCTTATTGTTTTGAATTGCAATCTTGGAAACGTCTGAAGATCTATTTTCTAAGTGCACATCATTATATTGTCATTGTGTTTTACATCTCAAAACGATGATATATGTCAAACTAGACTTAGTTTTACTTATCACCTGGGGCCTGGTCATTCTCAATTTGGCAAACGTATTTCAAAGTAGGTTCCACGATGGTTATGTTTGACGCGAAAATTACTTACAAACGATAAATATTAAGTAAACGAAACACACAGTTGCCAATTTTGTTATAATCTAATAAAAGGGAGACATTACCAATTAATCATCATATTTGGAAGCTGTGAATGTCCATTTAATTTGATTATATGCTATCACCTTATCCACTTGATTCAATATGTTGCCTGCATTCACACTGAGTCATCAGGTAATATTGTCGCGTTACTTATTTTTGAACTATTGTTTTTTGCTCAGAGCAAGTTGAATATTTTTTAAGCTTGAGAAAAACATGTGATTTGTTTTTGTTTATGGATTATATAAATGTATGAGTCATTTCAAAAATGCAAATGGATTTGCTGTGGGCATGGTTATGTAAATCATAAAATTACATGTATGTTTGCTGAGGGCCATATGTTGCTGTTCAATTCCTACGCTGCTTTCTAATGGTAGAAGGTGGTCACACATCAAGCCCTTGCAACCCTTGACATTGACCTTGCGACCTTTGACTCCAACCACTGACCCTTCCTCCACAAGGATGTGAAGTAGATGGAGGGCCCAAACTTAGAACTATAACTGTATAGCTTATAATTCGATTTGACATAACAAGAAAAATTATAATATAGTACAAATAAACTTTATTGAACGCTTTTAAATATCATTTTACAAAAGAAATGGCGCTTTCAGATATTTAGTTATTGGCGACCTTGTTTTCGATCCAGTCGAGGAAGAAGCTGATTCTAGCGTAGACGTTGGGATATCCTCTGGTAGTACAACCGCTGTATCCCCAGCTAGTGGCTCCGGCCAACACCCACTCGCCATTGATGTTGCATTGAAGAGGGCCACCGCTATCGCCCTGTGAAGAAATAAGAGAAAATGCCTTGTAAATACGTACACTAATGATTTATCATAATGATATACTGTATTCGCTATCGAAAAGACTTATCTTCATTTTGTATAGATGGTGATAGAATGCTGCTGGCAATTCTGAATATATTTTGTAACATCATTCGAAATGTGGCGTATTTGCGTGTGATTGGTCACTCATGTTCTTATATGTAAATTTTCCAATCAATGTCAGCTGGGAGTTGTGGCGTGCTCCTGTAATCCAGTTACTTGGAGGCTGGGATTGTGGAACGGTTTGAGGGCGGGAGTCCTGCTTGTCGGTGCTCTATGTCGATCGGGCGTCCGCACTAAGCTCGGCATCAATATGGTCACCCCTGGGGAGCTTAGGGTGCCCAGGTTGTCTAAGGAGGGACGTACAGGTCCAGGGCGGAAACGCAGCAGACAAAAGTCCCCATGTCGAGCAGTAGTGGGATCGCGCCTGTGAATAGGCGACGGCCTGCAGCCCGTCCAAAACAATTGGACTCAATACTTTTTTCTTTGTTCAAATTCTTTATGATTTATATTTTATCTTTTGAGTATTTTTAAAAAAAGAAATAAATGATTACAAATCAACTTGTTATTTGCACTTCAGTATTAATTTTAATGATCTACTGAAAACTCCAATGAGTATAAAAGTGTATTACTCAATGGTTAGAATCAAACAAATCAAAGACAAAAAGTATTGAATATTCTCAATTAGCTGAAGAAACATAGTTTCAAGAGTGAGTAGAACTTACGTTGCAAGCTCCGATGTCTCCATTGCCGATGCAGATATGGAAGTCATCAATGTAGTTAGCGCCCCAAGAGTTTGCACATTCGCTGTTGGTCCTCACTGGGATCTGGAGCTCCTGGAGCACGCTGTTGTCGTTACCACCTGGAAATATGGATTAAAGATATCATCTTTGGCAAAATATGATAGATGGATTTGCTATTAAGTCCCAATATACCCAATATAGATTAAGGAAGTGTAATTTTGCCCATAGGCCTGGAGCAACAAAAACACATTGTGTCTCGTAAATGGTGGAGCTGTCGGGAAATGTTAAAATTAATGCGTCGCTTCTTTCATTTTTCTTTTACTTATACATGTAAATTAGTATGTGCCATTTGCCCAGACAATCACAAAAACCTATGTTGGGGGTGAAATAACCAAAAGTGAGCCATTGCAGTAAAAACGCAAAATAAGAGGTTAATTAGTTATGATAGTTCATTGGGGTGTGGTAATTTTATTAAAGACAATTATGGTGAAAATGGGGTCATGTCGACCTTAAAATGCCTCTTTGATTCAAAAGCCATTGTTGTCATTGATAGTATCCCTACTTTACATATTAAAATGTTTTTTTTGTATATTCCAATAAACATTCTAGTTTTTGGCAAAACAACTTATTTTATGGCTCACTTTAGGATCAACTTTCTTTACAGTTCTTTTCATTTTTAGTGATGTTTTGAAAACATATTAACATTAAAACACAATTTTATCGTTTATAAGTTGCAATAAGTTGCAATATAAATTGCAATACGCAGCAGGGTTGTCAAACTTATGGAGGGGCGTGTAAGTCAATGAACTCTTGCTGATATCATCATTTTCTAAGAGCAAGTGCAATGCATTACATTTTTTTATTCTGAGCGACAAAACAAAAATCTAAAACCAATAGAATTGTGGTTGTCTTAAAAAATCACTAAAAACACAAAATATGAAAAAATTGTAAATAAAGTATATACAACAATCATTTAACAGGAAAAACATGAACACAATTTTTTGACAACAGTGTCTTTTGAATAAAAAGGGCATTTTAAGGTCAACGTGACCTCATTTTTACCATTATTGTTTATTATGAAATTATCAATATCAAATGTGCCTCCCACTCTGCAATTCTTTGCAGCAAGCGCTAAGTGAACATTTCCAAATCGATGAACAAACCTTGGGTTGATCCCCATCCTGAAATCCAGCACTCCTCGTTGAGGAACACTTGGTTGGAAGATTTAGGCATGCAGGCGGGCTGGATGTAGCGTCCAAGAGGGACAGGCTCTGACAGCTTCAATAGGGCAATGTCGTAAGGGAAGCCATCGCCATTCTGGTCGTAATTCTCGTGCTAGGTATTGTCAAAGAAACAGATATCAAATCACCAATATACATGTAGGTTATTGCTCATCTACTTGATTAAGTATTGTACCCTTTAACGGTTGCTATTATAAGATAGAAAATATTTTTTTGCAGTTTTAGAAACAAAGTTCATATGAAATGCAAATATTAGCGCCTATCTTAAGGCCCATCATTGAAAAGAATAGCTCTTACCTGGATAATTGCCTGGATCTGGCTTGTTACTTCTCTTCCGGTGGCGGTAGTTCTGTCATGTTCTCCAAATACAACTTGGAGATCATTGCGGCTTGATCTGAAACCATATTTTTGAAAATATTGGAACTCGTCTACAACTGACAATATTAATTGTTCAATGATGATAAGCTTTTGATATTGTAGATATCTGCATGCCTATATATACATATATTTTGGTATCTTCCAACCACCCGTTACAGGTCCTCACCAAACAACTTACCCTTCAACACAATGTGCGGCTGTGATAGCCCACTGTGGGTGCACCAGGGTCGCCCCACAGATATGCCCAGAGGACCACCATGTAGATTGCTGGAGACTAGCTTGCCATGGCCAGGAGTGGGCGGTTGCGTCGTTACCACCTACGATACGTTTGCTACCGAGCTGGCCACAGGAACCTGAGATTGATTGTCAAAAATAATGAAAAAAGGCACGATGGTGTTGTCAGTATAACATTGCCCTATTGGACTGAAAGTAGTAATATTCAACTTTTAAAATTCAATTGTTTCATACTGTGTAGAGCGATTTTCACGCTTTGTAATTAGAAAAATGTTAATTGCGCAAGTTTCAGATCACTATGAATTAAAATAAAAACAGAAAACATTTTCGGAAATTTTGTATAAAAAAAAACTCAAAATAAATTGATAAATTATCTGAAATAATGAACCTAATATTAATATATATACCTTCCCATATTTTTGCTGATGCGCAATGGGCGACAAGCAAAAGTGCAACGAATGTCTTCATCCTTGTTTAGTTGATCAATGTGTTTCCTTAGAATGATGAAGGATCATGTACTAAGTTGTGCTTTTATACCATTGGATATCTGAAGTGGTATCGTGACTTTTCAAGGGGCACCCGAGCTATGCTTGGAATATTAACAGGTGGGGGAAATTCGGAATCCGTCTTTCAGGATGTTTATCAGAGTTATCTGACTTTTATGACGGAGACAAGGCCAGCACTACTTGTTTGTCGTGATCATTTTAAGAAATAACTAATATGGGGTTCATTATAATAAAGTACAACCCCAAATTAATATTTACCATTAAGCTTAAACCTCTAGACAAGCTCTATTTTTCAATGTAAAATATCAGACTAATTTTTTAAGGCCTTAGCTAGCGGGGGAGAGCAGGGGGTTCGGAGGGTTCGGGGTTCGGACCCCCCCTCCCCAAAAAATGACTGAAAAAAATCGAATCCACCCTATTTCGGTAACTATACGAACCCCCAAAACTTTGAGTTAATTTTTTGAATGTAAAGATGAAAATGTGACATGTGAGAATTTATAACTTTATCTTGAGTTAAAAGACCGAGGATACAGATTGAAAAACGATAAATTTTGGGATGGGCGATAACAGGTTTCCACTTCGCATTTTAGGCCTGAAATACTGATCTAATACCATCGATGGATTTCCAATTGTACGAATAAAGCATTCTTACCGGAATATATAATAAACTGTCTGATTTGGGATAATGTCAAAATGGTCCCTAAAGTTACGATATAAATCAGTGAATGCACAGACGAAGCTACGCGTCGCAGGGGCGGATCTGAATCTAACAAGGTCTGGCATGGGGACCCAAATTTCAAAGAATGTTTCCCCAAAAATTTGGGACCTTCACCTTAGAACCAAATTGGGCCCAACTTTTGAAGGCCCATTTTTGAAAATTTCAGCAAAGATGAAGGCCCAAAAAGTCCCAACAATGCCCAAAAAGGCTCACTAATTATAAGACCCTAAAATATTTTTGGGCCGAAATTTTATTCTGAGCTAATCCGCCAGTCGTACTAAGCTTGCGGTTGTGTAATATTACACTTTGAAGCCGCCAAGAGTTCCCGGGAATTAGCACGTTCAGACATATGTGCACAAGACGAAATCAGTCAACTCTCAAAATTCAAAATGGCCAGCAAAGGACAGCAAGTCGATATTACAACTCTTCCAGTTCCTCAACTGAATCAACTAAATCAGCAACTTGAACAGGTAATGCCAGATTATGTATCAGAGCTCATATAAGAAAGCGAATTTTTTGTATTTAGTTGGTAAGTAGGGTCTGTTTTCAACTTTAAATTTTGAATTTTTGTTTTTACTCTATTATCGCCCAGGCAACACGGATTATAGCAACAGGAATAATAATATGTATCAAATCTTATATCTATTGGGTGGCCGTGAGAATATTTGCCATAATCACAAATTAATAGAATACATAGTCTGTCTTCGAGGCAATGGTACCCCAATAAATGTGTGCCCGGTTTGTGTTTTTTTTTACTTTTGACACTTGATAATAATAGATTCAAGTTCCTGTGGGAGCAGACCGAACTCCCGTGCAGTGATATATCACTGCAGCGGGCAGGTATCTCACCGTAAGCATGGTAACTTCATAATAAACAACTGACGTGATTGGTTCTAGTCCCATGCTCAGGTCGCGTGATTGTAAAATTTAGACAATTTCATTTGTTGAATTGCGCGTATTAACTAATAAACAACACGTGCGGTAAACTATTATCAACACAACTTTTACTCAGAATTCCTTCCGCGGTGATTTCTCCTCATATTTCAATAATTTTGAAATATTTTGACAAAATAATGTTTGGGGAACATTCATGAATACATATTTTATAAGTTGTGTGAAAATTGACCACATATGCGATGAAAAGGGGAACTATTTTCCCAAAATTTTGGGGATTTGCTTCATCTGCCCGCCGCAGTGTCTATACCGAGACACTGCATTGGAGTTCGGGAGCAGATGCACAGTCTGAGCAATGAATACTCGTAGAGTAGTGGATTTCCTAAATTGTTGATTTCTCATGTTAAGAGTTTTCAAGAATTTTCAATACACCAGTGGATGAGTTGAGAGTATACAATACATTACAAAATGTAAAATATACAAATTTTAGGGACTCTTGTGCATTTTGAGAATTCATTATCAACTCTCTTGTTATTCTGTGTTATAGTCAAAACAGTAATGTTTGCAACTACTTTGAATTTAAAAATTAAGCAATCAAATGACCATATTGAAACAGTTTATGTAAAAATAGAAACATTTAAATTTATCCTAACTTTTGTATATTTCAGATAGTAATGTATAATGTGCAGCAAAGCTGTGGCCTTTTGTAATTTAGGGAGTTTCAGCCTGCCATGTTAATTTTTCCGAAAATAACATTGCAGAGAAGTATCAAAATATAAGAGGACACAGATATGATAGCTAATCTAGAAAACAAACTAAAATAAACAAAAGTTAGGATAAATATAAATGTTTCTATTTTTACAAAAACTGTTTCAATATGGTCATTTGATTGCTTATTTTTTAAATTCAAAGTAGTTACAAACATTACTGTTTTGACTGTATATGTTTCATATCAACATTGAATTATGCTTTCAGGAGGTAGAGTTTTTCCAGAACTCACTTAGTCAACTTAAGATGGCCCAGGCAAAATTCATTGATTCTCAAGAATGTCTCGATACAGTGAAACCGGAGAATGAAGGCAAAGACATTCTTGTACCTCTGACCAGCTCTGTATCCTTATTTAATTAAAATATTGTAAACGCAAGATGGCCATACAACTCAATATGGCCAAGACAGCATTAAAATAAATGCTTAGAAATATTAGTTTGTATGTGGCATCCATGTGTTTGTCCTTAAAACCAACTTCCCAAATTCACTTTAGACACCTGTCTGCCTGTTGGACTCGAATATATAATGTTACAATAAACGACAATGTGCTTCATCTTTAGCCATCAATGAAACACTAAAACATATCTTAATTTCCTTAACATTTGTTCAGATGTATGTAACTGGCCAGCTACGAGACACATCCTCTGTAATGATAGATGTTGGCACAGGATATTATGTAGAAAAGGTAAGTTATGACAGGGCTCTCACTAGGAAATTATTAGGGTATGGTGCTGATCATACATACAACAGCAACACATGAACAAAGCGATGGCGTGATCAATAGGCGAGCAAGTGAGCCTTACAAAAAAGGGATAGAGGGAGGGTGCATTTAGAGGACCTATTTTTAATTTAATTTCAACAAAAATACACCTTTTTGGCATTGATGAGGCCAGTTGCAATGTCAATATAAATGTCATTATCTTAAGACTCAAAGGGCTAGGGTGGTAATCTTCTATTCTTGTTTTCAAAATGTTGCCTATTGTTCTCTTTTTATTTTAACTTAAAAATGTATTAATATGCACAATCAAGTGGTACAAACTTCATGATATTCACACCGGAATAGCCTGACAACAGTTAAGTCAGATACCTTTGTCACAAATGGCGAACATAACCGTTGCTTCAACTCTTCACTTGGTCCTCGTTTCATTGGACTTTATCAATATAGCATCTTTGATATCGTCTATAACAACAGAATCTGGATTTTAAATAATTTACCATATGCCGTTGTCTTTGTAAATTATATGCAATCCCCATCCACCATCTTTAATGTGAAAGTGACGGCCGTAACTTTCGCTTGATACTGATGAGTGGCCAATGGGGCATAGTCTCACATACGCTGACTATTGAGTCCTATTAAGTCTAATTTTGTTTATGATTCTGTGGGACCTCATGGGTCTTTGGCCCATAGAGTCCTATAGAATATCATTGAGTCTCACAATGTCCATACAATGTAAAGTATATGGAGGTCTCACCATGCCCCGTTGGTATAATTGGGGGGGGGGGGGGGGCGGATTACGCTTTATAAAGTGGATTTGACATGCTGCTCTTCAATAATTGTACATATCTTCTCATATGATTTCCATCGAAATTTAGATTTGCAAGTTCCATACAATAATTGCATAATAAGTGTTGGAATAAGTTTCTCTCAGTTAAAAGATGTCTAATCTAAACATTCAAGTCAAATGAAGACCGTAAGAGATATGTTTAGGAGGGAATACTCCTGTATGCAAATTCAGATTTAAGACATGTTTTGTTTTTTGCTATTTAAACTATCTGTCATTAAACTGGAATTTCCTCCTTACCTGGGACCAACATTTTATTTAAATAAATCCCAAGCAGGCTTCACGTTTTGTATTTTTGAATACATCTGTATTTCTTTGATTAATTGTTGTCTTTTTGCTTCAGGATGTTGCTAAAGCTAAATTATACTTTAAAAAGAAAATAGAATATTTAACGAAACAAATGGAGAAGATACAACCTGCATTGCAAGATAAATACAGAACAAAACAAGGTGAGAATAACATTACAAAATGACAGGTAATGAATTTGATGATTATCAATCGAATACATGCAGGCTTTTTATAGAAGTTTTATGATTTATTACTAATTTAGAACATATTTGAAGTTATCAAATGGAATCATTCTTGATATGTACTTGATGTAAGCAATTTCCTTCTTTGTATTAAATACTCCCTCAATTTCCATTAATCTACTGTATTCATATATTGCTTGAATGTGGATGCAATTTCCCAATTGTGTGTCAGTTTTCAAAAATCTGTAATTTTCATGTCAAAAAGTCACACTTTGCCTATAATCAGACAGTAGTATGATATACAGAACAACCAAACAATGGCTATCAGTTGCTATAGGCTCATGATATGTCCTCTGAAAAGTTGGAGGATGGAGGTTTTGTGATGATATTTATTTATAAATATGCTAATTTATTTTCATATCATTCTAACTATAGCTTAATGTCTACTCAATACTCATCATAGTTTTAAAGTCCTCCTGATTTGAAACATTTGTGATTTTGACTTCAGGAACCCACATTTTCATGTATCCCTGAAAAATATATTCTTTAGAAATCGCATAAGGAAGCTACTATATGCACATCAGATGTCTTCTCTAAAAACTTCATAGCCATATAAATGACATTTTGTAGTTTTAAGTCCGTTATTCATAAATAGATGTCTCAGTGGTCATTACAGCCAGTTTGACAGAATATTTGTGGTATACAGTATAAGGTTATATGTTTTTGGTTTGTCAAAAAAGAGGAGATTTCCCAAGTTAAATAAGGTCACTCGATTGATCTATGTAGATTCAACCTGTCAGTTCTTCTTTCATTTCTCTGATATAAAGTTATATGATAATATGTATATAAACCATTTTGGTTGCATTTTTCTATTACCTAAAAGTTCATCGGTCATGTTTCACACAACTATTCATATTTTGAGATGCAGAAATCCATATTCAGCTACCTCTAATTAAATTCTTTTTTGTTGTTGGTTTATAGGTAACACAAATTAGTGTAGAATAAACTTTGATGTGTGACATAGAATGAATGGCTCCACCCACTTCGTGGGGGCCTCCGCAAAAAAGTTACCAATGTTTGTAATACTTGATTGAGTCGAGCATAGAATAATCATTTTTCACCACCAAACATATTGTAATGGTTCCCAACTTTTTTGTGGTTGATGTTCGCTGATTTGCGTCTGGTGTTCGGCAGTTGGTGTCTGTAACAAATGGCAGGTTTTGCATGTTAATGCATTGTTTTCTTCATTGTGTTGCCATTCCCATAACATCTATGGGCGATATATCTGAAGGGCATCATTACTAGAAATCCATGTGAAATCTAAAATTTTATTAACTCAGTATCTCACGTACCATAAAAGTCAACAAACTTGAAATGTGATTAAACTTTATTTCTAAAATTGAATGACTTAGGTCGGTTCATCTTAACTTGTGTGAACACAGTGAACCAATTTTTATGTCATTGGACATGTTAACTAATCTAAGATAACAGTACATGTTTTATGAATTGTTGCCATTTGCTCTGTTACAGCTGTGATGGAGGTTTTACAGATGAGAGTACAAGCCCAAATAGCAGCCCAACAGCAGGCTGGTGGTGTCAAATCTTAGCAACAGTCTTCTCCTGATAGGGATTAATGGAGGATAAGTCTACCTGTATTTATGATAATGAGTGACAGTGCTGTCCTGAATGGAAGATTCAGATATCAGAACAAGAATTCTCATGATTATTGAGCATCAGTTATCCTAACATGGCATCAAAATATATCTCTTTTTTGAAACCATCTAACTTTGAGAAACTTAATTTGTCAGTTAAATCATATTATTTAGAAATGTGAGAATTTCACATGGAGGACAGAAATTTTGTGCGGTTGATGAGCTTTTTAGCGACAAACACATTATTGATTTGGATTTTGTACTTTTGTCAGTTTGTGTAAAAAATAAACTTTTTTGTTTACATCTATGTGAGTTATTAATTACATTTTTTTTGTTTTTATTGCTGCTATATTGCCCTCAATTATGAATTTCGAATGAGAACAGAATCTATGATCGACATTATTCCATCTTTGTTGATGAATTTGGGACATTGAATAAGGAATTTTCTTCTTTCCTCAACATCTGATTATGTACAGTAAAACAAAATTTGTCAAATAGAATCTGAATTTATTTATGATAATTTCTCCAGGGTCGTGCTGTCTTTATAAAAGATATCGAAGGTTATGGCAACCTATTATTTTAAATATATAATATAAATCAAATTGAGAAAAGTTGATCTTCTGTTTTAGTTGTCAAATTGAACTTTGTTTGAACCCTTTATTATAAAGGTGTCTAAAAGAGTTATTTTTTACTTCCCCTTTTCTGTCTCGATATTATTGCTGCAACAACCAATCATAAACTTTAAAAACATTTGAAGATATGGTCTTAATCATACAGAAATGTATTGTTCATCTCACCTGTCATTTAAAGGGCATGATGTCATCAACTCTTAATTTGCATATTACAGTTTGAAAAAAGCACAAAATGATCTAAAGAGATTTTTATCACATTGGGTACTTTGTATTGTTCAATAATGTAAGTTCCACATAAAATGTCTTCTTTTTGTATATCTTGACAAGCCTTTTATTGTTTACTTGGAAAGCAAAAATCAAGTTTCAAAATGATCCATGGATTTTTCGTAATACTGTAGGATTGCTCTTCACTTAAGTACTTAAGTTCGCTTCTCTCCTCTCTGATAATAAACAAGTTTAAGAGTCAATGACATCACTTCCTGCCAGAAAATCTTTAAAGATGGCAGTTTTTCAATTATCAATTCCGATCATATCAAAACATTTTTTACTTCATAGAGATATAGATAATGGGCTTTAGCAACCAGATAAATATAGCAATGGGTTGGAAGGAGTATACCTTTAAGTATAGCAATGGGTTGGAAGGAGTATACCTTTAAGTATACACAATTTGAAGTCCCTCAGACTTGTCTCATGTCTTCTGGATGTATACTGTAATTTTTCTTATCTGATGAATGTAATAAGCACCTAAATTTTGAATTGACATTTTTTATTCCTTATTTGTTCTATTTTGTCTCACATGTAGGTGCATTCTTGTCTTGTGGTCTGATTTAAAAGGATACACATGTTCCATCGAATATTTAAGTAACGTTTTAGCAATAAATGTATTCAGTGCACTTTAGGTAGTTTAAGGTTGAAGATTTCACGATTTAAAATCAATAAAGGAGATATATTTAAAAAATGCTTTACTGTTCATGCCAAGCAACACAACACGGTTCCCTAGCTAAATTGTTCAACAGATGAATTTCAAAATTTAGGCAATGTTTCTTGATCTAAAAATCTGACCTCAATAATTTTAGTTAGACATTGATCCCGAAATCTTTGAATCAAACTTGTCACCACATTTTCCTGAATGGCTATACAAGTATTCTTTGTAAAATATATGAACCTGTTTCTTGTATGCCTGTAACTGAAAGGTACACGCTGAACAAAATTGCTACCTGATAAATAATGTTTGAATAGCTTCGTTTAGTGAAGATGTCATTCTGACCGAATATATTTGATTCATTTAAGTAACCCACTAAGTGGCATCTTATATTTTGAAAATACAATGAACAGTTGAAAGAACTTTGAAATATAAGATTAATTTTGAGAACCAAAATGGAAATACTTTGAATGAAAAAATGCATACATTCATGTTGTTTAAGGTTCTTTGTTTACTCAATTGCTGTATTCAAATACTGAATTAATAGACATTATATTCATAACTACATCATATGGCATCTCTAAATAATCTAAAATAAAAAAGCTTATCTTGCTTTTTGTGGGAAGTACATGTTATCATGCAACACTCAACGAAGTCTGGTCTGAAAAATAATTTGTCAAGGATACTTTAAACTGTGGTTAAGAGATTTCGCTGAGTGCAGCTGGGTGGGCTGTTTTCCAGACTTACCTTGTCTTTGGGTTATCAGACAAATTGTTTGACTTGATTTCAGGGGATGTTTCTGAAGGCAGCAATATTTTGGATTTCCTTTCTTGAAGACCTATCTGTGAAGTCTTGTCTATTTCTTGTGAATTTCCAGCCAAACCATTTGATGGATATATCTGATTTTTTCTTAGTATGGGAGTTTAGAAGTAATTAGGTGTTGTGTATTCTGGGTAAACGCTGAAGCAGCCATTTTGGATTTTCTAACCTCAAATTTTGTCTGTAAAGTCAACAAGAGGATGTCTAGACCTAACTTGAAGCCAAGTTGAAAACAAGTTAAATTATTGAAACCTGAGCCATAAACTAAGAAATGATACTTTTAAACAGATTGTTGATGTGTCGCTCAGTGCCTCAAGATGACAAATGATATACGTCTATCTAATAAAATAAAGGAAGAGGGTGTAGTTGTCATGTATAGTATTGCCTTTTCAACACTCTTAGGGGAGTTCTTATGTAAGTTGAAGTCATGTTTTGGGGTTGGTCAGGAAATGGCTTTCATAACAATTCATTCTCTACAGGAAATCAGATTTTGTAATAGTTTCCCTTTTCACCCCTTTGAAACAAAGGAAGAGGCACGAGACAGGTGAGGCATCTGACTTTTGCAGAACCTCATTTATTCAAACATTTATCAACTAAAACTGTAAATGACGTCAAAGGGAGTAATTCTAATTAAGCCTTAATATGCCCCACCTAATTAGTCATAGATTTTTATTATTAGCTCACATGGTGAGCTTTTGCAATCGCTCACTTGTCCGTCTGTCTGTCCGTCCGTCTGTCCGTCAACAATAGTGGCAAGTTTTAAAACCTCTGTTGATAGGATTCCTGTTTTAAGTTATTTCTGTTCAACATCAATACAGAAAACTCCCCTATGACTCCTGGTTCAAAAGCTCTCCTATTTTCAAAATGGCCGCCATTTTTGTCTCGCGAAATTCACTTTTGTCTGGCACATTTTAAAACCTCTGTCGATAGGATTCCTGTTTTAAGTTATTTCTGTTCAACATCAATACAGAAAACTCCCCTATGACTCCTGGTTCAAAAGCTCGCCTATTTTCAAAATGGCCGCCATTTTTGTCTCGCGAAATTCACTTTTGACCCATTTCCTAGCTTTACAAATAATTTCAGGTGTCTTACATTGAAAAAATCTGTGTCAATGTAAAGAGTAGATATATGAAATAATTTTGTTACAAAAATCAGCGAAAAATTATATCTATTTTTTTATTTTCAGCCATTTTAGTTAACATTGATTTGTCCATCTGACTTGTGAAATCCACTTTTCCGTCAACAACAGTGGCACGTTTTAAAACCTCTGTCGATAGGATTCCTGTTTTAAGTTATTTCTGTTCAACATCAATACAGAAAACTCCCCTATGACTCCTGGCTCAAAAGCTCGCCTATTTTCAAAATGGCCACCATTTTTGTCTCGCCAAATTCACTTTTGACCTATTTCCTAGCTTTACAAATAATTTCAAGTGTCCTACATTGTAAAAATCCATGTCAATGTAAAGAGTAGATGTATGAAATAATTTTGTTACGAAAAATCAGCAAAAAATTATATCCATTTTTTTTATTTTCAGCCATTTTAGTTAACATTGATTTGTCCATCTGTCTCGCAAAATCCACTTTTGGACCATTTGCCTTAAACCCTCTGTCGATAGGATTCCTGTTTTAAGTTAATTTTGTTCAACATCAATACAAAAACTCTCCTATGACTCTTGGTTCAAAAGCTCGCCTATTTTCAAAATGGTCACCATTTTTGTCTCGCGAAATTCACTTTTTGCCCATTTCCTAGCTTTACAAATAATTTTAGCTGTCCTGCATTGTAAAAAGCCATGTCGCTGTAAAGAGTAGTTGTATGAAATAATTTTGTTACAAAAAATCGGCAAAATATTATATCATTTTTTTTTTATTTTCAGCCATTTTAGTTAACATTGATTCGTCCATCTGTCTCTCAGTCAGTCCAAAAAAGTGGCAAGTTTTAAACCTCTGTCAACACTTTTTAAATCCTCTGTAGATAGGATTCCCGATTTAAATTAATTTTGTGCAACATCAATAAAGAAAAAAAACCTGTGACTCCTGCTTCAAAATGTCGCCTTATTTCAAAATGGCCACCATTTTTGTCTCGGGAAATTCACTTTTGGCCCATTTCCTAGCTTTACAAATAAGTTCAGGTGTCCTGCATTGTAAAAAATCATGTCTTTGTAAAGAGTAGTTGTATGAAATAATTTTGTCACAAAAAATCAGCAAAAAAATATACCCGTCTTTTTTATTTTCACTTTTGAGCAACACCATGTGAGCCCAGTACCCACGGTACTAATTTTTAAAGTTAAAACCATAAATGAATCCAAGGCAGTGATCTCCCCAGCATTAAAGCAAGTGGGTGCAGCACCAACCTGAGATTTTGAAAATAGGCTGCGCTTGCAGCCACCTGAAAATCCATTTGCACCCACTTGAAAATGAGAAAAATCATGAAAAATTGGCATATGACCAATTTTTATCTGAATTTTCACCCACCAATCCTGGGGAGATCACTGCAAGGGTAGAAATAATATATTTCATTTAGCCCTGAGCTTATATACAAATAATTTGCCTGTGTATATTTGCTTGAATTGGAAAAGTGGGAATTTCAGAATCTCCACAAAAATGGTCATATCTTAGCTAGAAGTCTGAGTAGTTTTTTTGTACTTGAATCTTTTGTGAATGAAAACAATGTATTTGATCAGTGGATCGTATTCTTGAATCAGAGAAGTAGTGGCAGCCATATATTAGGATCAGGAAGATCAATGATCCAGCCTTGTGTTTATATAGCTCAAGAGGAATGATTGATAAACATTAACATCTACACTCAAATGTTCAGTTGTCAAGACTATTAATCTAGAGATTGATTGTGGTAATCTTTGGGTATTCTGCGCAAACGACTTCAAATACAATAATGCAGAATAGATCTAGAATTTTGGCTTATCTCTGTTCAGACCTACTGTGCTAGGTGCTAAGCATGTTCACTAATCAGTTTTACTCACCTGCCCTGTAATCATGGAGGTAGCTATTAAAGTTGATGTTCCTCAATGTCATATAGGTGTTTGTCTAGGTCATATATCATATATATGAGGAGATGTTCCTCAAAGTCATATTGGTGGTACTGCTTGTCTAGATCATATACATTGTAGGTGTTTCTCTAGGTCATATTTGAAGAGAGCTGAACTTTTGAGTGTACATGTTATTGTTGATCAATCATTCCTCTTGAGCTATATCAACACAAGACTCATATAGATATTTGTCTAGATCATATATGAGAAGATGTTGCTCTAGGTCATATAGGTGGCACTGTTTGTCTTGGACATATTGGTATTTGTCTAGATCATATAAGTGGTACTGTTTATCTTGGTCATATAGGTATTTGTCTAGGTCATATATGAGTTGATGATCCTTTAGGTCATATAAGTGGTACTGTTTGTCTTGGTCATATAGGTATTTGTCTAGATCATATATGAGAAGATGTTGTTCTAGGTCATATAGGTGGTACTGTTTTTCTTGGTCATATAGGTAGTTGTCTAGGTCATGTATGAGTAGATGTTCTTCTAGGTCATGTAGGTGTTACTCATATATGAGCTCCTGTTCCTTTTGGACCTATGTGTTTGTGTAGGCTATAAAGATGATATGGTCAGATCATTTCCCCAGAGTCTTTGAATTTCACTTTGAACAATAAGCTCAATGCTTACTGTATGATGGTATGTCATGTGTATATGTGTTATGCGGTAAACACGATACAAAAATATGTCATATTCCGCAACGAATACGGCATATTCTCTTGCGGTGTATGACAGATTCACCTGCGGTATATGGCATACACACTAACCAATGAGAACGCGATACGGAAGTACGCATTTGTCAATGGCATCGATTGAACGAACAAGTAAAACGTTATAAATTATTATAATGATTACTGAATCAACAGTACTGTGTATCGAATATATTAACTTAGCAGAAGTATCACCAATCTCGCGTAATAAACTTTCTCAATCAATCCAGGATTTCTATATTAGTACTCGACGCACTAACTTTATTGGTAATCCAGCGTAGTTTTACATTTAGTGTCGATTCTCGCAACCAATCAAATCAAGGCTTTCTGTATCACGTTTTCACCTGCGGTATATGTCATATTCACCTGCGGTATATGGCATATTCCGCAAGTGAGTATGACATATTCCGCAGGTGAGTATCGGGTATTCACTGAAATCAATGAATCGCATATTCACTGCGGAATATCGCATACTCACCTGCGGAATATGCCATATACCGCAGGTGAGTATGGCATATTCACCCGTATCACAAATACCGCGCAACCATGAATGTATGCCATATACCGCGTAACAATATGTGTACTGTGTGGGCTGAGAACAAACAACCTAGTGATTTATACATGTGTTTTTGAATGGTGTTGTATGTTATTTATTGAAGGGTTTATGTTAACTCAATCATTTATCATCAAATGCTGACTGTTGACCTTTGATTAGACTGTTGAACTTTGATTGCCAAATAATCAAAAACAAGATATAATTATTTGTACAAAAAGTATCACACGTGCTTTATTACTGGCCATAGTTAGATCATTATAATTATATTTCAATTATAATTCAATTATAATTCATATAAAACGTAATACATCAGTCATTATATACAATATATCCTCCCAAGGACATAACATTTAGTATTCATGGATATCATTTATAAAACAAATGAGGCATACACACGAAATGTACTAAAACATTTAGTTTTAACAATTAAATAATCACAAAGAAACCATATCAATAATTGGTATCCAGTCACAGGACTAGAAAATTCAATAAAATAATCGTATTGCTTGAGGTCTGATCGAAACAGTGAATAGTAAAGCAAATACATTTCACTCTTTTGAAAGTATAATCACGAAATATAAGGAGCTGCTGGTATACATCTCACGTCAATAGAATGTCACATTTCAATAGAATTCTTAACATGTGATAGATGCATGTACATGTTCTAATAATGTTATGAAACCAATTATATGTAATACACCCTATGCAGACAGAGCCTGTGGGAAATATTGGGTGCGGCGCAAATGAGCGGAGGGTGCGGAGCTAACGGTCATTTTTGAATTTAAAATTGGGGTATTTCTGAAACTAAGCCGTTTTGGGACTTCAAATATACCAAGATATGTGTATTTGACACCAAATATCAATAAAATTGTGAAAATAGTAGTGCAATTCATTTTATAGCGACGCAGTATGCCTTAAACATTTCCCAGACCTATATATTTTGAGACTATCCTTTTAATACTGCGTCCCCAGCATTCATAAAAAATGGTGTTCAAGATACACTACCCATGCAAATTATTTTTGCATCTTGGAAGCTAGGCAGTATCTGTGTGATTTTATAAAAATTCGGAAATGTTCTTCAGATATGAGCCCCCTCTAAATATTGGGTGCGGAGCTACGTTTATGGAGCTGCTCCGCACCCAATATTTAGAGGGGGCTCATATCTGAAAAACATTTCCGAATTTTTATAAAATCACACTGATACTGCCTGGCTTCCAAGATGCAAAAATAATTTGTATAGATAGTGTACCTTGAACACCATTTTTTATGAATGCTGGGGACTCAGTATTAAAAGGATAATTTCAAAATATATAGGTCTGGGAAAGGTTTAAGGCACACTGCGTCGCTATAGAATGAATTGCGCTACTATTTTCACAATTGTATTGATATTTGGTGTCAAATACACATATCTTGGTATATTTGAAGTCCCAAAACGGCTTAGTTCCAGAAATATCCCAAATTTAAATTCAAAAATGACCGTTAGCTCCGCACCCTCCGCTCATTTGCTCCCCACCCAATATTTCCCACAGGCTCTGTCTGCATAGGGTGTAATAGATGCATTTCACCTGTCATGACTTCAGTGTCATATTCACATCCTTTGGGCCGAGATCCGGGAGTGCAGTATTATGAAATGTATTAATATAGCGTTTCTTATTATTATGTTGAACATTCGCCTTTGGTTATGTGATATAGCGAACATATACTGTCACAGTGTCTGTCGAGAAGTTTCACATAATATCTCATTGAAGGTAGCGTTGATTTTGGGATCGCTCCTAAACGGTTTCACCTCTTTGAAATGAACTTGATCCAGTTTTCCCATTGTAACAAAAGCCCCTTTTCAGTTGTAGCACACACAAAATACTTTAGACAATTTTTATCCATTCCAGGCTCATAGCCATGTTACTAAGCCATTTATTTTGCATGCTTGAATGATTTTATTTAGATATGAAATGATTTATACAATTTTATTTGGCGTTTACGTTTTTATGTAAGATTTAGATGTTTTTATTTACATGATTTATTTAAAGGGAGAATCATAAAAATGTAATCAATATTTCATCTTATAAGTATTATCCATCCCATGTATTTTCTAATCAAATGGTATTTTTTGTCAAATGGAGAAGCGGATATGTATGCAAAAGTGCAAAAATGAGAAATATATCAAAACAGCAATACTCACTGTGATACTGTAATATTGTAAATATTGCTTGCAATTTCTTCATACATTCATGATATATTCTCCCTTTAATTACAACAGTCTCATTAAACAGAACCTAATTCACCTGACATAAAAATAAATGATGCATGATGACAACTGGTAATAACATGTTCATCAATTAAAATAGAATTGCTGTGATACTTTAAGACAATAGCCTTAACTGTAAGCTTACAGGTACATTGTTTTTAGTATTTTTTAAAATGTATAAAGCAAAGGTTTCTTGCTACTATGCCCTTATTTGTCGATGGAGTACGTTGAGGCTCAATGAGAGGCCCTCTCACTCTCAATGAGGTCATTTAGAATTGTGATCCAATCTAACAGTATTGACACGCTTTCATTGATCAACTCTGCACGATCTAGTGATGGATATATAAGGTTCAAAGCAGTAGATATCAAATGATTTCTCTATTCATTTTTATACTTTATTGAAACCAGTACTTTTAAAAGATGATTTAGATGTATTTTCTTTCAATGATAAGAAAGAATATTGTTGTATAAGACTAATGTGTTTACCCAATCATCCTATATTTTTCTGCCAAATAACCAAACTTCTACAAGTGATCTGAATGTGGACTCCTAGTTGCCAAACTTCTGAAGGGGAGTGTATGTATCAGAGTAACCCGGAGAGAAAGAATATTGTTGTACAAGACTTAAGTGTTTACCCAGTCATCCTATATTTTTCTGCCAAATAACCAAACTTCTACAAGTGATCTGAATGTGGACTCCTAGTTGCCAAACTTCTGAAGGGGAGTGTACTAGTATATATCAGAGTAACCCGGAGAGAAAGAATATTGTTGTATAAGACTTAAGTGTTTACCCAGTCATCCTATATTTTTCTGCCAAATAACCAAACTTCTACAAGTGACCTGAATGTGGACTCCTAGTTGCCAAACTTCTGAAGGGGAGTGTATATATCAGAGTAACCCGGAGAGAAAGAATATTGTTGTATAAGACTTAAGTGTTTACCAAGTCATCCTATATTTTTCTGCCAAATAACCAAACTTCTACAAGTGATCTGAATGTGGACTCCTAGTTGCCAAACTTCTGAAGGGGAGTGTATATATCAGAGTAACCCGGAGAGAAAGAATATTGTGTTTCAGTAACATTTAAGTATTATGATTCTGTTCGCTTTTTGAAAAAAACATTTTGAGCATAGTATTACCGTTTAAATGCTTGAACTGACAAAGACGAATGGTTGTTTTTTTGTTTTCGGTCTGGTCTATACAGGTCATTTGAGTCTCGCATTAAGTAAACAAAGTCAAACACAACATAAACACTTAACTGTTTTGTAATGTTAGACTGATGTTATAGTGATGTTCTTTGAGAAGAATGGTCAAATTGACCTTAAACTCATTCAGTTAAATGTTTAGATTTTACGCAGAATCCGTTTCCATGGCAACGAATAGACACTTGAAACATTTTGGCTCAGCAATAACTTGAGAAACTAAACATTGACGACCAGCCCTATTCTTAAAGCAACCCAAATGTATACGTTTGGGCATCTCGTTTTTAGTACTTGGACAGAAGACTTTCACGATATAAACTGCTTCAAACCTTTGGTTCCAGACTAAATCATCATATCTTAACAAAAATTTAAATTATATTTTTGTCTCACTATAAAATATTGTCCAATCTAGCAAATTTAAAAAAAAGTACGTGGCACCAATTTAATAATATATCTTTTTCACAAACGTGCTCATTTTATTTTATTGAATCAGTCATTTTAGTGAATCACAATCAATATAAACTCAGAAATAATATTAATGTCCTTGATTGAGCCGTTATCAGCACTCAATGAATTCACTCAAACTACTTGAAAAAGACACAATATCAAACGGAATAGTACTTTCTGAAGCGTCGGACTCATTACCGTCGTCACTCTGAGGTTCGTCAAATTCAATGGAATGTTCATCTTTTGGATCCATAACGTCAGAGTCTCTCTTTTTATTGTTCTCATTGCTGTGCTTGCTGTTTGTCTCTTCATTACAATTTTTTTGATTGTTGTTTGTGCCTTTACTGTCTTCATTGCTTTGTTTGTTGTCTGTTCCCTCATTATTCCCTATATCTTGTTTGATGTCGTCTCTCCCTTTATTCTTCTCATTGCTTTGTTTTATGTCCATTTCTTTATTATCCTTATTACATAGCATTATGTCAGTTTGTTTGATGGCAGTTCCTTTCTTATCCTCGTTGCTCTGTTTGTTGTCAGTTTCTTCATTATCGCCATTACTTTGATTTTTGTCTGTCTCTTCATTACCCTCTTTGCCTTGTTTGCCGCCTGTCACTTTGATATCCCTTTCACTTTGTTTAATGTCTGTTTTTCCATTATCCTCGTTGCTTTGTTTGCCGTCCATTCTTTTATCGTCTTGGATGCTTTGCTTCTTACATGTTATTTTATTTCTCTTGATCGCTCGCTCATTGCCAGTCCCTTTATTCCTGAAATGTGCTGTGGAGCTTTCACTACTAACTGAGTCACAGTTAATATTTTTCAACCTTGAACCTCCTGTGTTCTGCTTCATGTTTCTCTTGTTTTTCTTGTTATCTTCTTTACGTTTTTCTCTTTGGTCTATCTCATCTTGATCTGAGAGACCATACTTGGGTAGTCCGTAGCATTTTGAAAGCTTTATTGTCATAAACTCCATGGCATCCTTGTACTTTATATCTTTGCTGATATCTTTGAGTAGCACTTTACACGGCTTGGTACGGACATCAAAACTATGCAGGTCATCATTGTGCCTTTCAGATGGACACCGTTTACGCCTCTTTGAAGTAGATACGTTTTTCTTTGATATTATACAGGATTTTGAATTAACCGGGCCTGCATTGTCAGGTTTTATAACCATTGTGCTTTTCACAGTAGCACATGCTTGTTTTGCTGGTTTATTCATCGATGTATTATGTTTTGCTGTCATTTCTTTAAGTATGTCGGGTAACTCGTCATCACTGTCACCGTCTATGTCAGGTGTATCAAGTTTCTGGAGATTATTTTTCGAAACCTCAATCACGTCATCGTCTGATTCGTCATCGCTGGATCCGCTATATTTCCCTTCGATTTGTTTCTCATAAGATTTTCGAGCTATGGCTCTTAGATTTTGTAATTTCATCAAAAGGTTTTGGCATTTTATTTTTTCTTTCTCATCATCGCTGGAGTTATCATCTTCACTCATTTTCCTGGAAGATATAGTTTTCAAAACGACCTTATCTTTTGTTGTATCAACTAAACTATCAAGTTCTTTGTGGCTGTTGTCAGCGATTGGTATTCCAGATTCGTTTATTGAATGATTATTAGCATGAGGATAGTTTTCTTTTATGGGCAATGTTTCTTTAATTGGTATTTCAAATAAGTTCCCTTCGTCTTCATCTGAATCATTTGGACAAGTAGGTTCTACTTGCTCAATGGTTGCTTTCCCCTTTGTTAACATATCTTTAAGATGGCTAAATCCTTCAACTGTTTGTTGTACGCTAGGCTTAGCTTTAGTTTCATTGTCTCTCTTTTCTATGGCTTGATCACTGATCTTTTCCGTCTCTTTAGCTTTCGAAAACATATTTCTAAGATGACTAAATCCATTCACTGTATGTTCTTTGTTTGGCATTGTTTGCTTTATAATGTCTCTTTTGTTTGTCTCTTTAGTTATTGTTTTATTACGACTTGTGTTTTGTTGTTCCGTAATAGGTTTGTCAGCCTTATCAGATTTCTTTTTATGTCCATTCATTTCTGCGTTATTCTTTGGGGCTGCTTGTTGCTGAACGGGCTTTTTTAATTTTTCAGTACGTTTCGTTACGATTCCAATTAGTTGTTGGAGTTGATCGGTTGTATCATCAATTTGACGTTTCTTTCCAGTTTTGTTGTTTTTAGGTTTACTATCCAATGTTTTACTTGATGTTTGACTTTCGTTTGAGTTCTTAAGTGTGTCGACTTTATTAATGCCGTCCGACGTGTTGCTATCCATTGTGTCCGAAGATCTGGACAATTTGGGTCGTTTTTCTAAGGGCAACAAAGTGTTACTCACTTCTCCGCGCTTTTGCTTTTCTGTCTGAGAAGGCATGTGGTCCCTTTGTTGCTTAGGTCTACGCTTTGTATCCAGAGAAACAATTGCAAGGTTCAACTCTGCAGCTGAAACCCCAGATTTCCTGGCATTTTTACGCAAAAGAACCTTCTCCTTTTTCACTGTCGCTGGTTGTGTATTATAACCATCCTCTGATTGATTGAATTTCGTTTTTATACCTTTTGGGTCCCCAGACTGAAATTTACTTCCAGCATTACTTTCTGGAGATTTGACATTATCATTTGGATAATGTTTAGGCATATTTTGAGCAAATTTGTTGAAGTTATTTACCCAGTTACTTGATCGAGTGGACTTCCTAGCATTGCGTTTCAATTTTACAGCCCTGTTTGTGTCCAGTGGCGTTTGTCTCTTTGATATGTCTTTGCTGATAACTTCATATCGAGGGAAATTTTCAGAAAAACTTCTTTCACAAATTGGATTTTGCTTGATTGGACTTGTGTCACCAAATGACGATTCCTTTTTCAACATCTGGCCAAATCTCTTTGCCTTTTCTAGGAAGGTATCTAGCTTATGATCTTTAGATGTGTAAACAGTATGGGGCGGTGTGTCTGGTTCTATGGATTCCATCGGTGCTGAATTTATTCTTAAAGTTCTCGAACTAGACATTTTTTCATCGTCGCTCTTTGTTGCTGAGAGAATGTCGAAAACATTGAGTCTACTTGACAAGTTTTGGTCGTCGTGGCTTGAAGACACTTGTCTGTCTTGCTTACCCGAGGGATCATTAATTTCTTGCTTTCTGATTGTACCTTTAGTCGATACCTCTGTGTCTAGTAATGTAAGATTCTCTGTAATAATTGTAGTGGACTCAGTTGAAGATACTGGAGTATCATTCTTATCTATCGTTATATTTTCCTCATCAGTTACTCTGTTGACTTTAGCCTCCAGAGCGTCGGAAATAGCATCACTTGTTTTCACTGTTTCTCTTGCCATTTTATTTTCATTTTCCTGACCGTCCACTGTTCTATTTGTCATTTCATTTGGCATTTCAATTTTTGATGAATTGTTTACGTCACTGTCTTTCTCTACATTCTTTTCATTCAATGGCTCTGCAGACTGAATCATTGGACTCGTTTTAATTAGCTTATTACTGTCAGAGTTTGAATCATTTTCTCGTTCACAACCTGTTAGGCTTATAGTGTCTTTGCTTTGTTTCTGATCGGTGGAAAGTCCATGCTCCAAAGCAAGTTCTGGTGGAATGGTCCCATCGTGTGTTGCTAATGAGAAAGTGGAAATCACTTTAATTCCTAGACTTTCTTCACCATCGGTGAAATCGTTCCCAAATGTAATTAATTCTTCAACAATTTCTTCCTCGTATGACTCTTTGCTGGTATGGAATGGTTGGTCACTGTCTTTCATTTCTGTGACTTCGTCTGTGTTATTACTCATCGATTTGCCTGCTAAATATTGCTCTGTTTCAGTGTCATTGATATTTTTAATTATCAATTCCCCGGTATTTTTGTCTCCTTTTACTACGTGACGACCAAATCCGTCATCTGCTATATCGGGCAATTCATCTTCTAAGTCTAAGAATGTTTCTTCAGATTCTTCTATTTCAGTTTCTTCAGTAATTGGCTGATTGGTTGTTTCATCAACTTTTGTAGTTGTTTGATCTGTGATAATGGTCTTTTCCACTGCATATTGGACATGTTTCTCAAGAGGAGTTGTATCTTCGGGTGGTACCTCTGTCGCTTCTGAATTTTTGACATTTGTCACAAAGGGGGAATCTGCTTTGCCATTTCCATTGCTCCTCACTTCACTTGTGCTCGTTTCCAGCTTTTTGATGTTATCATTTTTGTTATTCTCATGATTTAGTATGTCAGTCTCATTAGTTTTGACAGTTTTACTTCCAGAAGCACAATCTTTCGATGTGACTGTTGTTTCCTTCTCATCAGATACATCATTGCTCGAATTTTCGATTTCTTTATCTACATGTTTGTCTGCTGGCTTCAGTTTTGTTGTTTTACTAGTTGTTTTCTTCTTTTTTAAATTATTTTTGCTATTTGATTTCTTTAATGATATTCTGAAAAAGCTCTTTTTGCCGTACTTCTTATTTGGTTTTAAGATGATACTGTCACTTTTATTAACCCTTTCGATATTATCTGTTTTATGTTTGGAATTGTCCGATGTTTCATTTTTGCTTATTGACTTTCCATCGGATTGATCACCAAGCGATGGAATTTTGGTATTTTTACGTTTTTGACCAACATTCTCTTGTGACAAAGTAGACGGCGTTGTCTGTTTTCTCTGTTTTGATTTATAGTCAGGACTACTGTTTCTTTTTATGCGGTTGATACGATTGTTCATTTTATTCTTTTTAGCTTGACTTGATTTAGCAGGAACAGATGGTTTTCCTATCTGATCTTTTTTACGCTTTACAGTCGCCTTTCGGGCCTTCTTTGTAACACCAGTGGTGCAAGGTTCCTTGATAAAGTCACTCTGACGTTTATCAAGGTTCATACTAATAGGTTCATCAATAGTTGAACTCGCCAAGTTCTTTAGGGTGTCACACTTTAAGGCATTTGACGCATCATTTCCATGGGAAACGTTGTTTTGTACTTGATGATTTTGGTGATAAGGTCCAGGAGTTACACATAATTCATGCCCAACTTGGCTACATTCATTCTCGCCAACAACGCCCTTTCCTTTATCTGGCGATTTATCAACTGAAATTGCAGTGGAAGGAGGTATTTGCTTTACTGGGGACACTTGAGGAGTGTTATGTTTCATATCAACCAAAACGTTGGCTGCGTCAATGTCATCTGTTAGAAGCCTTAATTGCTCATCAAATCTTAGCTCAGAGGGTGGCCTACTTTGTAGTGATATCAATGTTTCAGCGGCGATCTTAGATTCATCGTCTTGTGGAGTATCAAATGGTGGGTTAATACGGTCATTGTTTTGTGCTTCCGTTGCCACATCTGTAGCAACAGTCTTGATCGAATCCTGAAATTTGTTTATCTTTTCTGAACCATCTTCACTTGGCACAGTTGCTGTAGTGTTAACTGCCTCCACCTGCTGTTTATTCTGCCCATTCGCATCACTCGCAAAGTTCACCTCAATGTTTTCATGTTGAACTTCTGTTTTATGGAAATATATGAAATGTTTCTCCATACTGACCATGTTGTTATATTTAGCACCACATAACTTACAGATCACCGTATCGGTTGGCATAAGTGGACTGCTGTGGTCTTGGGGTTTGATTTGGTTAGAGATGAATGTTGGCATATACGAAGGTAAAATTCTATGTTTTTGGTTGGATGAGTTCATCATATGTGTTTGCGGTAAGTTCATGATTTTTTGATTTTTGATTTGTTCTTGAAGGTGTTTGTTATTGTTTGCATCTTGAAAAGGAATCGATTGGACTTTGTCAGTTGACTGAAATATTTGTGGCTCTGTATTAGCGAACGTTGGGAGCCTTGGATGTTGCGGGTGATTGGGACTAAATGGCATATATTTGTTATATGGGTTTTGTTTTGCTACTTCACTATTATATGGTACCATTTTTGAAGTAGCTGCTAATAGTTCTTGTTGGGTTTCAATAGGCTTGGCCAATAGCCTTTTCACTACCTCGGGAGAGTCAGTACTGGATAACTTAGCCATAAGTTCTCTATTGTGGTACTTCAAGTCTTCCTCGTCGATATAACAGACTATAGTTTCTTGGCCATCTATTATTTGGATTTCAGTTTTTGGACCCCTTCTTTTTCTGGGGTGGTCGCCATTTGCGACAGTACCATGTTCTTGTTTTTCCTCCTGGTCACATTTCTCTGAGGCACGCAGCGACTGGGGTAGAGTCTGCACGTCATCAGTACTGTTCGGTTCAGCTTCCTTCAACATGTTGTGATCACTTGTTGCCTTTGGGAAATAATTAGTAGGGGTGTGCCATGACATCATCGATTCTTCCTGGTGTTCTGAAAAGGTATCTCTTTGTTGAAATTGAAGAAAGGCGTCTTGGAACGAGTGAATTGGTTTAGATGAACTTGAGCATGGGTGTTTTGCTGGTATTCCTGTTGATTCCTGACTGTCCACATGGCTCTCACGAATTTTAGATAGCGCATCTTCATTACATATAATTTCATCTCGATTCTCTGTTCCTTCTTCTGCCGTTTTCACAACTGGTGTCTCCTTTGATTGATCACCGTCGAGGATAGTGAAGGGAACATCTGAACCACGTTGAACTTTCTTATTAGTAGACAAATCTAGAGGAATGTAGTTAAGCATCGTCTTTTTTGGAAAGCCCTAAAATTATACATGTAATTGTGTATTGTCACTCATACATTGTCTTAGACACGAGCGTATACAAAATTCAAGTCACCAATAGCCTACACGACTGACGTAAGTAACGTTAGTTTCATATGATGTAATACAACATATACAATCCGACGGTGTTGTTAAGACTGTTAATTAGCTGAATTGAAATACCTGTTTTCACTTTTCGCGTTTATCTGTTTATGTAAATCAAAACATATAATTGTTCAGCCACAATATCCTTTGTACACTGTAATATAGTCCATTATGCCTCAAGGTTCACAAGATGAATTAGTTTAGAATACAATTTACTGCTAGTTAATCTACAGGGTGACTCAAACAATTAAAATTTGCAAACAGTCGTCTCTATGACATCAATAATGAACTGTCCCAAATAATGAACTGACTCATTATTGTGCTACAAATGTGGATTTCAAAAATTGAATTCAAAACATTTGACGCGAGAGCTTGCCTTGAAGGAAGATATATTTTACGTAAAAGTCGTTTACTACACTGGTTACCCCTTTACAAAAGTAATACAAGAAGATTCCACATGATTCCATATACTGAATTATTTTAAAATTCGAGAATCGCACTTTTGGTCACCCTGTACTTGGCGTTTTCAAGTATTCTGTTAATCAAATATTGCCCATTTTATTTTTGATTTCTTTAATAACTCACAAAAATGTACAATAATAATTGAGAAAAATGCATGTACCTGCTCTTTTGTTGTTTCACTTGGTTGGTCGATGTCTTTCCTTGTACTTCCCTCAGATGCATTTTTTCTCGGCCGCCCTCTTTTTCTAGTTCCTTTCCCAACTTTGATTTGATCATTTGATTTCGCCCTTTGTTTCCTATTTCGACGATGTCCCTTTATTTGTTCCTGATCTTGGTACATATGTGGTGGAAAACGCACCTCGTGCATTTTCCAAGGCTGTGGCATCGTTGAAGGTATCACTTTATACAAGGGAGGAGGGCCATTTCTATAGTTTAGTGGGCGGTTATTTGTTTCAGGATTATGACCATTGACAATCATTCCTGGATGGGAATTCGAGACACGTGTCTGACCATTGCTTAGGCTGACATAAGGATGGCACTGAGCTACCATTTGTTCTCTATGTAGTCTATCCTCTGCACTTGGAAAGTATATAACGTTATGGCGGGGTATGGGTTCATTTTCATTTTCTTCATTTCTAGGAACTCGAGTCACAAGATCGTCTGCACTGATATTTGAATCTCGGGTTTGACAAGGATGAATCATATTTCCAAAGATTTTGTTTGATTCAGTGGGGGTCCTGTTTCCATTTGTGAGTTGACATTCGGCAATTGGTACTTGATATTGATTACCATTTTGTTCTTGATATTGATAATCATTTCGTTCTTCATAACATTCTATCCGTCTTCGCGAAGGTTGGAATTTATCGTTGGGGTATCGTGCTCCATTTTCAGATGGCTTCCTTGTGTCACATCTGTCAATCGGATTTGGAATAAACTGGGTTTGGTTTTCCATGAAAGAAGCTCGACTTTTCTCAAATTGGTATTCATCTTGATCGTATGGACGACTGTCATATTGTCTCTTGGCATAATTTGAGCCATTCGTGTAATGTATTTGTGTACGACTGGGAGTTCTCTCAGCTGGAAGTAATTCTGAACTTCCTGCGTTTGATGTTGCATTTATTGGAGTTTTCCAATATTGATCCAGTTTAGATTTCGCAATTGAAAATTCATTTAGATGTGGATCTTGGTCGTCCTTCTCACCTTCTTGTCCAAGTCCATGCATCTCATTGAATAGGTGTTTTTCTTTGTAATACTGTGGATTTTGTATTTGTTGTTGTATACTTTGTCTAATATGATGATGTAATTGCTGGCTACTCTGATATTGAGCTTCTGCTGTGTATGTTTGACCTTTGTGTTGCCCAGGCTGGTGTGGATACTTGTTTTCGTTACTATTAGAATTGTTTTTGTTGTTTTGGCCACCTTCATTTGATGAAGGAGGGAAACCATACCTTATCTTATCGGATTGGCTGTCTCTTTGTGGATACGGAATAACGTGTTGGGGGATATGTTGAAACATCGATGGCGTTCTCTGTTGGTCATATTTAGCCGCTGTAAGCCCTTGGGATGCTTTCCTTTGTTTCATTGCATTGACGAACGCATCAACTACTAATACATTCCCTGATTCATTAACATTACCATTATTATTCCGATACTCTAATCCTTCATCAATATGCATTGGTATTTTCCTCTTTCTTCTTCTGGGTTTTGTTTTCACTAGTGCTGTCTCAGCTTGGGTATACATTGGATAAAAACCACGTGTTTGAGGTAACGCTTCAACAGTTGTTTGACCTTGACCTTCTGGCTCTAGATCCAGGGGCTGTGTCACCCCTCTTAAAAGTTTAGGTGCAGACATATACATTCTTAATGTGCTTTGTTCACCATTGTGTTTATTATAGGATGGATCAATTGTCTGATATGGTATTTGATGTGTAGCTTCTTCTGATCGTCTCTGTTCCTTTGCCATGCGATTAAAATATCCATGCGCTCCCCCGTCATTTAAAATTGACTTGTTCAGGCCTTTGTTGATCGACTGATCTAAACATCCATAGTTTGTTATTCCCGCCTCACCTCCTAGATATTCCCGGTTATCATTGTTCAACGCGGCTTTCTTCTGTAGATCTTGTAGATAGTTCACTCCTGTTTTATGTGCCTCTTGGCATATAGCTTCACAAACTGTGCTCGGATCAGAAGCTATAGTTTCAAGAGGGACAGATGCCCTGTGTCCATTTTCTACCCTTTCATGATCACCTCTGGTGTTTTCAGATGGTCCTACAGTGTGATGAGCACCTACGTTACCTGCCTCTTCACTCGCTCCCATTGAATGCTCGCCGTAGAGCGGCATTTCTGTAACATGCATCGTTTCCTTAATTCCTCATCGTTTCAAAAGCTGCTACTTTTGTTTGCATGGCTTTTCCTAGTCATTTCCAAGTACGCTCACTATTTTATTACTTCCTGGTTGTTCAATATCTGGAATGGTTGGTCAAAAATGTATTTATGATTGTATTTATGAATTATTTGATGATCTTGACCTATGAAAGGCAAGAGAGTGATAGAGTGGAGACATACACAAGGGAGAACGGACATGGTTGGCTTTAAAACAATCACCCCAACCTAGAAGCCACACTTTGAAAAAAGACACAATGTCGTAAAATGAAAGTGAAAATACTTTCCCGGGAATTATTATGACCGCGGATTTCAAATATGACATCACTTTGAATAACAATATGATATTCAATGGTAAGATCATTTCAACTTGCATTTATTCTATTGAGTAGCTCATCGATCTAAAATTGAGTAAGAAATGGTGAACGTAAAGTGGAGGGAGATTTTATAGTTAAAGTAAAAACAAGCGATATCAATGAATAGCATACCATTAGCATACCTGTCAAGTAAAAAAAAATCAAAAATCGGGATATTTTCTATTTTTATATTATTTTCTGGAAAAATCGGTATTTCAAAAACATCAGGTGAAAATCAGGGTTTCTAAAACAATCGTGAGAAAAGTGGGGGTTACCAAAACTAGATCGAAAAATTCTTCTAAAAGTCGAGGTTGGGAAAAAATCTGGGTGAAAATCGGATTTCAATTTCTGAAAAATCGGGAGAACATCGGAATTTGTCGAAAAAATCGGGAGAATGAATCGGGGTTTCTAAAAAATCAGGAGAAAAATCGGGGTTTCAAAAACTAATAAACAATTCGAAAAACTCGGGAGGAATTCTGGATTGCTAAAAATAAATTGCGAGAAAAAGCAGGGTTTACAAAATAATTGGATAAATCGGCGGGTCTTTAACAAAAATCTGGATTTCTCGTTAAAAATCGGGAATTTGGAAAGAAAATCGGAGGATTATGAGAAAAAATCGGGGTTTTGACTGAAAAACGTGATTCTTACTCCGTTCTTACTCCGAAAAATCAGGATTTCTTGCTATTTAAATCCAGGCTTGCCAAGTGAACATTAGTGAACGAGTAATCTTGTCATGCAGAGAACAAAAGATGAATTATGATATAAAATGGTAATCCAGTATCACAAAGGGGACGAGAATTTATAGACATTTCGATTTTTGTTTTATATTCAATCAAAATATTATAGATCTGTTTGAGGTCCTTTTGACAAATCAGAGTTTAATAGTGACTCACAGGATGTGCTTTTGTTGTCTTTGTTTGTTGAGAGCATGCGACTCAAAGCAATATTGTATGTGTGCGTAGTATTCATAGCCATGACTCAAAAGTGCATTTTCGTCGCAATAGATCGTCAATATAAATGTACTCTGTAGAAAATGTCAGTCAAAATTCCGGAATGTTTGATATGAATTCACGTGTCTTGTCATTGCGGTTTCAATTTTGTTCATACTTTATTTTTGTATTTGACCCTTGCAATGCAAATGAAACGATGAAAAGCAACAAATGCAACATTTTCCAAAAATGTGTCCAAAATCACTTTTGGCATTTGAAACAAAAGTTTGACATACTTTAACAGAGTCTTAAAATGTATACATCAAGCCATAATGCAATTTTTTTGAAAAATGTGACTTTTGAAAAAAGTTTTTCATTTTATTATTTTCATATATTCGAATTTTCCGCCTTTTTAGAAACTTAAGTTTAGATATTTCATATGTGTGTGCCACTGGATTGGACGAATACTCAAATTTTAAATGCTTTCTTTTCTCTGAACAACTTTCTGCGTTTATGAGTCGATTTCTGGCTCATTTTCAACCGATTCCGGCTTGTACTTCTTCAACACAAAATAGGTCACGATATGTGTTATCATTAATTTTGGTGTAAATTATTTGTGCGTGACAACTAAAATTTTATTTGAACAAAAATCAACTTGACTTGAAATTAAAAGTTTCACATACCACATTTTTATAGCATTGGGTAAGACATAATATAAATCAAAGTGGTTAAAACATTATATGGGGTTTTAAAATTAAACTTCTCTTATCAAGTCTTCATAACTTAGAAAAATATCAAAACTGGTTCAAACTGGTTTAAAGTGGAAAATAGTACAAGTATTAAAAATATGAACTCAAAGATCCCAAAATTTGGGAATTTTTGAAAAGTGTATCACATGTCACTTACTGAGAGCAAATAATAAAGTGTTTGGGTAATAAACCTAAGAATAGTCCGTTCTCCTTTATGTGCATCTATTTCCATTTTTGTTACCTCAGAATAGTTTATGGTATGAAAGAAAATAATACGGTCTGTGTCAGACTGACATTTCAAGTGTTTAAGATATGTTGTTTTACCAAGAATCTATATATTCTAACATTAGTTTTACACCAGACTTAGCTCCACTGTACGGAATATAAATACATATCGAAACTGCTTTGGTTTCTCACGAAACTGATTTTGCTTTCACTTCTAACATATAAAACAGCAACTGAAACAACCCTTAAACACTACCCAAAAACAAGGAGATATAATATTTATGATGCAAATACCTTTACTATCATATTTGGTGTATGTTCTCCCATTAGTCCAGTTTGTCAATTGTGTGTGCTGTCTATTATATCCTTTATAATAAGAGGAAGATACACTGCTACATATCCTTTATATGACTTACTTAAGTCCTTCATTGATATATCTTAATGGCGACCAGTACAATCGCCATCTGCGTTTCCATTCGATAAACAACCTTTCGTGTTTTTATATTTAGATAAGTATAAAAAACAACGTCGTTCATTGGAGGTGTCTTAAGATAACAAGCGATATTCAAGTTTTGATAAATAGCTCTAGTGTGTAGCTAAGTGTTGCCAGGGTCACTGTGTACCTAGCATTAGTAATAAAATACATCCATTGCAAGAAAATACATATTCAATTGCTGCTTTTGATTTATCCAGTCATTCAATATGTGAATAGTTTTCACTTTCGGTATAGACGTTTATTGTAGATCTACGCTAAACTAAATGATTTTATTTACTATAGGCAAGCAATCGATAAGAACACTACAGAGTGGGCTAAAATCTTTACCCCAAATCAATTTTGATCTCATTTTTATTATGCACGTTAAATTGAACTTTATGAGTGTATTCCTGACGTGAGACAATAAGTAACATATTGTTACTCATATTTTGAGTGTGTGAGGCTCATTATAATTTTATGAGGCTCACAATCAATTCTTGGATGTATATTCATTAAAGATCCACCAATATGTCCAGGAAACGGATTTACTTTTGAAATTGAATTAATTTTAATGCTTCTTATTGTTAAGTTATGTGTACCTTCAATAAAAAGCCACCCGGTGTGAAACGGGATTATGGTCCCCCAGGGATTATGGTCCCCCTTTTTAACAGCCCTTACTGGCCCTGATTGTGTATACGATAATAAGAAAAAGAGGTCACCATATAAATCAATAAATTAATAGGACCTCCCACCCTTTTACACCGGTCGTCTATTTGAAATAGTTTTTAAGGTTATTTAATTTCCATATATGAATCATATAACATACAATAATATAAAAATACATGAATATGGAGAAACAAGCCTACGTTTGCACATTATTGGCCTGTGAAAATACATTTTATACAGTCAGTGGATATTCACACGTACAATAGTAGTCATACTTTACATAAATGCAGTGTTCAGATGGGATGAAGATGAGTGATGATGTTTTAAAATTTGGCAAGGTACAGTAGCTATGACCCTGGTTCCACAATATTTTGTAAATGAAATCTGATCGCTGGTTGGATAAATGGACGTTTTTTAGCCCAACCTGTATCATAGAAAGAGGGGTTGAAATTTATGTTTTGTACAAATGCCATATTTCAGTATTTGCAATAACTTAATAAACTATTAATGGTACAAAGTAGAGTTGGGAATAAAATCTCATCTTAAAACCATACATTAACTGATAACGTACCATTATCAAAATGAATGCTTCCACTTCGAGTTTATTATTCTATTCCAATTAGTGTAATAGAGATTTTATATTTTATATATTATTAACTTTGATGTAGTCGCTGTATAATAATGACAGAGTCATACTTTGGTTTATTTGCAATAACATTTCGATAGCTCCAATAGTCCCAGAGGAACCCAATGAAATACATCCGGTCGATGAGATTCTGAAAAAACATGTTCATTTTGCAATTTTCGCAGTCGTGTGTTATGCAATCTATACATTGTATAACTGAAACTAGAAACAGAAGCTATGCTTCTCGCGAATGCAATTTTCAGGTGTCGGCTACTGGATTAACCTACTAATTTATGACCAACTCATTTGAATATGAATGGAATAGTGGCAGGTACTATTCATATTTAATTGAGATGCCCATAAAATAGTAGGTTAATCCGGTAACCGATAGCCGTCAGTTGCATTCGCGAATACAAGCTAAGGTAGTAAATACAAGAAACACTCACATAAGTAGCCCATGATCTTATAATTAAAACATTATTTTTACCTCAGTTACAGCCACATATACGTATGTAAGCGTAGAACTTTTTAAAAACATATTTTATCATCAAATTATAAACCATGATGTAAAATAAACAGTTATAAACAACAGTTAAACATTTTGAGGGTTGATCAATTTTGCCAAAATATTTTGTCATCGGGTCTTGGCATTGATCCCAACCAATAGAATCACTTTCTTAATCACACACCTACACCCCAAACCACGCTTATGTAACTCTTTTGAAATGAGTTAAGATGTTCTGATCTGATCAGACTAAATATGCGTTTGATCATTTGAACTCTGTTTCATTTCAATTCATATGGGAAAAGAAAGAGACTGTTCAGTTGTTCGCTGAGTAGTGTTCGATTTCATCATCACTTAAAAAATCTTAAGATTCATTCTAGCTCCTTCACTCAATGTCATTTTACTAGCCCATTGGAGTCCAAAGTTCTCCCAAAGTTTGAAGATATCACATGATTGTACAAAGAAATCGTATGTTGTATTAATACAGGCGCGTCATCAAGCCCACTTATGATAACAGTTCATATATCAAATATTGGACCAATGTTGACATTAGTTATTTTTACTGATTTTTAAAGTGTATTCTGCCTTGTGAAAGTATCACACGCAATAAAATTATGATATACGGTAAAACCTGTCTAATTCGAACGCCTCTTGGAACAGCTAAAAGCGTCTGGGCTGACAAGTGTTCCCATTCAAGATATTTGCATTCAATGGATTCGGGATATGAACGCATCATAACTTATAGCCCAATTGACCGCAAAACTTTGTGCCAAACCAATGTTATAAAAAGTACATGAATATCTGATCCAAATGAATTCACCAGTCATATCAACAATACAATATAATTGAGCCATTTCAATGATTTTTTAAAGCTTTGGACATCATAAATAGATTTAGTCCAAGAAATAACATTTATAAAATCTATTGTTACATCCATAGTTAATTAACTATTTAGATGATGATGTAGTATCTCTGTTGAACCCATCAGACGCATCGTGTTCTTTAATTAATCAGAGACTTATGATTAGATTTATAATCTTATTATAGAAATCACAACTGGAAACACCAGGCGTATCACGTTCTTCTTTTATTAGTGTTATGATTAGATTTCATTCAACATTAACAAATATCCCCTCAGAATGGATTGGATATGAATGTTCATTGTCTCCATTCATTATATCAATGTCTGTATATTTGGGGGAAGTTCACATTTCATTGTTTCTTTAACATGGGAGCCAATGGAAGAAAAAGCGTTCAGATTGGGAGGTGATGGGATAATACAATTTCTCCAAAAAGATTCACAACATGTTATAAATTGATGACGTTAATGTGGATTCAAAGTGCAAAAATGTTTAAATTCTCTCAAATCATAGAAAAATAATACATTATTGTTAATTGTAAAAAAATTAGTTTTCCTGAAATAAAGTGTGCACTTTGGGGATTTGCAGAAAATAGACATGAATAGGGATGACAAAAGCCAGAAATATTCTAAAATTGAAACAATTGTAACAGTGATCTATCTATTATAATAGGCTCTAATCACTGGGGTAACTTATTATGGGAAATTGCATTATTAAACTAATATCGTTTTATAACAAGTTCGACAAATGTCCACTGGTGATTAGGGTTATCAATCCTGGTTAAAAACTAGAAAAATAAACTATGGGATAAAGTCCACATATCTCTCTCGAGTACTAAGTACTAACATGTGAAATTTCAAATTTTTATCCACATAAAACAAATGATGATGTACAAAATTCTGTAACAAAAATAATTTATTAAGAGTTACAATCATTTGATATATAATCTATGTATTCCAACAAAGCTGATACAAACATCACATCTTAGTTACGCCTTACAGTCAAGCCAAGTAAGTAAGTCAACATTCGAAAATAAAAATCTCAAAAATCGTACATCTTTGATTTCCAAAATAATTTGTGAGATGGTTATTTAGATGATAATACACATTTAAACGCACTAATTTTGAGTACATCTCGAATCCATTCTCAACAAAGCGTTCTCGAAATAAGTATTCGAAATGTTTGAGTTCGGGATGATAAAAGTACGTTAAGATATACCGCTCCTTAACAAATTCCTTCAGGAACAAGATATAGAATCAAATGCATATTCTTCCTATTTATTCCCTGACACATGCCAATGAATGTTTTATAAGAAAATATCTCCGTTTTAAAAATTTTTGAAAACGTTGTTCTCTACAGGTGCCATTTTTTATAATTGAAAAACAAAATTGAACAATTTGCATTTCTAAATTGATAAGTTTCTTGGAATACAACTTAACTGTAAACGATCTAAGTCATTAATAATATTTCCCTTAGTGAACCCATGCTGAATAGACAATAACTGGGTCAATGTTTTGTGTTCAACCTTGTTTTCGTGACTTTTAAACATGAGTCGACGATTATGTAGGAAATTTCATTTTCAAATGTAAGCGTGTCAACTCCTGTTTTTGCACAATATTTAGCCCTTTATAATGATAGATCGCCAAAATATGCATGTACCTCTCAATTAGGCGATATGTTTTTCAATTTATAGTTGTAAACTATAAACTCAAACAAAAATTCAAAGCACCCGCTCTATTATTTTGATTACACAAGACGAAATTGCCACTCCCGGGGAGCACTTTGGTATCACTTTGAAGGAGGATTCTTGAAAAATCGTTCGAATTTTCACAAAAGGTTTCACGTAATTTTATTGCTTTGTTTAAGCCTCGACTTATATTATACTCAAATCCGATACCATAATTATGAATCAAAATGAAACATTCAATTCACCAGGTTAAATAATAAATAGTTTCAAACATTGATAATTTGAGTTAATTGTGGATATTTATATAAATGTAAGTTGGCATGTATTCGACAGTTAATGTACACACATGATGTATGCATCAACGTGTGACTTAAATATCAATTCGTGACTATCACATTTGACTTCCAAAAATTAAGTTGGAAATTACAGTGGTAGGAGATTAACGAAAACGTCAATCACATCCAAATATCCGTACGACGTCAAGTATTAACAAAACACTTTTCGTGCATCTCGAACATGGCAAGGTTCTGTTATCCCGCAATGTGCATTTCGAAAGAAAAAATTCACAAATATCAACAAATTTCATTGAGTAAGATATTACATTCGAAATCACAACTTTCAAATTATTTTTGTTTAACCAAGAATTGTAAGAACTTGAAACATGTTGTGAGTTTTTCAAACGGCATATCCTCATTCACGTTCTTTGACAAGGATGAATCCATTTGAAAACATGGATTTTCTTGATTATTCTTCAAAACGACCCTTGAAATATAAGTATGTAGGATATTACAGTGTAAATTGACACGCATTTGTTAGCTCGATATCCTGAACAAATGAATGCAGTACCGTCTTGCAATATTTGAAAACCGAAAGTTCATTCTGTATGTAAACAAGATAAAATACATTTATTGTTGGTTCATAATGAAAAATGACGAATAACATATATCTTTTGAAGTAGGGGTATACAGGAACACAGTGGAAAATCAGAAATTTATCCCAAAGATTGCTTCATCAATATGTAACAGAACATCAAAATTATCATTTACACGTTTGCTGATAGGTTTATTGAAAATAATTAACCAGAGGTTTACTTCAATTGTGGCACCATTCTTAGTAAATACTGATGAACATACGAATATCGAATGTTGACTAAGTTACTTGTCTTGACCGCTTAGTTACATGTCTCATGTATTCTTTGAATAATAAAAAACCCAAAGAATCCTTAACCTATGTCTTGACATGATACGTTGCTATGAATCGTGTAGGCCTGAGTTCAGAGCAAGTCCAATAGCTACAATAATACAAGTGTAGTATTACAATGTACAACAGATACAATGATATAATTGGTTTACAATGTACAACAGCAACAATAAGTCTATTATCAGATGAAATATTGTTACCTGAAGCATGAAAGATGGATTACATATAAAAGCTTTCACTTGTGTTCCTCAAATCTGGTAGGATAGTTGTAAGGAGGAAAACACCGAATTCTCGGGGACTGGTGGAATACAAGTTGCGTGTACAATAACATAAAAATAAGGAAGCGTTTTCTTTCAACATAAATCAAAATCAATGCCATCCATCTCTTTTTTGTTTATCAGATGACTTCCATGAAGCCAGACTGTATATTTCTACTGAGAAAAATGTTTTACAAGACTTTTGGTTCAATTTTTTGAAGTCCAACAAAAAGAGATGAGTAACTTAGCAAATCTTAGCAACCACCTTTATTTTATAATAATTCTTTTGCCTCAAATATATTCATTAAATCAATCAAGTTTAGTTCTTCAATTTGTTATCTCGCCTACTTTCAGGACAAGGTTACCCTTTGCATTTGTTGGACTTTGATTCTTAAAAGAGAGTTTATAACTAGACTCTGCGCGCAGGGTAGGACAAAGCTGATGTGTTTCTGACTGTTATTTATAATGAATGAGGAGGGGTAAAGGTTCACTCTTTTTTGTCAATGTGTATCCTTTTTAATAAGAAATAACATATAATTTTTTGGAATGTGCACGGATCATATTGCAATGTGTTATTTGATGTGGATGTCTAATGTACATTGAACTGAAATGGTGCACCAGGTACAATGCATAAAAGAATCAGGACATATGCTAAATCTCTATGTAAAACCTTTAATTATTCAACAATCCATTTTCTCATATTGAGAAATAATACTCCATGTACATATAACCTTCTTGTAATCAGGTAATCAAAAACACTTGAAAAGATAACACCAGCATAACATCTTAACTTACTTTAAAAAACAATGTCTTGCACATCACAGTTACATTTTCTGACTGCCAGTTATCAGGCTGGCATAATGACATTTTCATATAAGACAGGGACCAAAGTCCACCTTAACAAAGTACAAAATACATTTTGTGTCAATTTTAAATCTAAAATCTAGATGATAAAAAACTTAACAGAAAATACTCTCAAAACATGTAGAGCTCTCTCATAAAAAACTAGTTGTGGGTTGAACTGTTGACATAAGCTACAACACAATTAAAGTTTATACTTTTTAGATGATGTCACTTAACGATTAAATTTATGTATAGGTATACGTGGGAAGTTGTACCATTGATTTTCATTTTGGCATGTAAAAGTTCCTGGCTCCATGACGCTATATCAAGGATGTTTTTGTTACCCTTTCATGCAAAAATATGATTTCGTCTAGAATACAGAATGCGGGATGCCACATATAACACCTTGCAACAATGGCATAGGGGTTATTTCCAATGTCATGGGGGTTAGTTCCAATGCCATGGGGGTTATTTCCAATGCCATGGGGGTTATTTCCAATGCCATGGGGTTTCTTTTTTACTGAGAAGATTATCAGCTGTTGATACTGTATTAATACATCCAAAAGAGAATTTGTCTGAGCAGTCCCAGTCATAAAGAAAACAAATTTTATTATTAGACTTCCTAAAATCAGTCCATCATATATTCGATATAGTCAATTCTATCTGCCAATTCCCGATGTTCAGTGATTTGGCAGTGATTTTAGTTCTTAGGTTCTTTAAGACTTCGGTGACTATCTAGGAAAGGGTAAAGAGTAGACATCTGGAAGTCCTATTTTTTGTTAGACAATTTGAGAGTACGCATGTGCGTACTTTGCGTACATGTAGCTACGGCAATGAACTAGATGTTACAAATGCTGGACAAGAACTAGATCAAGACAATTTAACCATCAATCAGCATAAGTGTTTTTCTTATTTGCATAAATCTGCATTTACATGAGTATGAGGATGGTTTAACATGATTACTGATGCAATGACACCATATTAACTAATCATTTATTGACAAGAGACCTGCAATAATCAGATAAGTGATTGCTATATAATAGAGATGAAAAGGTCAAACTATCTAACTGCTCGTTGTATAAAACACATGTACAGTAATGAACTTAAACTCAATAAGTTGGCAATTTAAACAACAGGTCCAAGTTAAGAATTCTGAGGTAAAAATTTTAACAAATGAGTTGTTGAGCATATTGGATCTTGTCAACATACTGAGATTTTAATGTGAGGTTACCACCAGAATTTTGTATTGAGATTTAACACAACAATGCTAAACATTAATGCTTTAGATGTTATTTTTGATATTAAGTGGGAACTTTGGACCGTAAATCATATCATCGAAAGATCATTCCTATTAAATGCTAATATATAAGAGTTTAGTATAAAATATTTATTCATAGTGTATAACATGTATGATGCAACCAAATGTAACAACAAGAAATGAAATCTTGGATTTCAAGATCACCTGCATCTATATGGCACACATTTGACCAATTCATTAACAGATTAAGAAATAACTGTTTCTACTAATAGTACAGTGAAACCTGTCCAGTGGAACACCTCTATAAGTGGAACACCTCTATAAATGGTACACCTTTCACAATCCCTAACACAGATTTAACACACTGAATGGTAATGGAACCTCTTATGTGTAACACCTTATGTGGAACACTTTCAATGGAACCAAGAGTGTTCGACTTCGACACAAGTTTAACTGTATTTTTTATTTTTACATATACGAGTATGTGTCCACTCATATCAGTAGAACCCTCTATAAGTATACATGAATAACTGAACTACGATAAATAACAAATACTCATTTCACAATACTTCATTTATCATATTTTATTTTAACTATGACGTGAAATGATTAAGAAATTTGTTGAGATAATTGTGATTGATATATTGTTCTGTAAGAATTCACTAAGAAGCAAGCCGTTCCACACATTTCATAGCTATTAAATTGAACATCTCTACAATTCATCCACATTATCTGCTTAGAGTCAGTATATAATTCAAGAAATGGTACCAGTTCACATATTAAACTTTTGGGACATGTGTGCATTTTCTTAATAGTAAATAGAAAAGAGAACATGTTCCATATTTGTGCAAAATCACCCCCCCCCCTTAAAATACAGCAGACCCAACAAAAATGTACAAGTCCGTTTCCATAAGCAATCTGTACAATGAACTCATGTCGTGGTTTGAGATTGCCAGGTTGTATAATCTTGTTTAAAAGGGTAAAACTTTACACTGGCTCAAAGAAAAGTCTATTTCTTCATGTCTACTGTTGACTGCATACTTACAGTGTGAATTATTAATATTTATCATTAATATTATTATCATAATATAACAAATGTTTTAAAATCTCATGAGTAATCACATATATAAAATACGTCTCCCTATAACAAACACGTTACACACACACAATACTGTAGAATAGAGGAATAAAATACAAAGCACATAATTAATACATATTAAATTCACTTTGGTTTTGACGCCAGTTTTATTGGTTTCATTTGTATTGGGACAGCAGACATTGTCAGATCGAGTCCCCTGGGGTCAATTACGATTTCCGTGGTGACAGGTTTGTTGTGCTGTGGAATAACTGCTCCCTGTGGGTAGATTGAGGACAGGGGAACCACTGATGCAGATTCTTTGTCTGCAGGACTTGACACTGTGATAGTTGGAACTGCAATTAGAAATGTTCATTGTTTAACCCATAATTTAGTACTATTTTCAAGTGACGGCATACAAAGGATATGGAGAGTAATATGTTAGATGCAATATTTTCAATAAATATGCCAATGTGTCTTTTACCATCCCAGATGAAAATTCTTAAAGAAAAGCTTTTGGATATCAGATCAAATATATATATTTATTTTTTTGGTCTAGTTCTTTAGAAGCAAGTTAATCAATTCCCAAATTCATTAGAATTGAAAATGTTTTTCAAGAATTATTGCCATTCTTCATTTTATCCTTCACATTGATTTTCACTTGAAAGCCCATGTGCTTCGTCACTTTTAAATGTTATGATATTCTTAGAAAGCAAATGTCCTCAATAAGCCTTCGAAAACAAATGTCCTCAATAAGCCATGTAAGATGAGATGTGGTACTATCTTGTGGATCTCATATAACTCATCCTATACACAATTAATAGAACTCAGGTGTTGAAACTATATGATGTCCAATTCACTCATTACAGATTATAACACCACAGATATCAATAAATAGCTTCTTTAGGGATGGGGAGGGGGAGGTGCATTGACAGAAACTTCATCGAGTTATGAATTTCTAAAATCCACTATGAGGAATTCTCATTAGGATTTCTCAACTTAACGGAGTTTCTACTGTACTGAATTGTAAGATATAATAATTAATTCAGATGATCCTCCTCCCTCCTCTAAAAATATTATTGAACATTATTTGTTTTCTACCTCAGAAAAAGTAAGCTTATCTTTAAAAATGCACCAACAAAATGAAAAGACTTTCTCCTCCCCAAACACAATCTGGGGCATACATCAATATCAAATGACATTAATATTACCTGAAGGATTTAAAATGTGTTTTGTAGAACAATAATTATACAGACATACTCTCTGGAGAGTGTTTTTGTTTTACTTAATTGGAACTTGAAGGTTACACAGGACAACTGTGGAAATTACACTTGACAATACAAAATAAATAGCTAAAAGCAACATTTTATGAAGCTGTTAGCAAAATTAACATTGGTGGTATTAACCTAATTGGTTTATTTTTCAATTATGCATTAGGCAAATTAAGACATTTGCTCTTGGAGTTGTGGTTACAGATGCAACAATTTATCTTCTAATTACTATTACAGTGTATAGTTATACAGGGTGGGCAAAAAACATCCATATTCTTTATTTAAGGAATAAATAATGATAGGCCATTCAATATGGTGAAATTCAGCACGAGTTGGACAGAATGTTGTACAAAGCACGAACCGAAGGTGAGTGCATTTGTACTAACATTCTGTCCAACTCGTGCTGAATTTCACCATATTGAATGGCCTATCATTATTTATTCCGATTCAAATATAAAAATTAGTAAAAGCCGTGTCTGTGGAACGGGCATGAAGGAAGAATACGCATGCTGTCAAGATTCTGAAGTCGGCCGGAAAAATTTTAGAATTTGTTTGGGCTGTTCTATTTTACTCCCCGTTTTAGATTTTATACGGTGTATGCGACTGCAAACTTGAAGTCAGCCATAGTTAAATAGTTACAGTAGTTACGGAGGGAGTAAAAAAGAACAGCTATCCCCGGACAGAGCCCCAGATGTGCAGCTGAGATGTGACGTCACTCAAAACAATGCAAATTGCAGATTGAATAGAGCATGGTCGTGCATCTATGGAGAATTAGAGAACGTTCTATATTGGCTATGCTGCATTCTGATTGGTTGAGAAATTCGAATAGAGCACGGTCATGTTTGAATTGGTGTTATCTTTTAAATAATGCATATATTTCAGAAATATTTTTGATGGATATGCAGGAATTATTTTGCAATTGTTCCTGTAATGGGATAAATAAATCTTAGGGGTAGGAGAGGTTAACAGACATTCCACTATCATGCAAAATATAAAAAGATAACTGAAATCTTTGCATTATAAAACAAGACTTAAACATGTGAAATGTCACCCCCTGCCATTTGTTACAGACACTGAACTCCAATCGCGGGATGCCATCACAAAAAAGTTGGAGACCATAGTTATTGCAAAATACAAAATATGGACATTTTTTGGCCAACCCTATATATATCTGACCAGCCAATCTACCATAGTTTTTGATAGGTTAAAAGATCCATTATTGTATCCTATTTATTGTAAAGCAAGTGGAAGACGGGAAGAGTGTGGATAAGAACTACTCCGTTAAGTAGTAAATCACATATCCTTATTAACAATTTGTTTCTCAAACACATAATTGGCTTTTCTTAAATCATGTCCTCCTTCCTCATTACAAATCGACATATGTCATGCATTACATTTGTCATGTAGTCACAGCATCAGGATGAAAGATGATATAAATAGAAAATGGCAACTCAATGGAGTAGCAAATCCCAACGAACAATATATAGATCATGAATCTGTACAGTCACAATGTTATATTTACCATCTATTCTTCCCTTAAATAAATATTTGAGATTGTAGTATCATGTAACCATACTTTCAAGATAACTCATAAGTAATGGCGAATTCCTGCTCTAGGCAGCCATTTTGAATTTTCCGAGGCACAAATCAGAAAAACAATATCATAATTGTGATCTACTCTGAAATTCCTTCAATTTGAGTATAATATACTTTTGAGAGATCAGAAAATAATAGCGAAATCCTACATTATGGGGCCACTTTTTACGAGGCTCAAATCAGAATAAAAAGGATACAATATTTCCGATCAACTCTTAGTGCCTTTCATGTGAGTATAATAAAACTATACTTCAAAAACATCTCAAAATTAAAACAAATTCCTGTTTTCCAAACCCCCCATTCACAACCCCTGGGGGTCAGGGTGAAAAACATGGGATATATGTTAAATGGATAGATGTTGTGCATATACTACCAAAACTTCAAATAATAATATTTATTCTTTTTGTTTAAAATGAAAAACATAATATTTTTGCGAAAAAATTCCCGCCATTTTTAAACAGATGGCCAGCTTGAAACAATTTGTTTCGCGTAAAACTATTTACCAATATACATCTTTCCACCAAATGTGAAGAAAATCTGTCAACTACTATTCGAGTTATCTTCCAGACAGATGGATGGACGGACTGACAGCTACACTATATTCCTACTGAACTTTGTTTGTTGGAATAATAAAAGATGTCATATAATGTTGGTACCTGGTGTTTCTAGAGAAACCAATCTGTATTGCTACTGAGATAGTTCCCGTTGATCATCTCCGTTGCAATACAGAAAATATTGGTACGGAGGGGACGATCTCAGTAGCAATACAGAGGATCACACGATAAAAACGTTATTGGATGATTTGAAGTGTAATACAGGATATATTCTGTCTCGATATTCTGTACTGACACTCGACTTTGTCTCGTTCCAATACAAAATTTTTCGAGCAGAATATATCCTGTATTGCACTTCAAATCATTCAATAACTTATAGTACAAATAGTTTGAATAGGGATGAATTTAAAAAAGCAATATTTATTGGACCACCCTGTTGGCTGTATATGTCTTTACTGGGTCTCTTATACCATAACAATGACATTTTGGTCATACTACAATGTACTAACTAAAACTAAACAAGTTTTGCTAACCTGCACTAGTCAGGTTCTCGGCAGCCTGTTTGGCCATTGCTAGCTGCATCTTTGTGACGTTACAGTCTTTATGTAGTATCAACATTGATTTCAATGACACAACCTCATCTCGCAGTTTATTGATCTCATTCTGAAGAAAAACATACACATGCAAGACAATACTTTAACACTGAAACTCAATCCTGCAATAACTTTGCCTCGGAAGTAGGTGAATATACATACGAGAGAAATAACTTTTGTGATTAGATAATCAGAAAATATCTGAAAATGAACTAGAAATCGTTTATTTGCACAAAAATGTCTTCAAAGACATTACATTAGGGTTATTTTGGTGATGATCATTTTGTTGTATTGATTAACCCAAAATATTAATTTTTTAAACTGTTTAAGAAATGGGGGTTTTACCTGTAGTTCCGAATTCTTATTCTCCAAGGCTTCTGATTTGGCTTCCAAAGTATTGATCCACTGTTTTCTCTTGTCACGACATCTAGCTGCTGCTGCACGATTACGCTCCAAGAATTTCTGGCGTCTTTCTTCAATGTCATCATCTGCACTCTCTATACGTCTTCTTTTACTGAAGTAAGTATACAGGGTGTGTTAAAATGAGAAAACTCCACATTTGTAAATGTATATGAAGTATATGTAAATCACTAGAACATTCAAAGGTTCTTTGGAATATCCATAGCAGATGAGAGCAGTGTGTCAGAGGTAATGGCATCTTATGTAATACTGAAATCTTGACGACAATGAAATGTTCAATAGAAGAGCAATAGATTCCAGTAAAAAATGTGGAGCTTCAAAAGAAATATTTTGCTGATAATTTGACTTTCTATTTATTTATTTACATCAAATATTTAACTTAAACAAAATAAAAATCAAATCTTGAAGATTGTCAAAATTCTGGAAAATGCCCACTGGGTGACAATAAACCAATGGGATCAGAGCCAAACTTAATAAAAACAAAGTTGCCAAATTTATAAAACATAACAGGTAGCCGAACTTGAACAAGTATGGGTAAATAACTTACTATGGAACAGATGAATCAGCCTCTGAAAGTTCAGAGTAGGCAGGTGACACAGGAGACATAACACTGTGTCTCTCAGAGCCAGGTGACTGCTGCTGACTGTTCATTCTTGCCACAGCATCTGGGATTTGGTTTTGGGTTAATGCCTCTTTCAATTTCTGCAAAATGCATTGTAGTTATTATTGCATATGTATATTGAAGATATTCAGGATTTGAGATTTATTAGAAAATTAATGCTGGTAACTTCCTTCTTGAGTATAACAATTACAATAATGACAAATTATTCAATCTGCATCCAATTCTCTTCCTTGTTTCATGGGAAGTCTGATTAAGTAGGAAGACTTTTAATTGGCTCAATTATTGGACATATTTTCCTCATGGTTGGTCTGAAACGAGATGTACAATAAAACCTGTATATGTGAACACCTTCTAGTTCTAGAGTGAATATCATGAAATGATGATACTAATTCACTGGTTCCTGTTACACCGCATGGTCAATTTGCTTCCTTAAGATGCCTTTTGACAAAAACAAACTTTGTAACAAAGAATTCTGTACCTCAAAAAATCTTCATGACAAAGCTTTTTTTGTCAAAATGTTTCAAAACAAAGCAATTTAACAGATGTGTAAATCTAACCATTGATACATGTTAAAACTTCTTAAAGAGACACTATGCCATAGGAAAGCACAATCAACACCCCTCTGAACTTGTTTGCATGTTGAGTTTCACCACATATATACCAATGTACTTTCCAAAGAAGAAGTCCAAAATCCCCCTCTTTCAGTGTTAATTTTGCGATTGTGCTGGCCGATCTAATTATTTTCGAAGAAATTAATTCAATCTGAAGTTTGAATATACCGGGAAAGTCCTTCTGTTATCTGATTGGACGTTGAATTTGTTTATCATAAACCTGATTGGCTGTCTGTTTCAAGGCGCTTGTGGGCGCTTGTGTGACTCAATGGGGATTCCCCTCGCTAGTCGAGGAATCGATTGTGTTTAATTCTGGAGTTTGGTTGTTCTGTTGATTATTTCCGATATTTCGGCAATAATATACCCAAAAGTTATTCTCAAGATATATCCATGGTATGTGAGATATTATATGAGCAATAACAATAGGACATCATTGATTGTCTGGGGAAGACACCTATGGCATAATGCATCTATAATGTGAACAGCTTTCAATGCACTTCAAATAGGTCTCAGCATAGTTTAATATAAACAGGTTTTACTTTAATGAGGTCAAACTTATTTCATAGTATCATACACTGTACAAGGAAGTAAATATTGCCCAAACCCACATCCAGTGCTAGATTAACCAACTATTCTCTCCTATAATGTTCCTGATGATTGAAAATGAACTTACATAAGGTACTAATCAATTTACACTGATTGCATAAAATTAATAAATGATAACAAAATACATCAACAACAACAATATTGTCTTGCACAACTTGCAACAATCACTTACTAATTTTGTCATCTGTGAAGTACTGGAAACCACATTGGTGACAGGTGCCCGTTTAGCTGCCCGTAAACTATTGGTTAGGGGAGACACATTCTGTGGGGAAGGAAGTGGTACTGCAGCGGGAAAATTGACCTGAAAAATGAATTACATGTACCACATTTGGTATTCCCACATTTGAAAAATTTGGTATTGCACCCATATATATCGACAAATAAAAGTCACGAAGATATTAATAAATAATTCCAGCTTTCTTGTCTTTTATCAATTTAGCTAAAAAATGGCCAATGCATGCCAAAATGTCATGAGTCTTTTAATTTCTAAGTGTGTTAAAATGGGCTTTCAAGTGAATGGTTTGTAGAAATTACAAAAACTGAGGTCACAGATGGTAATCGCAGTAAATGTATTGATTGAACTCACATTCATGCTGATTCAGTGTTCTTTACTTATTTCCAACTCTGAATACTCCCATTTTCAAAAGTGGCAGCCATTTATTTAAAATATGCAGAAAACAGCTGACCAATTTACCAAGGTACATCATCTAGCATTTGAGTTGTTTCCTGTTGTGGCCGAAGTATAACTTCTTTTTATCTTAAATGAACTGGAATTTGTTGGAATAAAAATAGGTGAACAATTCTAAAAACAATTGCCTGTTGCCTGCCAAGCTGTAAGTACAGCGAGCAGTATTGAAATATATTGTTCCTGTGGAAAAAATAAAATAAAAATAAATATTGTACCTGTGGATTAGCAAGGCCAGATGGTATTGCAACAGGAACAGTCTGGCCTGTGGGGAGTTGTAGTAATATCACTTGGATCTGCTTGGGGTCCTGGGATGCTGGAACAGCCACTGGGGAGCTTGGACTGAAAAACATAATGAGTTAAGCCATTGGGGGTATGTTTCAGTTATCGGGTGCTTGGAAAGTTTGTATTACATAATAAACAGCTATGCATTGGACTCACTTATTAGACCACAGTACCATTTATTGTATTCTGGCAATGTAAGCATTACTTATTGCCTGAAATAGAAACAAGTAAACATAGAAATGATATTTTAATTTTAGATTTCCATTAGTGTTTATAAGCTACATTTTGAAGTAATGACATCTATACATGTTATAACTAGAAAACATCAACTCCAAGGAGTAGGAGATCGCACCGAACAAAAAAATTTTGAATATTGGCAGCCATCTTGAAAATTTCTTATTGAACAGAGCTCTTTGTATCAGCATATAAGATTTGAACCAAATCCGTTAACTGGTATTTAAGTTATCTAATATTATGTTATAGAAAAATAGCAGCCATTTTGAAATTCAGGTTCCATCTTGGATATTTCTTCCCAAGCAAAGCTCCTTTATCTCAAGGCATCAGCATATAAAATTTGAACCAAATCCGTCCACTGGTACTTGAATTATCAAAGATTACGTTTTTATGAAAAATGGCGGCCATTTTGAAATTTGGTAGCCATTTTGAAAATGTCTTTTTGAGTGGAGTCTTTAGGCATCAGCATATGAAATTTGAACCAAATTCATCCACTGGTTTTTGAATTATCAAAGATTACATTCTGTTACGAAGAATGGCGGCTATTATGAAATTCAGCTGCCACCTTGAGAATTCCTTCTCGACCAGAGTTCCTGTGTCCCTAGGTATCAGCATCTAAATCCGTCAGCTGGTACTTGAGTTATCAAACATTACATTTTTACGACAAATGGCTGCCATTTTGAAAATCAGTAGCCATCTTAAAAATCTCTTCTTCAGCAAAGCCCCTTTGTCTTTAGGCACCAGCATATAAAATTTGAACCAAATCCATCAACTAGTATTTGAGTTGTCCAAGATTAATTTTTTTACGAAAAATGGTGGCCATTTTGAATTGAGTGGCCATATTGAAAATACCTTCTCGAGCAGAGGTCCTTCACCCATAAGGCATAAGCCCATAAAATTTGAACAAAATCCTCCAACCGATATTTGAGTTATTACCCGGATTCACGGATGGATGGACGGACGGATGGACAGACGGATGGCTTTCCTTAATCCCCCTTGAACTTCGTTCAGTTGGGGAAATTATTTACTAATATACATCTTTCCACCAAATATGAAGAAAATCCGTCAACTAGTATTTGAGTTATCTTCCAGATGGACTGATAGACGGATGAAAGAAAGAAAGTGAAATGAAAGAACACAAGTGATCCCTGTACTGAAAAAACTGTCCAAAGTAAAGAATTTTTCAATATTAAATACTCACATGCTTTTTGGAGTACTGGGGCTTGAGTGCACTTCCTCAGTGGGTCGACTGACTATATTTGGCACCATGGTAACTGGCACAGGAATCACTTGGGGATCATTTACAGGCCCCTGTTGTTCAATCTGATTCACTTTTGCTTTGGAATTATTGTCTACAGCTACAGTGACTTCCACTTGTGGGACAGGGATATCCACTGGTGAGATTGATGGAACTAATTGGGGATTTTCCATGGGGCTGGCTATGGTTTCTGGTCCGAGGGGTTCACTCCCTGTCTGTGTGACTGCAACAGGAATATGTTCATTGTTGTGGAGGTCTTTCTCTGGTTCTGGGGAGGAGTTCACAATTATAAGTGATTCCTCATTGTCTGATTTTTCCTTTTCATTTTTATCGGATTTTCTTGGGGTAGTGTCTTTTGTAAGTGGACTCTGCTTCCGATGTTTTTTAGTCTTGAACAGTTTGTGGGGAATGTCTCTATCCTCTAAGTCGGAAGTAGATTGTACCTCAACCACTTTTGGTATAACTGGTGTGTTCATAGGTTGAGGGGTGTTTATAGTTTGACTATGGGGTCCTGGTAATGGACTAGCCAGGCCAGGGTGACTTGAAGGCCCAGGTAAAGGACTCTGAAAATAAAATATAATTTTGATTGAAAATATGATTTCTTGAAACATCATATACATGTACACGGTGACCAAAAAAACAGAACCCACTTAAAGTGTAATAATTTCTTAAATACCTATCCTATTAATCCAATTTTTTATGTGCATAAACTGGAATCTATGGATGACAATTTGATATCAAGTTTGTTAAACAAAACTGATTATTTGGGATATCATGGATGATCTTAGAATGTGTCAAATTTTCGGAAAATCAACAGTGAGACAAAATCATTTCTTGAAATGTTATGAGAAATTCAGACTAAGAAAAGTCAAAAACTTTTCTATTTTCTAGTTTTCAGCATTCCAAAATTCTCAACTGGGCATAAATGAACTTTCAACTATGCGCCCGAAAATTTCAATTCTAAAACCTAGTTCTTAAATCTAGTTGAATCTAAACCATTTAATCACTGTATGTTCACTCTGAATATTTCGTTATAAATATTTTCTGATTTTCCCCTTTGAAACTGTTGGCACAATTATTTCAAATTGCACTTTTTCAGAAAAAGTTTAGTTCATACATGGGCTTTCAATTAGATTCTAGTTGAAAGCCCATGGTTCTTATGAGGTCTTTTCTGTATAAAGCATAGACTCATGAATAACTTCATTGCATTTATTGTTAGTAGTAAACAATACCAAGTACTTAAGTATAATTCATTTTACATGCTCTGTGAAAGGTTCAAATAAAAAATTAGAAAACTCTTGATAATTTAGAGTACTTTTCTCAGAACTTATTGATCGACCTGGTAATAAACATGTTAATGTTAATACAGCAGAGAAATCAAGAATTTAAATGAAACTCCCTTACCCCTACCTCTCCTTCGTTTGATGCTTTCTTGAATGCTTCCTCAAATGGATTTTTCAGATCATGGAATAAACCAACTTCCTCACAGTTTTTTAGAAATTTGGTTGGAGTTGGTGTTTGATCTATAATAAGATTATTACATAAACATATACATACATGACGTGAATTTGTAATTATTACATTTGTATTCTCAAACAGATGACTATTTTATGAAAGATGACATGACATTTAGGCTAATTTCACACTCAGAGTGTTCAAACTTTTGGGTGACTGTATATGTTTTGCCAAATTGTTTTCTTAATGTAAAAATCAGAATTGCACATGCATTTTACAGTACTTGCATTGAAATAACTTTTTAGATTAATCAAAACTCAGTCAAGATTGATAGTCATTCAGTTTCATTCATGGACTTAAACCATTGTTTTGAAATTGAAATGGGAAGATACCACTGTAACATAGTAAGGGATAACAGAATATGTAAATACTGCACCATGTTTAGGCCCATAGCTAAATTTTGCCAAGGGGGATTCACTTTACAAAAAATTCCAGGGGGTTGACACATTGGACAATTTTGGCCCAATACCACACGAAAAATGCTCAGAATGGTTAAAATCTTTATGGTTTTGAAAGAATTTTAGGCAAAAAATCTTATTATCTATACTATCAGATTAGGTCCATGAGTTCAAAGCTTGGTAACTTACCAACAAAGAAGATGTTGGCGCTCATACTAGTGATTGCACTAGATCCTGTTGATGCTGACAGTGCTAGAGACATTTCATGTCTAGCAGTATGTACAACCAAATGGTCCTCATTGGCAAAGCGCTAAAAATCATGCGTTTAATTGTATGTATAAATAAGTAATTAATATTCATAACCACGATATGAGATGAGATTTTCAAAGTTCAAATTGAGGTTCAACAAATTAAAGCATTTTATACTGTATAGACAATAGACAAAGCTTAACATATTTGGTGATATCAAGTTCATGACACCTGTAAATACTTACCATATTACAGCCTTTAGCCTGACAGGCAAATGGTTTGTCATTGTCAGTCATATTTTCCCTCTTTCCTCTCTAGGCGGATTAAGGATCCTACCAGATCTTGTATGGTTTTCTCTCACTCTGAAGATAATGAAAAAATAGGATGAATTTCAAGCAATATCATTTTTATCTGCAATAGTAATGAGTAAATAGAGATTGTTTCTGATATCAAATAAATGTAAAAATGATCACATGACACAAACTAAAATTACAAACCTCAATAAATTCATGAAAGAAAAGGGCTTGTTTTGATATTGTTCTAACGACAATTTGACTGATATATTTTGTAAAACAAAACATTTTACAGAGTATTTTTGAATGTTACATAAATGTATTTGATTCCTCTAAAGGTCTGGCTGTGTTTAAAGCAAACAGATATCATATTTCATGATACTATGAGTTTGCTCAGCAGTATCATGCCTAAGGCACGCAGTTACATCATGTATTCTATACCACGGTATATGAAATATAGAATAGACTAGACTATGAATAGAGCTATGTTCTATATGGATAAACCCTTACATTTTTTCACTGAAAAATAAAATTTCTTATCTCAACTGATTCGATCTAGACACCACCAGAAATGTTCTTCCGATGGCAAAAAAGACGTGGCTGTCTAAAATTGCAGTAATATACACTTCAATCTTTAAATCAACAAGTATTTCAAAATGTCCAATATTTAACACATGCCTTATATTGCTGTCACTTTTTGACTTTCTTAATTTACATCCTCCTAGGGCAGTAAACATTCAGCTTTGGCAGTCAATCACTGATCACCCGCAGGAATTTCCTTGAATTTTACAGGAACAACACCTCAAAAAGAACACTTATTCTAGTGAAATCATTCAAATACATTGTTGTGTTTATAGCACTCTCAATTTACCATTTTTGCTTGATTTAATATAAGGTCAGACTGCAGGTTCAGAATTTTGATGCAATCCTCAATGGAGTCACATGTTATTTTTCAAATATCAATCACTTCATCATCTACGACTTTCAGATTTGCACAACTGAGGATTGCATCAAACAGTCCAAAAATACATGTACAGGCCAACCAAACTGATATCTCAAGCTTGTCAGGCACAGCCAGCACCATCTATCTAATATCTAATATAATAGAATGAAGTCTGGTAACTTAAAAAAAAAGTAAATTCAAAATAATTTTTTTCTCATGCCTGTGGCTTTGATCAGTGATATTCTGTTGATGTTTATTTAACTTTCATATTTTTGCAACTTTTCAGAGAATTTTTTTAAACATTTCTTGGCGATCAATTAATAGATATGAGGTCATGTCCATGAGCATAGTTTTGGCCCAAAAAAGTAAGAAATTTGCACTTCAAGGTCAATATCTGCAATTTGCAAGGGATTATGACCATGTTTTAAGTATCAAAATAATGCTTAGAGTATTGAGACTCAACTGAAGTTAAAAAATAAGGTGAAATATACACCAACACAGTGATTATGACCAAACAAAAATGGGAGTCCAAACCAGCAGTCAAAAAAGTAACCGCACTTTCAGTATATTGAATAATGAAGATTGATAGTGGTCACTGTGTCACTGTGTTGTCAGGATAATGTTCCCGGGAATGAAGAGATGTTGAAATATACACACTGGATGAAATATTCATGGCCTCTGAGGGCAGATATTTTGAAATACTGGTTGATTGAAACATTGAAGTGTGTATTACTGCAATTTGAGACAGCCACATTCTTTGCCATTGGGAAAAAATTTCTGGTGGTGTTTAGAATCGATTGAGGTAAGAAATATATGCATAGCCAGCACCATTATATTTGGACTTTTGAAATATAACATGGGTGACTAATCAACGCTTGCAAGACTAGCCTATAAGTCTTGGAACTAGACAACCCCTCACATTTGGAGATCGTAAGAATCCATGTGTCTAGAATTGGTCAATTCACCAATGGCTTTCATTCAAGTGTGTATTCAACCATGTTCTAAAATCTGCATTCACATTTAAACATAACCCAAATGACGATTGTTTAAGAACTGTTCCCAAAAATCAGCAAACACAAAAAATTTGAGAAGTGAAAAATCAAAATGAAATGAAAATGAACTTTTAATTTCGTGTTATATCTCAATTTATGTGCTTGAAGTTGCACGATTTCTCCCTGCAATCAATAGATGAATATGTACAGATACATTTAGATAGAGTGAAACGTAAGCAAGTGTACCATAAGACAGGATATACACTAAATAAAATAAATTTTTACCAAAACAAATTTTCCTTCAATAATGGCGGATAAGGAAGTGACGTCATATTTCATATTCACGAAAAAATTCAACTAAGAAAGATCTAATTTATTTTATCAAGATAGATGCAAAGTATATCAAAATAAAGATATTGAAATATAGTTCACATAATGAATATTCGATGAACTTGCAAAATATTCAGGAAACTGTCTATCTGAATCGAGGTGAAATGGAAGCAACTCCATTTCGTGATATACCAGGATAAAACATAATTGATCTACCAAAAGTTTCAGAAGTGGAAACCACAAATCAAAAGTATATCCCTGTTTTCACAGGTAAAACCGTGTCTGACACTGCAGTAAACATGATTTACATTAGATCATTAATTGGACTCCAAAAATAGAACAACAGTTCCAAGATATGTGGTCTAAGATATCCCTCCATGTGATCTCAGGTGAGTAATTCAATTTCAGTCAGTAATTTGTTGAAAAATAACATTCAAGAACGAAGGAACACTCATGTATCTAATTTCAGGTTACGGTCCTTTTAATTTGAAATAGAGATATTTTGTAATCAACCACTCACATAGGAAGGAATAAAATGGCTCTCACTTTTATAATCGGAAAATTACTCTAGTCATCGGATCAGTTGCAAGGAAACTTTCGCCAGAAGCCGGTTTATGAGGAGCTTTGTGCCCACTGCCCAGTGTTGTGGCTGAATGACCCATTATGATATCATACTATGAGACCAACATTTATAGTTTTTAAAACTACACCTCAGATGAAAACAACTAAAACAAAAAGTTCACATCAGGATGACATGGACTGACTTTTATATATGTTTCGGGGGGGGGGGAGGCAATGACATGTGTGAGTAGTATAGAATCCAGACTCAATTCTATTTCAATAAAAATACATTTATGTTGGATGTCTGCAGTTTTGTAAAACAAGAGTGTAACATGTAACTTGTAATGCTACCTAATGAATGAATAGTAATATTCTACTTTTACCATTCCCATATACACGGGTAGTATCTTAAGCCCCGTTATGATTTAGAAGTCGCGAGCAAGTTCCCGCTGAAATCTCGAGCAATTAAAAGAAAAGAAGGGTTATCTTTTGTTTACTTAAATTGTATGTTGTACAAAGCGTTTTCATTTAATTTTACTCAATTATTACATGGTATTGATACTAAAGAGCAACTGCTGCAAAAAAAGTATCACGAGCTGATGTTCTGAGTTTCGTTATTAGATAATTGGAGAGAGAATGTATCATCTTGAATCTTTATCTATATATTTCTATATTTTATAGCTGAAGAAGGTCATTGCCCTTCAGTTGATATGGTCATAGTAATATGAAATGAAGGTATTGTGAGTTTCACTTCCTAAAGTTTCACAAAAAATTATATATTCCAACTTTACCATATTCCTCAAGGTCCCGCTTCTACCATGAGCAATAAACTAAAGATCCCGCTGAAAACATGAGGAGGCCCCGCTGAAAACATGAGGAGGTCCCGCTGAAATCAGGAGCAAGTGGCTCTCCAAAATGGAGTGAAGACCGATTTGACTTTTCAAATCTGTCACAACTGTAGCCAACGTAATAGATATATTAATTATTGATACTCTACACAGCACATGTATATCATATATCATTATCATCCTTATTATTGGTTCGAGCACCCTCCTTACCAAAAGCTGGCTACAAGCATGATTCAAACAAAACCGTTTCACTAGTAGTATTTCGACCTGACTCCATCGAGAAATTTACCAAGAGAAGATTCAATCCATTCCACGACTTTTGACAAGTTTCAAAAAACTCGTTCTTCTTTGTATGCAATACGCAATACATATTTATATTTTACATTACACTATAATTCAGTATATCACTACCTTAGACGAATCAGCAGCAATGGCGCACACGTTTAAAAAGGCAATTTATGGATCCACTGCTACATGTTAGTAACAAAGGAGTACCAGCGTTCTTAAATCAAAAATGCATGATGTTATTTTATTATCTCGAAGTACGCATCATACATTGTCCATCATACATTGTACGCATCATACATTGTCCAAAACTGAATAATCAAATAATTTCATCATTAACAATTAATCGTAAACTGTTAAACGCACATGTTACGCGGTAAACAAGATACAAATTTATGTCATATTCTGCAACAAATATGCCATATTCACTTGCGGTGTATGACAGATTCAGCTGCAGTATATGGCATACCCACTAATCAATGAGAACGTTATACGGAAGTACGCAGTTGTCAATTGCATCGATTGAACGAACGACAGTACAGTGCATCAACTATTAATGCAGAAGTATCACTCAGCAATCTCACGTGATAAACTTACTCAATAAATTCAGGATTGATATATAATTACTCAAAGCACTGACTGTATTGGTAATCCAAGATAGTTTTACATGTAGAGTCGATTCTCACTACCAATCAAATCAATGCTTTCTCTATCACGTTTTCACCTGCTTTATATGTCATTTTTACCTGCGGTATATGGCAAATTCCGCAAGTGACTATCAGGTATTCACTGAAATCAATGTATCGCATATTCACTGCGGAATATCGCATACTCACTTGCGTAACATGCCATATACTGCAGGTGAGTATGGCATATTCATTTCTCTCTAAATTTCTCTCTAAATTTCATCTTCTTGCAACTTTCAACTTTGGGTGTCTTTGTTTAATACAGGGCTTATTCCCCTGCTTCCATTAAGTTGTCTTGAAATGATATCCATCTTTATCCCATACATTTTGGTAAGGATGCGATTCTATAAAATGTCTGACGAAATCTCTGGTGACTTGAAGTTGCAAAAGAAACATTTGAAACGTGGCCCTAGAATGAAACAGATACAGTAATTTTTAGAAATACCTAACTTGGTCTTCACATATGTTTATGTGAAGAACCTCAATATCTTATGTGATAGTAATGAAGCTTTCCTCGTGATCGAAGCGGGTACTCGTGAATTCTGCTCCTGGTTTCAGCGGGACCTCCTCATGTTTTCAGCGGGGCTTCCTCATAATTTCAGCGGGGCCACTGGAACACCTTCAACGATGTATTTCACCCCCCACAGTGAATGTTTTTTTAAACTAACTTATCAATACATACAATGTTGATCCAATATTCATAATGAGGTATGTATATCGTAGTTCTTGTCTCTATTTTAACGATAAAAGTAATATGTTAACAGTAAATTATGCAAACGTGCATATTAACGCCCGTTTCTTCCATGTCAGTAAAAATAAGTATCTAACATGTCATTGTTTGTGTAGATATACCTGTTCTGAAAGTATACCTAAGGTATCAAGGAACAGTAATGCGTATTCTTACCTTTTTGGTACATATTTCCAGATAAATTAAATAAAAAGGACTTTGCTCGTGATTTCAGCGGGAACTTGCTCGCGACTTTTGAATCATGACGGGGCTTTGGATACTACCCGTGCATATAGTAATACAGAAAAAATCCAGATTTTATTTTAGTTAAAGCATAGAAATTTCAATAACATGTATAAAAGCATTATTTCAGTTCTTAATGCTAGTTTTTCATGAATCTTTTCTTGGGAATTCTTCTGCAAATTGTCAGTTTGTTGGCTACAAGTACTGAATCATATTTCTTTGTTTTGAAGCACTTTAACAAAAAGCTTGGTAACGAATCCCTTTGAAACAAAACTTTTTTTGTCAAAATGCTTCATATACTTGTAGTAGTTCAACCTGCGTAACTCTTGAATATATCAGAAATACAAATTATTTATAATTTGGTCAATAGATGGCAATTATAACAGAATTTGGCAAATTGTTCTGTTTTAGAAAGTTGTGAAGTGTTTCATATTTTGAATCAGGAGTTTGAAGTACCTTTGGCTGTGGTTTCAACCACACACATACTAACACAATATTACCCTTTGCAATAGTCTGAATATATACATGTAAGCACACATTGTGTCAGTTGTAGGAGCCTTGTTGTCATTTTATATTCAAGATATATAAGTGCTCTTGTTATTTTACATTGAGAACCTTTGTAATATGAACACTGAGGACATTCACCATTACATGCAACAATCAGTAGGCAATGTCTCAAATGTTTTGCACCAAGTTCTCACAGAATATTTGTGGGTGGGTGGTAATTGCTGGTTTCATCAACAAAAAATTTAATTCATAAAAAATTCACATTGCTAAAAACACATAATTCTCATTTTATATTTATCATGTACATGTAATCTTGACTTAAATTTCAATAAGTTTTTTAAACTTTAATTTTTCATACTTTTATATCCAATTTCAACTTGAGTATAGGAGGGAAGGGCAGTACATGATTATGTTTCACCCAACTAATTACTAGGGATGAAACATACATCTTAAGGAGGAGTTACCTTTCCCATTTAACGGAATATCCTGAATTTAAAGCTATATATTTAGTGTATTGTGACATTTGTGGTATTAAGACAATGAATTATTTTTGATACAGTTAAGTAGAGAGAAAATGATTGATGGAGCTAATGCCCCCCCCCCTCACACCTGAGGTGATGTTGATACAAAATGAGGCTGTTTTGTCCTGCTGCTAATGAACCCCTGAATGTCAAATATCTAATTATACATTCCTTGTAGGTAAGGTCTCCCATAAAGGTACATCCCTTTGTAGGTGAGGTCCACAAATGTCTTATGGTACACCCCATGTTGTATGTTGGGTCCCTCAATGTCTAATGGTACACCCCTCCTGTTCTGGTGTCCTGGTTTGAATTTTACATTTCAAAATTCCTTTCTAAAATACCTTTGAATCGACTGAGTGAACATCAATTGCATGACTGCCATAATTCAAAGCTGCTTTTCAATATTCATATTAGTCTAAATGGATTCATATGTTACTTGATGTAGTACAGGATTTGACCTTGGTTTATGTTTATATGTGTGCTTATGGCCAACTTTCAATACAATAGATTAGTGATTTGTAAATCAACAGTCTTAATCCGATTGGTTTGTGAACATTTACACTGGATGGATTCTCATTTTGTTAATCATTGATTAAACTTGGACATCCTAAATTGAAGGTAGGGAGCAAATAGATCTATTGTTAATTATATGTGAAATATATCTTGAAAATGGTAAATAAGTGAAACTTATTTTTTATGTACATTTGTTCATCTTTATGGCAGTTGATTCCAATGGCCTGGAAGTAATGTGAAAAAGTTGCATTTAAAAATATTTTCTATTGACATGTTAAAATACTAGCTTGTGAATAAAATGAATGGATATAGGTCTTTCAATAGCATTTCTCTTTAAAAAAACATTTATATCAACTGATGCTTATTTGATTAAATTCTAAACCAGCGAGCCTAACAATAACTAGATAAAGTATACAATTTGAAAAACTCAGACACGTACAATAGAATGAATCATAAGTACTCGAGGAACCCATTTCCTAAATTATAATCATGTAATGCCGAGGTACACCTGGCCATGTATTGATCAATATGTTTACATGTATATGTTTTAACTACTAATGTTTAATATTATCAATATGATAATATGTAACAATACACAGATGAGAAAAATATGTCAATATATATTGATGACGCTTATATATAGGGGCATTTATTATAAAACCTGTTCGTAGGCTAGTGATGCGACTGACTCATTTTATTCATCTCTAATTAACAGCACACATAATCAATAGTCTAGAATTGATTTGTTTTATGCATATTACTAATAACTGTTTTATTGATTTTTCAGGTCGCACAAAGTTGTTTCTGCATTAACAGGGCACAGGTATGAGTGCTGGCCAATAGCTGATATAGGACTGTGTTATCGTAACCTAGCCGTTCTTACACAAACCATACAACATTTTGACACATGAAAGTGGGACTTGAAATATTACCTGAAGGTACACACTGAGGAGGAAAGAAAATTGACTCAATTGTAGTGTAACAAGACTCGCTGATCGAATGACACAGATTAAAAAGCAGGAGTGGCTAAGGAAGTTAGCTAGGTAAACTAAGTATTAATTATCGGAACCAGAAATTGTCATATACTTAACATCAGCGTTCCACAGTGTTAAACAAATACCAGGATATAAAGGATTTGTTATATTTTCTTAGTGATGACATGAATGACACGATAATGAATCAGTGATCTAATTGGAGAAATGGTTTAACATTGAAGCCTTGGTTGATCAAGTGTGGAGAGCGTTATACAGTGAAGTACAGGAATTTGTCATTCCATAATCTACCTGGGGCTTACATGAATACATACCTGTAGAGACAATTAGTACCTTTATTACACCTGTAATTAAGACCACATCCTTTGAAGTACATTAGTTGAAGTGGATTTTTGACAGACTTTGTTTACAAAGAGGCAGGCACACATTGCCCTTAGGACTTATCCACCAGTCAGGTAGCTTTTGAGAGGATGAATGCTCTGCTGCTGAAGGATACTATTAGTTAGAGATATACCAGCCTAGATCCTTTTTCATTCATGACCTCTTGTTGACTTAGCACAGGGAGATCATAGTAGACCAACATTGAGATAAAACAAGCAATTATCCCATTGAAGTAGAACCTATATCACTTCAAATAATGCAAGTAAAGATATCATACTGGTGAATGGATTAGAATTTATCTGGCTGAGTTTCACTTATCAGAGATATTACATTAATCAAGTGGATAAATATACTGGACATTTCTTGGATAACACTTTAAGTAGTCCATATGCTTTACATTTTATCCTTAATATTTGCTACATTTAAATGTACAACAATAACTGAACATTGCATGAGAACTTTTTGAGAAAAATAGGACTTAAGTTGATATCATAATATTTAAAAGGATTATAACCAGTATTTGGTATTTTAATCTCATAAAAACATTTAACGGATTTAAATTCAAAAGTGTTAAACACAAACTTAAGTTGGAGGCATTCCAATGCAGGTAAAATATATATGGAAATGTTGAAAAACATGTCACAAACACAGCATGAATAATGACATTCAAATATTAAAACAACTGTTGAATGTTTGGATAAATTAAACATCTAATTAGGCCAACTAGGATATTGGATACATATGTTTGACCTTATCAATCAAGCAAAGTTATTCTAAGTGAGAGTTATCTGAACCATATGTGAGGTATCATATTCTCATATCTCAACACTAGTAAGTTTAATACACACATACTGTGCTATATATTGGATATAGACCTTTCAGAGCATGAACCTGTAAGGAACATTCCCAGCATCTATTCAATTGATGATTAAAGGGCAGTTAATTAAATGCACCTGACGCTGTCCTCAAATTAGGACCTCCGGGACAATACCTTTTCATTGATTCTGAGAACTGTGAGTTAAAAAACTGTGGTTAAAATACAAGTGATTTCTATTGTAATTTATTGTGAATGGTGAACCTATAGGAGCGTCATGAGCACCCAGGGCTATAGTACTAGTGGATATGAGTTTGATAATATGACTACTTGGTCTGTGAGAGTGGATCACGCTACAGTAGCAACACCTACTAAAGACACACAACAGGCTTATAACAACCAATCCCAGGAGTATAAACCCCAACAACAGGGGACATACTATACAAGTGAACATATCAATATTGGCTACAATGGTGACAGTAATAATGCTAATCAAGACACCGAATCAAGAGATCAACAACCAGATACTGGAATTATAAACAATTATGCTAATTATGAGAAACAAGGTGACTCATTATCAGCTAGTTATGGACAACCTGTAGACAGTAGGCAAGCACAGGAGCAACACTATGAAGGTAGCAAACCAGTAGGATACAGCCAATATAACAATCAACAGCAGAACACATACCAAGATAATTCTTATCAAAAAAGCGCTAATGAGGTTAACTCTAATGATGTAGGCGGTCAAAATGCTGACCTCAATCAGGGCCATGGCAGTAACTCTCATTTAACACAAACAAACGTCATTATTCACGAGAGTTCCATAAACAATACAGAAGTGGCGGATTCAGGAGAAGTCTCACCACCATTAAAAAGTTTGGATGTTACTGCGAATGATAAACTTTGGAAGCGTGATGTAACAGCACCAGGGGTGTCTGACAGTGAAAGTGATCATAGCGCCTCATCCCAAGATACTATGATAATGATTAACACTAATGATAGTCCAGTCATAGATAGTAATAACACACAGTCGCATACCTCTGACGTTTATCAGTCAAGTGGCGTACCTTATACCAGTGGGTATCAAAGCAGTATAGTAAGCTCAAGTCAAAGTTCATATCACAGTAGTGAGGAAATGAACAACGAGTTAAACAGGAGTAACCTAAACAAAGATGAGTACATAAATACGGACTATAAAACCACAGAGAACAGTACCTCAGGGGTAACAAAGCCTGGAGGAATCACAGGGAGCTATTCTACTGGTGATAACAAACAGGTGCCATCTACGTCTCTCAGTGAAAGTGAAAACTCTCCTGTGAATATGGATTACAACAGTACAAGTTATACCTCTCAGTCCCTATCTACTAGACACCCACAGGTAGCTGGCTATGTGAATTCTGGCAGTAGTAATTCATACCAGGGAGGGTATACAGCTGCTAATGGAGGCCGGACAGTTCAACAGGGCAACTCTCAGTATAGGGAAGATAAGCAATTCTCAAATTACCCCAATGTACAGGCAACACCTAGTTCTACACCATCCAAGATGAATCAAACTGGTTCAAAATCGCCAGCAAAGAACATTGGCATTTCACCTGGAAAAGACAGTAATAAAATGGATTATTATACGAGGGACTCACCAAGTGATAAAAAATCAGTGAGTAAATCGGGAAGTTACGCTGTGAGATCTACAAGAGGGGAGTATCACTCACCACAGCGAGACCAAACTTCAGTGAACACAGCTATGAATGAATCAATCGAAAGCATTAAATCAGGACTTAAAGATGGTATACCTGTTAACATGGTTGTTATTGAACCAAAACTGAACACAGGAATCTTATCTTATAAAGGAAAATACCCAGATAAGCCTAAAAAATCAGTCACTTGGGATCTACCTGAGACCACTCGGAATGTTAAACCAACATTGATATCTAAGCTGTTTAAATCATCAGGTGATAAAAAATCTAAAAATGAGGACAAAGGTAGTGGAAGCCCTGTCGCATCTCCCAGTAAATCTGAGCCTGTCACGAGCCTGTCATCGACAACTGTTAAAACGACTGTAGCGCCACCTGCCATTAAAACATCACATGGATACGTGGCCCAACATCAAATTCCAAGCTTCAAAGAAATGAATCAGGCATTGAAAAAATCTTTGGATAGGAAATCGGAATCTGATACTCCTGAGGAATTTGGTATTGAGGGCATTAAACCTTTAGAGAACACCGAACGAGACCAAGCTCCTGTTCAGATAATCCATACAAAAAATCAAAAACCTCTAGATGGCATTTCTGAACCTGAGGATTCTGATCAAAATGAAGCTGATAGTGTACAAACCTTAGATAGCGTCAGTCAACATACTTCAAATAACACCTTTGGTAATAAATCAAATGCCAAGCAGCCATCTGGACAGATTAATAACCCTGTATCACAACCTGTTGAACCCAAATCGCCTCTGAAGGATTGGAAACCTCTCAATGTTGGTGCTATTGTAGGTAAATCTGACCAAGAGGTTACACATCAAAATACAACAAGGGTTACTTTTAATGAAGCTCCCCAGGGTAGTAACTACACCCAAGTCTCTATGAAAGAAAACACACCTGGACAGCCTGTATCAAATAACAAACCTGAACCAGCCATAAAGCCAAAGCCTCCAATAATTTCAGCAAAGCCAGCAGTGAAACCTAAACCAATCTTGAAGCAGAGTGGAACATCTGGCAAGAATCAATTGACTGCTGATGGTAACCAGCCTGCTAACATTGAAAATCCAGCTGAGACATTTCAACATAAAGTTAATTCAGGTTCAAGTGGGTCTAAGGATCAAAGTATCAATGCAACAACACAGCAGACTACAAGTACAAGTACCACTATAAATAACACTATAAATGTCACACAATCAAATAAAGGAGACATCAATATGGACAAAAGTCAATATGCATATGATGATTTACCTCCACCCCCTCAAACTTGGAATGAAAGTACAATTAGATATGAATTGAATCAGGGACATGATTCCTCTCCCCAGCCTCAGTCAATGCCCACTACTCCTGGGCCCTCTACCCCTGGGGCCCCTTCATATGTTACCCCAACCAGTCCATATAACCAGGGATCTTACCAGTACAAAGGCCCAGAAGAAGACATCCCCTACCCTGCTTATAGCTTCAAGGAAGATCTTCCCAACACAGGTGCCTCATATCAAAGTAACAGTTATACTAAATCTACACCAACATATCCTGAGGAATCCAAGCAGCCTCCACAGATGCAACAACAATTTCCCAATAAGCAACAGTCCCAAACTGATGAACCAGATGCTGGTGCTAAGAGGCCCCAACCATCCAATGCCCACCCACCCTCTCCTGTATATAAGCCATCCACTAATCTTACATCAGCAGCTTCCAAGCCCTCTCCTACAACACCAAAGCCAGGGTTATCTGCCTATGAAAGGTTAATGTTGAATTCCCCTTATGCCAAGAAAACATCTCCACAGAATAAATCCTCTCCACCATCAACTAAGCCACCAAGTCCTCTAACTACGAGCCCTGCCCCCAAGGCTTTCCCCCAGGGGTTGAGTCCCAATGCCCCCAAGGCCCCTGCTGTGTCCCAGGGAGCCTCCCCCGTATATAGTGGTTTCAAGGTGCAGAGATCCAGCGGTAACTATGAAAAACAAGATGGAGTCCAATCTGGTAACTTGAGTCAACCTCAATACTCCAACCCCTCCCAGGGACAACCCCCACAGTATACCAGCCCCTCTCAGGGACAACCCCCACAGTCTGCCTATGAGCGAACTAGGCCATCATCTGCCATGGGAAACCTAGTCAAGCATGAGCCATACAACAGGAGTAGCCCCACCATTGACCAATCAAATGCTCACCAGGGGGCACTGCAAGCACCTACCCAAGATCGTGTAAGATCAGCATCAGCTATGAGTAACCTGATCAAGCAAGCTCCATACAGTCGTAGCAGTCCGTCCATAGATAGTCTCTCAGGTAGAGAATCCCCTTATTCTACTTCTGGGGACAGCAGACCACCAAGTGCCTTGGACAATATCAATAAGAATGCTCCATATGCTCGGAGTAGCCCTTCACTGGACAGCCAGCAGGGAGATAGGGACACACCCTATGGTACTGTACCCTATGAGAGAAATAGGCCAGCATCTGCTAGTTATGCATCACCCCCAAGAGGCACACTAGAGCGACATCCATCATCAGCTTCTAACACCTCAGGGTCCACTTTAACTGGGTCGTATATTGGAATGCCTGAGGGCCAATACAACAGCATGTACGATCTTCCCAAGCACAACACAGGAGAGTTTAATGCACCGAGGAGTCAATCAACTATAGAGCTACCTAATACTGGTGACTATGGTTACAATGAGAAGAATAGATGGAGTGACATGTCATACACTAGCGAAATGAGTCTCAACTATCAGGTAAAATATTTTATACGGAAGCTAAATACAAACTTCTGTTGTTTCTATGTTATAATTGTTGCATCCTGAAGCTAACAAGTTAGCTATCATCTCTAAGTTTGTTTTATCTTTGTAAATCAATCAGTCTACCAGAACTCGGTACCCTTCACAAACTGAGCTTGGTTTTATCACCCTCTTTATAAGAGAAAGCATAGCCTATATCTAATCAGAATATGTAATTTTTCTGCCAATAAATAGATATAAATGATATTTATTTCACATTTAAATTCTAAATGATCATGAAATGACATATGATATCTACATCAAAATTGTAACAGTTTATACGTAGTTATCTCATCATCTACTGTCATTAATTAAAAATGTTTATGAAATGTAATTTCAGGATGAGCAGAGAGGGCAGAAATCTCAAACCCCGACTCCCACTCCGACTGAAACAAGCTCCTTATCGAGTGACACATCAAAGGTTTCTAGCAAAGCCGACCTGACAAAACATGGTAAAGTGGACAAGAATAAGGACAGCAAAGACCCCTTTGTTCGCGGAAATAAAGGTCGATGGAGTGGGAAATTTCGACTTTCGAAACGTAGCAAGAAAAAGAAGGCAGAGCTTGCTGAGAAACAGGCACAAATGGCAGCTGAGTTGGAGAAACGGGCAAAGGAGAAGGCTGAGCAACAGAAACCTAAAGACTGTGAATATCAGGGTTTCGCCTTTGCACTTGATCCAACCACAGGTATGATGGTTATCAAAGCCAAGGAGGAACCAAAGCCAAACCCAGACAATAAAGGACATGTTCAATCAAGAAATCAAAGTGACCGATCTGAGGCAGGTTTCCAGCAGTCTTCTCAAGGTATGGGTCCACCCCAAACTAATGATAATCCCCTTACTATTAACATACCTGGACAGGTGAACTCTGCATATCAATACCCAAGTGCCCAACAGGAGAGTGTATATGAGCCTGTTAATACAAAAGCCCAAACTGGGGGTGGTGGATATGACACTGTGGACTCTAAACAAGAGACAAAGCAACAGAAACCTGTAGCCTCAGGGGGGAAACTCCAAGATGGAATGCTAGTTGAGGAGAGAGGTGTACCAGAAGGTGCGAGTAGCTCCCCAGGGTCATCTATGGACAATGTATCAGTACCCTCTAATTCCCCCTTGGCAGCTACCAACACTAAACAAGCACAGTTGGACTCTTATAATAAACAGATAGCTGAGCATCTTCAGTATTCTAACAATAAACAGCCAGCTGGGGGGAAATCTCAAGATGTTTCCGCCAATCTAAATCCTCCGAATGTTTATCATTATGGACAACCTAACACGTATCATGCAAGTAGTCCCAAGGGACAGTCCCCGGGATATAGTCCCCAGCAAAGTAGTCCTTCACAATATCCAGTTTATGGACAGGGGTCATCTCAATATCCAGCTCCAGGCCAGGGGTCTTCTCAATATCCAGTGCATAACCAGGGAGGGTCAGACCCATACTCGTATACTAACCAACAGGGGCCATATCAATATAACAATCAAGGATCTGGTCAGTACACCGACCCTAGGTCACATCAGTACAGTGCATATCAAAACAAACTGCCAAATCAAGACAAAACACAGTCTGAGTTAGTAGGGCCATACAATACACAAGCCAGGACTAATGCCCCATTGGAGTCTAACCAGGGTACATATAGAAACAGTTATGGCACATACCAGGCCCCTGGGAACACCTACTGACCAGTGATACCAGAAACACTTCCAAATTGATAAGTTGAAAGTGCCATTGTCAGAATCTTTGATTTGTATCAAGATAATTTTGTGTTCAATTTTAAATGACTGAGATGACATTTTGAATATGATATCAATATGCTGTGTCTGATGATGATAGCTAGCGACACTAATGAAATACATGTACTTTACATATCACAAATTTTACATGAGAAGCTAAATATATTATTTTACTCTTACATCAAGCCATTGTGAGACCCTCTATAACAAACCAAAGGCTTGATGCAAGGCTATACAGATTTGTACTTCATTATTTTAGTATGTTTGAACTTTATAGTGCATATCTAAATATGTCTTATATTTAAAAACTAGAGTACATTCTATAAATATGATAACTATATATTTTAGTTGACTGATTTATAAGCAATAAGTAACAGTTTAACTGAAAAATATTTTTGTAGCATGGCTGTAATATAATGGCAATTATAAACACATATATTTATGTTATATAGATAGTCCGGACATTCTACGTAAATCTATCAACTTGGCTATTTTTGAGCCCAATCACTCTATATTTTCAAGAAGCTGTTCTTGAGGTCAAATGACTGTCAAATAATTTAATTAAGGCCAAAGTTGTTAGATAGAATGTCCTTGGATTTCATTCTGTTAATACATGTGACATATGTATATTAAACTTATGTACATATGCCTAGCTATGTGTTGTATATAACATATAACAAAACACGCTCCCTAAATAATGCAATATGCAGAATAGGAATTGAATATTTAACATGTATTGAATCTAAATGAATAATTGGATACTTCTGTTGGAAGAGTGATGAAAGTGTTCATTTCAACTTTATGTAAATTACAATGCACTGTATAATTCATACATTTATGTAAATATTGCACAAAGAACAGTTTTGTGTTCAGTATATTTAAACAAAGACCAATGCTTTTATGCCTTAGTGTATTCAATATTTTATACAACAGCAATTACAATTTTAGAGTGACTTTACATGGGATTGTGTAAAAAATTATTTTGGAAAAATTGGCTAAAATATTTGACCAACCTTGTTACGAAGGATGGTAGAGTTTAATCAATGGCTGTAATGAAAGTCCATTGTTTAATAATATTACCATGGTTACCGTTGTTGAATATAATGTCAAGCTTAACAGTTTTCATTAAATATAGATTGTATTTGATATTGGAATGCTGATACAACATTTGTTAGAAATGTAAAGCTGAATGCCATAATATGAATATACTGAGGTACAGGGTGTCTATATTGTCTCTTTACACTTGTAAAGAGACTTTATATGGACACCCTGTATATTCCTTTATACAAGGGACTTGTGGTGAAAACTTTTAGTTAAAAAACCACTGGCTTACAGTGTTATTAAAAATGATTAATTTGGCACAATCTATATCTAGGACTTAAATCAATGCTTTTAGATTATGTTTAGCACAGTTTTCGTCTATTTTTACTGTTTAAAGTTAAACGTGATATAAGAGCTCTTTCGTAGATCGATTTTGATTTATGTTGGTTTATTATAGCCTGTAATACCACTTAGCCATATCAGTTTTAGATTCTTGAGCCCTGCCCAAATATTAGAGTTAATCATAAATGAAGCTGAAACAGTTAAGAAAACATTGACTTCAATAGTATAGGGCTAGGTGACCTAATGATTTTGTGTAATAATATTTTGTTTTGCTATATTGAAGAATTGTAAGTCGCATTGTAAGTCATCTCTCCTCGGTAAAGAAAATTTCTGGAAACAATATCAATTCAAAATTATTGTTCAGTAGATTATACTGAATTTCATATCTTCAGTGTATTTGACTATGTGTGATTATGAAAATAAGCATAATTGGATTTAATAAATGGGTTCTCATAATTTTGACTTTTAAGCAATCCTTGAATGTTGAGGATTGGTTACTTATTATTATGGGTTTGTTAAACATCCCACATATGGGAACTGTAATAATAAGAGTTCAAGTTGCCAGGATCCCATGCATTCACTTGTTTATGGAAATTATATGTATTAATTCTTTCATGAATATTTATTCTGTACAGCAATCTGCAATTTAGATTCACATTGTATATCATCACATATATTATAAACAGGTGTATAGACTTTGATGATAAATTAACAGTGTACATCTGAGCTTATCACAGAAATAAAGTTATTATAAACTATAAATTGGATTTTATGTACTTAGTGTTGAAATTTGAAGCGAAAAATATGACAGAGTGTTGAAGATTTAAGTTAGAAAATCTTGAGTACTGCAATGCCCTATCAATAAAATTCATGTAACTGGCTGCATAGATTACATGTTTGACATTGATTTATGAAAAAGGTCAATGGAAGGAATGCCCAAAGAATTATATTGAGCCAAAAAGATAATGAAATTCAGAGAAACAATTATTTTCAAAGAGCTGGTCTGTATTTCTATTTTACCTATAAATCTTCAGTTGTTTACCACATACCACAAGTAATAACATCACACAAAAGAATGTCAAAACATTGTTAGAATATACAGAGTGGTTCGGAATAAGTTGGTGAAATCAAATATGCTATTATCGGGAGCTTCTGAAACAGTAGGTTTGTCCAACAAATTCATGTGAAATAACAATGATGATATTTGGATTTAACACTTCCTTCATGAAGTTTGGTAACCCTAATTTCATATTTGACAGCCCGTTCATTTATATTTATTTTTTACTTTTTTCTTATATTAGGTCAGAAATGGTTAATTTGATGATATTCTGTATTTCACAAAACAAACATGCTAACAAGTGGTGGAACAGTGGAGTTAGTTTTGCAGAACTTTTGAAAGGGGGTGTACTATGCAATAATTAACTGAATCATTAAAAATGATATTTGGTCTGCATGCAGATTGCTTTAACATGCACAAATCAACATCCTATCTTACTGTCAACAACTAGCTCAAATTCTCACAACTCTCCATAACAAAATATTGGAGAATATGTGCCTGTGACCAAATCGTGATGTTTGCTGCTGTTGTCATAGAAACCACATACTTGTTTTGTCTAGATGACCCATTATATTGTGAAACCTAATTTGTCAATAGATGATTTTCAAGTAGAGTTTCTCTGCTAGCCAAGTCTGGTGTTATAACATATAACTATAAAAATAATCATTCAATTCAATATGAAACAAAATCCACTTGTTGGACGAATTCCAATATCTGCAGAGTCTGAGATCATTTATCATTGTGTCAATAGGACCTAAATATTTAATAAATTGATTGAGATTTAACCTATTTAGTTCACCTCAAGATAATAGCTTAACTCCTTCTAACTTAAAACCTTTTGATTTACAAGTTGTTCTACAAATTGATTAAATTGTGAATCCACCAAGCTTTCATAGATGGCAGCACCTCCTTGTGTAGAATGGATCCTCCAGCAAAACATTTTTGAAAAATAAATCTTTCAAATGGCCATTCAAAGCATGAAGTAATCAGAGCTTGATTCATACAGTGACAAACAACACTATTATTCAGTTTTATAAAAATTTATTGAAAGTAAAAATACCTGAATACCAAAATAAACATAAATTCCAAAGCACCAACTGTTGTTCTGTAAATACAACTTTACTGAATATGCAGCAAGTGAAGAGACAATGATTCATTCTGACATCTGTACATAAACATATTCAAAATAAACATTTGATATTTACACAAATAAAATTATAAATCTTACATTTCATGCATTTTAAATATTTTAGGTGTGAATGACTTTTGTATATCTAAGGTTTCATATTTCAAAGAATATAGTATATTACATGCATATGTTTAATAGTAACTGCCTTTTGGAGGTCATACTGCAAAAAGGTTTAAGCATTCATTTCATGACTGTGAAATTGTATCTGTTTTATATCCATGTACATTCATTTTTCTTGATTACATAATTAAATTCATGCAGGCCCATAGCCAGGATTTGCCAAGGAGGTTCACTTTTTTTAAATCTAGGGGGGCTCTTTTTTGACTCAAAAATAACCCAAATCACTTGGAAAGTTTGGCTATGGGCCTGTCGTGTTGTGTATTGCATTACATAGTATAAATATGATTAGGAAAAAGTTGGCAAAAGTAAATATTTCCCTTGATCTGACATCAATCATTTTGACTGCAAAATTGTATTTACATTCACTCACTTTCTTGATTACAAAATTATATTCATGAATTGTATATAGTATAAATATGATTATAAAAAAGTTGGCAAAAGTAAGCATTTATCATTTATGTACAAGCTAAATAGAATGGTATTGCAAATTTGACTTATTTTTATTTATCAACTCATTTATAGAAATAATGCTGTGTTAATTCATTGACAACACATGTTGTTGTTGTCTTCAAACAACTTGCATCAGATCAGGTCTATCATAGATTCCTAAAACCTTATACACGTATCATATACATATATGAGACTCCAACAAGGCGACTTAAGAATAAAAGACTGACCAATGACAAGGCTCTAACAAGCCACTGTCTACTGACATGAGGCTGATGTGATATGTTTGAGCATCAAGGGATAATTTCAAGGACAAATATGTTTTAAAGTCCCACTAAGGCCATTATATTTCTATTGATTCATGTCTCTGCTATGTAGTCCTGGCACCAATGATTTTATTCAATCATGTTTATGACAACTTCACTGCAATGTTCACTTAGATGCTCCAAATGTGTGTCTGTAGCACATCTCCCCTCCCTCTACACATGTAAGCTTGCATGGGGCCCCGGCCTTTGTAAACCCTGCACAGGTTGCCTTCTTGGGAGTGGATGAGCGACTGTTGTTTCTGAAAGGGTAAATGTAATAGAGATCTGACTTTGCAATGTATAGGCATTGGATTTCTTGAAAGCCAATGGTTATTAGTCAGAATCAATCCTGGTTCACTTGCTTCCCCATTTATTGGCTGGCATGCAGCATTATTCTCATCCACTAAGAGCGATCTCAAATAAAAATGCTCAAATTAAATTGTAAAATTTGTCTACCTGGAGGCAGGACGCACAGGTGTTACACTACGATTCCTGTTTTTTGCTGTGGCTTTGAGACTTCTATTTGGTGCAGGGGAGCAACTACGGGATCCTCTCTTTTGACTTGGGTGATCTAGAGTTTCCAAAAGGTGGCGCTTTACTAGGTGCACATTGTCCTGAAAACCAAAATATTTTGCATTGATCAAATATTGAGGATATATTGCAGAATAATACGAACGACTAAGTTTATCAAATCAAAAATAGTGATCATATTTTAAAATTCTAGAGAAGCATTAGGTTATACCTTCCATTGAGCTGACATTATGACAGAAGAATACTGAGAACAATATGCACCCAAAGATCAACACATAATCGACATGGGGACTGAATGTCAATTTTATATACCTTATTTGGTGTCATGCCGAAATCTCCCAAAACTAAACTGTCATCAGGCATAGGCGTCATAGGCTGGTACATGGGGGTAGAGAGTGGGTCATGAGGGGGCTCCATAAACTGAGGCATGTCAGTTGAGTTATAATCCCAAGATAGATCTTGACGGGTTGAGTCACCAGCTACATTTGATTCAGGTTGTGATGTGTCTGTGGAGTTAACAGTGGCATTTATAGTTGTTGCTGCTGTGCTATAAAGAAAATAAACAGAAAGTGATTTCATTTGTTGTTCTAACCAAATAGCCCGACCATTTGGAAATCACCTCCAAAATCTATTTAGCAAAGATTTAGGTAATCAAAATAGCAAACCTAAGATTTATACAGAATTAGAAAATACAAAATTGAAAGTTATATTTGTGATAATCATTTGTGCTGTCAGAAGCAGCAGGGCTCAAATGCAAAACCACCATACCTTTCACTTGGTACAATAGGGGACATTGAGAGACCAAGGCTTGCATTGCTGGCTTTCATGGAAGACTTCTTTCTCTCCAGGCACTTCCTCACTGACACCTTCAAGAACCAACTTCCTGGAAATAAATATTTGTTTCCCGGGTTTTAGATATGTTTATGGTGAAATAAGAAATAACTAGAAAAATATGACTAGCTCCGAATTAAATTCTTTATGCCTGCTCTGCATTAAGCTAATCATTAATACCAATTTTCAGATATTCCACAAAATAGTTCAATGTTACTAAGTATTACATTTTATATTTTGTCAACATGTGTACTGTTAAAATTGCTGCACAGCACATCATTTATAATTTATAAAGATATTTTGGAAAATCAACTACCCTTTTTAAGCGACTTTTTGGCAAATGGCTACTGACATATTACTTTTTTCCAAGCTCAACTTGTATTTATTAACTAGCTACCTCTCAAAAATAAGCAGCACAATAAGTATTGAAATAATGGTAGGGAGACCATTGCACCTTTTACTTTACACAAAGATCATAATTTCGTCACCTGCTACTATGACAGGAACTAGTACAGTGAGGTTAGTGAAGCTGAGACTCTGGCCCTGCTTTATCTCAGAGATTGCATTCAAAGGCAGCAGTATGAGGACAAGGAGTCTGGAGTACAGGGGGGTGTGCAAGAAGATCATTGTCACGGCAACAGCTAGTGCAAACAGGAAGTGGGTTGTTAGTGTATACAAGAAAAGCACCTTGTCCCCTGAAAAACACAAACAGTACAGCACAAAATGAAGATTAGAATACAAGCATTACATTACATTGTACAACTATACATGTATAGTAAAACATCTAAATTGGAGCATCCTTGTAAGTGGAACAACTACCTTATAAGTAAACACAGTTTGAAGTACAAATGGCATTCCAATTACACAGGTCTGACTATAAACAGGTTAACTGTACATACTGCTTAAGACGCGTGACATTGTTTATATAGAAAAACCTGTTATTAATAAGAGGAACTGCAAATGTTCACAATTTTCTGAGGTACCAAAGAAATTCCACTTAAACATGTTTTGCTGTTGTGTCATTCAGTGATAAAGAGAGATTAAAATATACGAAGAATAAGTGTTTTTTATCTATTAAAACAATATTACCTGGGTTTACAAAGACAAAATGAATACAAATTATTGATGGAATTCAAGATTTATGTCCACGTTACAGCATAAAGTATACTATCATCAAACAAAATGTTGTTCATGGAATACTAATGTGAAAAATAGAAAATTTTCCTACCAGTTCCTCCTAATATGTTCGCAAACCAGCCAAGTTTCTGGTCAAATCCCTGTTGCATCACAGACACTGTCTTTAACAGGAAGTTGATTGTATCGTTAACTTTACGAAGATTTTCTAGAGTTAGCTGATACTGCTGAGCTGTCTCATTCTGGTGTCGCATCATATCTTTACTGCTCTGATCTACAAGTTATACACAGTGATATTATCGCACACTGATAAGCAAAATGGCCACTATGGAATTGACAATACATGCCAATCACCTTAACAGATCAAGTTGAAAGGATCAATGGAATTTTCATGACAAAATTTATGTAGCGACGATACAAAGATGCATACAGCCAGCAGAGCAAGAAAACAACTATATAGTAATTACTTTATTTGGAATATTATGAATTTGTGAAATTAAATCATTGACATTGCTAAAGTTATGTTTCCCTTAATTTTTTTACAAGCCAAGAAAGTGAAGTAAAACTATATAGTCCCAATCATACCTATCTTTTCCCAAACCTTTCTCGCCTTCTCCCTCATGTTGGCAAGATCTTGCAGTATCTCTTCATGGGCTGCTCTCTGTGCCTCGTCCTGGCTGGCGATCTGACTGCTCGTCTTCTCTACAATAACAACACGACTCGATATACAAACTGTACATTAGGTTATTCAAGTGGCCTGTTCTTTTTGTGAGAGGATCATGTTCATAATCTTTATATATGCCATTTTAGCATTTGCGTAGCTGTATCGAACAATTACATTAACTGGAAAATCAACCCCACACTCTCTAATTTTGGGCAGAATTATGGATGGACTGATGGATGGATGAACAGATACCTTTAAGTTAGTCAAAAAGCAACAACAAATATTTGACCTTTAACCTGTTTAGCAGCGGACATTATAACAGTATATCTTTGTATACCACTAAAATGGAACCCCACCTAATTTTCCTTTGATCTGTTCTGCCATATCAGCAAGTGCTTTATTTCCACTAGATATAAGGGCTTTCTCATCTGTTAACTCCTTCAAATTCATAGCTATGTATTCCTGTACATGAGCTTGTTCTGCCTTGATGAGCTGCTCATTGCTGACCAGCTCTTGTTGGCCTTCAAACATCTTTCTCATTGTGTCACTAGTCAGTGCTCCAAGCTTCTCCTGACCATCCTACATGACAATAACTTATGATATTAAATTGTAGAATACAACTTTGATTTTATACATGTAATGCTATATTGCTCTTGTAAAAAGCTATTGTGTGTTCATTCTCCTTCAAATGCAAGCTGGGAAATAATATACATTGTAGTGGATGGGAGTCAGGGAGTTGGCTGACACTTTTTTTTGTAAGAACTGAAGGCAAAAATATTCAAATTAAGATTATATAATTCAGCCATACATAATGTGCTGCATGAAGTGGACAGTAAGAAGTATCTTGACAAACTGATGATTACTGTACATAATGAATAGAATTACAGTAAAACCTGAGTTAGTGAACACATCTCTCTAGTGAACACCTATTAACAGTGAACGTTTTTATTCGGCAAAACCTTTTTCTCCCATTGACTCCTATGTTAAAGTGCAATCCTATAGTGAACACCTACCAACTATGAACAGTGAACACTAAACCCTGGCAAAATCAATTGAATTATCCTGTCTCTAGTGAACATTGAATCAGATATAAGATTTCTCGCGGATTTTCTGCAACTGCCTTATCAGAGTTAAGCAGTTTATGTTTATATTACCTGCCAAAAATAATTAAAAGGTCAATTTGAGATCTTGATCTCTTCTATTATAATAGGATTTATTAGTACTGATGCCCTTTTAGGGCCAAACGTACATCCAATATACAATTTTCAATAACAGTAAATATAGGCAATAAAGTAAAGAAAATAGGATTACATTCTTCAAATGACATATAAAATGTTACTTTGATATAAGAATCCTGTCTCTACCCATCATTAGATACTTTATCATGTCAGCAGATTCTTTTAATATGATCCCCTCACTCGTCAATAGAAAAATTGTCTTTTGGTGGTCATTCATGTTTTTAAAATTACGACACAGGTTTTCAAGTTTTTCAATATGGGATTTTCTGATAAACTCCAATTTTTTACATTTGAATAAAAAGTGTGTTTCATCTTCTATAACCGAGTCCTTGCATATTTTACAAAATCGACTATTAAGATCAGTAATTGGTTTTGTATATCGGCCTCTCTCTATCTCTAGATTGTGGGCGCTTATACGTAATCTAGTTAAATGTTTAGCATTTGAAAGTGTCGTTTCTGAAAGGTAGTGTTCAAATCCAAAGTGCGATTTTAGTTGTTTAAATAATCTAAGTTTCCCCCCATTCCCACTTATCAGATTCTTCCAATATACTTGATATCTCTCTATTAGTTTCTTTTTGACTTTAATAGCAAGCCTATTTGTGCTCATCTCTATGTTTACCCTATCTTCAAGATTCAATTCATCAGACATTTTTATTTTAATATGGCACAGTATATTTTTGAGTTGTTTGTGCCATGTAAATGTGTTATTTGTTAAATCAAATGTTTTACTCATAATTAATGAATCGTTTAGTAAACTCCCATTTGAACTCAACTCTAAATGACCGAGGTATTTGATTTGTCTTTTTATAATATCAACTACTAAAGGTATTCTTCCCAATTCTCCTCTTACTGCCATGTTTGTGGCTTTTCTATGGACCCCGGGAACATATTTTTGGAACCGAATATGATTGTTTTCAATTAAAGCACTTTCGTATTTCTGTTCAATATCTCGATTAGTTTGGCAGTCACGCTTGGTATATAAATCATTACACCATATTTCCGAACCGTATAAAGCGACGGGTTTGATAAGTTGATCATACAATTTCATTTTCAGTGAAGACTTCATCTCTGTGCCGCTTGTCAATTGATAAAGTTTAAACATGGCTTTATTTGCTTTTTCTTTTATGTTTTGTTGGGCCGGTTTAAAAGATCCCGAAGCACTTAAGACAATTCCCAAATATGTATACCTTTGAACATTTTGTATATTCTTACCATTTATTTGAAATCGTTCTTGACAAACTTTGCCACATTTCCAGAATTTCATAATTTTTGTTTTGTCAATGTTAATTTCAAGTTTCCAGTCATCACAGAAGGATTCAAGAGTGTTCAGTTTTAGCTGCATTCCTTTTTTACTAGTATCAAATATGACTAGATCGTCTGCAAATAGCAAACTGCTAACATGTTGAGTTTCAAGGAACGGAGATTTCCCAACATTATCAAACTTTTTTATAATATCATTTATATATATGTTAAATAATAATGGACTGAGCGAGTCTCCTTGTTTTACACCCCTATCACATGAAAACGATTCCGTATAAGTTGAATGATTAAGTTTTACACACGCCGTGGCATTTTCATACATGGTTTTAATGATTTTGTAGAAGTGCCCTTTAATTCCTGACTTTTGTAACTTATACATAAGGCCTGTGTGCCATATCGAATCAAATGCCTTCTTTAGGTCCACAAAGCAGGCATAAAAATTACTTTTATTTTGATGAACATGTTTGTCAATAAGAGACCGAATTATAAATATATGGTCGGTCGTTCTTGCTTTCTTCATAAAACCTGCCTGGTTTTGTGAAATAATATTATTTGATTTGACAAAAGCATAAAGGCGATTATATAGCACATTGGAGAAGATTTTCGATAAGCATTCCGAAATAAATATGCCACGATAGTTACCTGGTATTCGAGGGTCATTTTTCTTGTAAATTGGTACAATATAGGATTCATTCCACGATACTGGGTATTGGTTATTACATAATATTTCATTGAATATCTTGCAAATGCGAGGAATTAAAATTTGCCTTCCTGCCTTTACCCATTCATTAGATATTCCACTTTTACCCGCAGCTTTTTTATTTTTCAGTTGGTTTACTACCATATTGATCTCTTCATATGTTATCTTGTAACTAAGTTCGTCAAAATTAGGCTCGTTTTCTAGTTTTTTCAATCTATTTAAAATATCGTTGTCATCATTACTGTTATTTGAAAATAATTTAGAAAAATGATTTTTCCATTCAGATGCCTCTATATCATGAGAGGAGTTAAATGAATTGCTGTCTTTTCTGAGGCTACTGAGAAGCTTCCAATATTCAGAGGGGTTATTTTCTTCAAAGTCTTCAAGTTTCAATATTAGACTGTTTTTGAATCGTTTATTGCTTGACTTACATAATTTTCTATATTGTTTGAGTACATGGAAATAGGATTTTCGAGCTTGTTCGTTGTTCGGTGATTTCACCAGTTGCAAACCCAATCGTCTAACGCGCTTATTCAGAACGGAACAAGAAACGTTAAACCATGCTTTGTTATTCCTTTTATTAGGTCGTGATTTTTTTCTCTTCTTTAGAGATAATGTCGCTGTTGTAATAAGTAAATCATTCAATTTATTCATACTTTCATTTACCCTGTTTTGTGAACAGTGCTCAATAAGCCCATCCAATGACTTTAATTTAGCTGCGATCGGCGCTGTTTGAAGAGTTTCACGAAAGACAGATGGGGATAAGTTATCCCATTTGAATGAATTCGCCTTCGAACTTACATGATTTTTTTTGGTGCAGATAGGATTCTTATAACAATTTTCTACTTTAAGTAACATGGAAATCATGCAATGATCTGATAAAGAGCTTAAACTATCATGAACCTTAAATAATCTTATTCTATTCATGATTGACTGTTTTGCAAGGCAATAGTCAACAGTACTACTACCATTGTATTTATATTGAAACAGGTGTGACTAATTATAATTCTTAATAAGCTTTGTTTTTGTTACAAAGGATATGCGTCTGGGATTGATTGCTTGGAGATAATCTGGTTAACTATTATTACCTCTATCTGCTAAGTCCCAACTTAATATTTTTTCTCATCCCGTCAATTTAAAAAAACGATTGGATCAAAATTATAATTCATGATCATTTCACTATTAACTGCATCTATCATGTCCTTTAACTAATTCAATAAAGTCCTTTAACTGACTCAAATGTCTCAAAAATTCCACTATTTAAAGGACCATCTTGATGAGATAAAAAGAATTATATAGACATAAAAATTTGACAATAAAAGGATGAACATTCAGATGACAGTCAGTCTAAAATAAGTCTGTTTGTATATAGCATTACAACAAACTAAATACTTAACGCTTGAGTGGCATGGGTTAATATGGGTAGAAAATACAATTTAAATTTATTATTCAAATATAAATATGTTTTAATTCTTTTTAAGACTCATTTTAGTTTAATAAAATGTGCTGTTTTAACCAACATGGAATTGTGGATATTTTTCGATTACATGCACCTTAATGTAAGAGTGCCACTGTTAAAAAAGTGTATATCTAAATAAATAAATAATTAATAAATAATTAAATAAATATTCCCTCCTCTCTTTTAATAGCTGGTCTCTTTATATAATACGGCAAAATGCCGCGAAATCAAATCATTGCTGTAGTGAACACCTACCAACAGTGAACATTTTTTCTTGGCAAAAAATTGTTCACTATACGCAGGTTTCACTGTACTAACATTTAACTCATTCATTGCATTAAGCTGACTCTGGCTTGCATGTAACATCTTGTTGACAGTTAGTTCTGTATTCATCCTGAACTGTTGCTGTCTGGTCTGGTAACATATTGCCCTCGCTCTGTTGCTTACGATCTGGTACGAGTTCCACATAGTTGGATCCATATCTTTTGTACATTCTCCTATTGTCTGCAAATTATCATCACCATCTTTACAAAAGTTTCATTGGTTTAGACAATCCTTTAGTTTCCTATTTTTATGTTTCCAAATATGTTCTTTATTCTTATCATCAATGTGTTAAATATCATAAATAATGTACCATGAAACAGGCCGACTGAATCTAGTATTAGACCATAACTGATAGTATACTCAGACTGTGACTGAACCTAAATTTAGACGATAACTGAACAGTGAACCTAAATTTAGAGCATAGCTGTTTTAAATGTACCTCCATTCAGAATGTATCTGTACCTACATTTAGACTGAAACTGAACTTTCATTTAAATCTACATTGAGACTGTACCTACCATTGATGGATAACATGGAAATGTCTGCCTATTTTCAGCCTGTAACTGACAGTTGAGTAACTGGACTGCAAGTTTACCAATATCTTCCTCTGCCAAACTGCTACAGCTGGACTTCAGTTCAGCAACTACCTGGAAAATTTAATCAAAATGAAATTGTGAATAACATTCTTCAAAAACAGGGCTTGCGCTCTTGAGACTCCTCTCCCTTCTTAAGCAATCCTGAAGCTTCCCGTTTTAGTCCTGTTGGATGCAATTCTGTCAGAAATTTTACTGACTTCCTACTTGAAGATCTGTGTTATTTTTCAGGAACTCATTGCATACAGTCTAGAATTTCAAATGTGCAGAAATTGTAAATAAATGTACCTAGATTATCAGTTGTGGGTAATCAAAGATAGACCATGTATATGGAATGAGCTATGTTTACATGAAAATAAAACAGGCTGCAATTAGGATACAAAAATAGACTCGTATCAATTAATAAACAGTTTTTTATATGCAGATTTAAACATATATTTAGAGTAAAGCATTTTAATAATTATTCTGGAAGAGCATACAAAAGATGAGGGTCCAAATAATGAAGAGATAGTTTTGAGCATTTAGGAATATGGAATTGATGCAGCTGTTTTGAGTTAGAATGATGAAGATTGATATTTATATCAAATAACAATTATTTTCAATAAGGGTTAGGCCAAGTAGGGTTCATAAGTTTGTAGATGAAAAATAAGAAACTACAGTCAAGTACAATATCAGTAGATGAACTGTACTCTTCCAGTACAAAAATGAACATGCAGAAATATATTCCCCTGTTTGTTGGGATACTTGCAATGGTATTAGAAGGAGTCTTAGATGGTTTTAACATATATGCGGTAGCCTTGAAAGCTACCTTCAACTATACAATGACAGAAGTTGAGTATATAGCCACTGGTGCACAAATTGGTCATTGGGGCACAGTTCTGCCAATTGGCCTGGTATATGACAGGTGTGGACCTAGGGTCACAACCACATTTGGTCTGATTTTCACTGGACTTGGATTTACATCATTGTGGATTACTACAAAGTTTAAAACATTTTTCGCTGCAAATGCCTGGTTGGTCTGTTGCATGCAGTTTGTCACATATTTCGGAACTGCATTTAGTAACATTGCAGTTACAGGTGTGAACTGTAAAAATTTTAAAGGTCGACATCTCGCCACTGTACTAGTTATTCTCGGTTGTGTTATTGGGATTGCCCCAACAATATTTAGTGCCATCTATCAGGGACTGTTTGTTCAAGGCCACATAATAGATGCAGAAAATCAAAAATATGGGGATTTTATGCTGTTTCTAGCAGTTTTCTCTGTGATGATTAACTTATAAACTATAACATTTGTTCAGGAAATTCCTGCAAACGGAGCGTGCCAAGAAGATGAGAGTGAATTGAATGAACTATTTAAAACTTCTGAACAAGACAGAGTCACTAAATCGGTTCAAAATAATCCTGATGAGAAAAACACACTGATTCAAAATTCAGATACTAAAGACATAACTGTATGTTCACCAGATCTTAATGTTTGGCAAACTATGAAAACATTGGAATTTTATTACCTCTTTCTTATAACTGTGATTTTAGGTGGAATTACTACAGCATTTATCAATAACATTACAATCATACTAAAATCTGCTAATCGAGGAGATCAAATAGCATTGTATACAATTGTCCTTCCAATTTTTGCTTTACTGGGACGAATGTTTGTTGGGATGATTAGTTATATTATAACTTATAAATGGCCTTGTATGCCTAAATCAGCGGGTCTATTACCAAGTTCAACATTCCTGTTTATCAGCTTAATTATTGCAATATTCTTTTATGATGGATTCATTGGCCTGCTCATCAGTTCAATTTTGATGAATTTCTCCCTCGGAGTATTTTTTGTACAAATAGAATGGGTTGTTATTGAATTATTTGGTTTTAAATATCTCGGTCAGAATCTTGGTGTTATGTTTTTAGGACAAGGCATTGGGTTGTACGGGTTTCAACAATTCTTTGCATTTAGTTATGAACTTAACTCCTTACCAGGATCAAAAGAGTGCTTTGGAGAATCTTGCTCAAAATGGACATTTGTTTTATTTGCAAGTTTATGTTTTTGCGCAATAATTTTAAACATTTGTCTTGTGAAAATTGAAGGAGATGCTGCATTGAAGCGGAATGAACACATGAACAAGAGTCAATCAGACATCAGTAAAAGTATCCCACACAAGTAAATTAGGGTTGTTGTATTATGATTTAGCATTTGTCAATGAGTCATATAAAGCAAATTAACTGTAGACTTTAAAGGAATATTCCTCCCCGATGCAAATATGCTTTTATATTGTAGGTAACACATGTATGTACTAGATGATATATGATATTTTGGTGAAATAAATTATTTTAACAATAAAAAACAAATATGAAAATTATTTTGTCTTGTTCCATGTAAAATGAATTCAAGATAGTTTTTAAGGGGCGTGGCTTAATAATTGACGTCATCGACTCTCATCATAGATCGTTATCTTATTGGCTGATCAGATTGTTGATAAAACGTCACAAGTCTCGTCTGCGCATGCGCGAGACGCTACTCGGCATATTGAAAAAAATATTGGAAAACACGCAAAAGATGAATAACTTTGAAGATTTTGACGACATTCTGGGGGATATTGACGATACCTTTGGTATACAGGGTTACCAGTTCGAGCCTGAATACACAGAAGAAGAACTGAGAGAGATGGAAGTAGAAGAGGCCCGTTTGAGAGACGCAGAGGCTGAAAATGAAATTCCCGAAGTCCTGGATTTCTGCATCTGCAAGAAAACAGATCTTGAAATGGGATGTGATCGGGCGAATCTTCTAGATTCCAAAGAGGCTGTCTGTTGCCGCGGGGAACAGTGGATAGATCTCCTATCTTCAAAGTGCGGCCAAGAGGAAGAATGTATTACAAACCATGACGATTTTGCTGTCGTCATTCTGCATCCAGCCGTACTTCTGTTGGCCTTTTGCAGATTCTTGGATTTCAAGAAAAGGAAGTGCGCCAGACCCAATTCATTGACAAATAGGTAAGTTCAGTTGGTATTTCTTGAACTATTTCCTGATAGGCCTATTTGTTTTGGAAGGACTAATTTCACTGAAAACACTTGACTCCACTTCTGCAGTCTGCCACTTGGTCAGCTCTGTAACTTGTAATCTTAGACCCCGGGGCTTAGGCCTAGCATAGCCTAGGCCTAGGCTACAACTTACAAGTCTGTTTCCAATTAGGCTAGGCCTAGAGTCAGTCTGTTGAGCTTTAGGCTCAAATATTCAGAGGTGAAAATCAATTTTTTACAATAATGCCGAGGCCTACCTGCTATAAAGCCTAATCTTCATTTTTATCCTAGATACAGAAAATGTCTGTTCACATAGGCCTAGCCTAGCTCTTATATTATAATAGATCTAATTATGTATAAAGCGCAATGAAACTAAGATCATTTTGTATATGTTTTTCAGCCAGTCCAGACTCATGGCGTATCGTCAATTTGTCACCTGGGCCTATTGTGGCAACAGACTGGGAAAGAAAAACCGAGTGGTTATCCCTGCCTGTGTGACGGAGCGGATCAGACAGAAGTTCCCAAAGGCTGAGGGAGAATCCTATAAAGGTTATGCAGATTATTTGGAGGAAGAAGATGATGTTGAAGTGTGACCTGGATTGAGGTAATTACCTGTAAAGAACTGTACTTACATTATTCACATTTCAAAAAATATAATCAAGTCCAACAGCAAGGTATATGCATTATATATGGAACATAAATCTGCCATCACTAAATCTAAGATGTGACAATCAAATCAATTCAACTTGGAGATCATTTTGCCTTGGACATTTGTTTTACATATTGTTATTGTTTTGAATATATATATAAATTTGGGTTTCTTCTGTATTTTCAGTCGGAGAATTTGAACTGATGAACACCATTGGAACATCATTGGAGAGGAGTCTAGCAACTGTAAATAGTGAATACAATATATCACATATAGTTTATGCGATATTGTAAATACATGTAATGTGTATCATCATATGGAAGTTCAGTGTATATATGCCATATATGGATATGAATGACTCACAACTAAATCATCATCACATATTGCAGTATTGTATGCAGTATTATGATGAATAACTAGACATATCATCATATGGAAGTTCAACATATTATATATGGAGATTGATGACTCACAACTACATGGTGACTTTATATAGTGTGTATATGCAGTATTGGAAATAATATATATCATCAAATGGATGTCAGTGTATATATGGAGACTGGTGACATATTGTATATAGTGTATATACTCAAGTACATATGTACATCATTACACAGAGCTTCAAATACAATTCGTAATACATGTATAGACAATATAAACACTATTTGTGTATTATGGATCAGATTATAAAGTAATTTATTCGATACATATTTGGACTTAGAAATACATTCAAACACAATATGTGATGCTTGATAGAATGGATAATTTTGCTTTATTATATAAATGTTTTCATAAATAGAATTGTTTCATCTGTGCTAAAATAACTTGCAGTCAGTTTTTCAGTCTAAAGTTATATTTTACATGTTCTTGAAAATACTTCTTTCACTTCTCAAATTGCCAATTGTTTCCAAGAATAGACTTCTGTTACCTTTTGTTCAAAAATGGATATTTTCCACAATGAGATGTGGATCTCAATCTCAGTGGCCAGAATCATGTAAATAGCTGTATAAAATGTATGTGATACTTAGATACTGTTACTGTCAATAAACAATTGTAAACAACAGTCATTTTTATGTTTCACTTTTTATTGGTCGGCGAGTTCCTGACATCAGCTCAAATCACAATTATTAGGCTTACATTTATGCAAAATCCACTTTATATTTACCCTTATTTGAATAGAATCCCTGTCCCTTGAAAAAATTAATTTTTATACCAACTCCAATAGGGATTGTCCCTAATTTGACATATATCTTGTAAATTGAACTTTGTTTTTTGAATACTATTCTCATCAGCAGGTTCTACCAGAGAAAAAGAAAAATCAAAGTAGAAAATGATTTTGAAGAATTTTCATATTTTTCACTGACTGCTATGTATATAGCCTACATACTTTTTCTAATCATCAAATGATGTTGAATGTAAACTGTTAAAAGTCATGATATAATTCAGCAAAAATTCAAAACAGTGTGTGAGTGATATTATTCATAATATGGAAATTACAATAAAAACTGAAAAATCTCAAAATACTAAACTTGGGTTTCTATGTTTTTACACATAGGGTTGTCCCTATTTTGACATATTTATATATTCAGCAAAACTTTTCAAAATGGTGCGTGATGTTATACAGTATATCATAATGAAATGACAATGAAACCTAAAAATATAGCAAAATACTAAACTTGGGTTTCGGTGCTATTTCCATATTTTTACACTAATTCCAATGGAGGTAATCCCTATTTTGGCATTTCTCAAAGTCCAATCTTCTAAATTGAACTCAGTTTTTTTTAATACTAGTACTATTATTATCAGCAGGTTCTACCCAAAAAATCAAAGCAGAAAGTGATTTTGAAGAATTTTCATATTTTCACTGACTGCATATATACCCTATACCTGTTTTTTTCAAATTGTCAAATGATTTTGAACGTAAAATGTTGAGGTCTTTATATAATTCAGCAAAACTTCAGAACAGTCTAGTCCTATATATTATATGGAAATTATAATAAAAATTGAAAAATGTAGCAAAATGCTAGACTTGGGTGTCAGTGCTATTTTCATGTTTTCACACTAAATTCAGTGGAGGTAATCCCTATTTTGACATTTCTCAAAGTTACATCTCGTGAATTGAATTTTGTTTTTGGAATTCTATTCCTATTTATAGTTATAGTTTATTTCATAATATAACAATGTAAAGTACAAAACGTGTGCACTCGACACCCTTAGTAAGGTTCTACCAGAAAAAGTAGAAATTAATTTTTTAAAAACTGTAGCTTATCATTTCAGGATGGTGCAAGCCATGGATCACCAGGGAAGCTATTCATACTACAAGTGACACTGTATTGTATACAGGAGCAAAAAGTTGGGTTGAGTTTTCAAGTAACCCCCACAACTACTTATGTATTGAAATCTTGTGGTTGAAAACAGTAATTGACACAAAGCTAAAAACCACCAATCCAGCTTATTTTCAACTGAAGATTTCAATACATAAGTAGTTTTGGGGGTAAGGAGCAGGTGTTCTCTAGAATATTGCTTTCTTTGGCTATATATCTCATTACACACCACCATAATAAATATTAATAATAAAAAACAATTATTCTTATATGAGTTGTGTTCTTTATTCCATTTTTACCACATTTTATTTCCAAAAGCAAAACAAATTCCCTATACATGTAGTTTCGATAACAAAATCAATATAAATTGATTTTATAGTACTTGTCTATTGACTATAGCATTGTTTTATACTCATATTAGCAAGGAACTTGAACTTCTACTCTACAGTACACAATGAAAATATAGATTCATCAAAACAAAATATCTTCTATCAAAGAAATACCTATAGTAAGTATAAAGGGTGACCATATTGCCCCTGGTTTCCAAATTTGTTGTACAATTTCCAGCATTACACAATGATACATACAGTGTTTTCTTTCAAAAATCCCCATAGTTACAATGAAGGGTGACCACATTACCCCTAATTTCCCTAATTTGAGTACAATTTCTGTCATTGCACTTTGATAAATATAATTCTTCAAATATAAATGATTCTAAAATACTGGTCTTCTATCAAAGTAATACCTATAGTAAATATAAAGGGTGGCCATATTGCCTCTGGTTTCACTAATGTGTTGTACAATTTCCAGCATTATACAATGATACATACAGTGTTTTCTTTCAAAAATGCCCAGTTACAATGAAGGGTGGCCACATTACCCCTAATTTCCCTAATTTGAGTACAATTTCTGTCATTGCACTTTGATAAATATAATTCTTCAAATATAAATGATTCTAAAATACTGGTCTTCTATCAAAGAAATACCTATAGTAAATATAAAGGGTGACCATATTGCCCCTGGTTTCACTAATTTAGCAGTTGTACAATCTCCAGCATTACACATTGATACATACAATGTCTGGTTCTTTTGGTAGTTGTAACTTCCATTTCTCATTGATAAATATAATACGTTCTTCAAAAAATACAATGAAGTTACAATGAAGGGTGGCCATATTGCCCCTAGTTCCTTTAAGCATTTAATCTGGTACAATTTCTACAATTACACATTGATAAATATAATTATTTATAATTACTGTTGATACTAAAATACACAGACCTTTTATCAAGAAATTCCCACAGTAAATAAAAGGGGTGGTCATATTGCCCCTGGTTTCCCTAGTCTGGGAGACAATGAAACTAGTCGAAATTGTTCTTGTTGAAAAAGCATCCTACTTTAGCTGGCGTGTATATTTATAATGTCGTTGAAGGAGTTCCTCTCTATCAGGCTTTTGTAGGCTGGCAATGTTCTTGTGCTGTGGTACATTGTAGGAGAGCTGTCTAACTACACCCTCAGCCTTGTTGTTTAGAATCAAGGCCATGAGAAGGTTCATATAGTCATATGACTTGGCTTCCAAGATTGGTTTCATGACCCATAGCTTGCTTGCTTTTCTCCACACACTGTTGAATCTTAGTGCTCCAAGGGGCTGAGATGTTTTAGTTTCCTGAGTTACAACAGCCTGCTTCCTTCCTGTGTTGAAGTTGTGATCTAATACTGCTAGCTGGCTCCTTGCTGTCATCTGTTTTGAGTCGAACTCCAGACGTTTTGGAAGGTATTTATTCAGAAGTGAGTGAAATACTTCCAACTGCCCTGTGTGGAAAAACTTGGCCATGTGATGTAGATCCTTGATCAGGTTTTTGTCGAGGATGACAGATTCCACAGCTTTGAATCAGATCTAGCGAGTAGAATAACAAATAATTGTTTCAATTTTAGAAAATTCCTGGCTTATGTCATTCCTATTCACAGTTTCATGTCTATTTTCTAAAATTCCCCAAAGTGCACACTTTATTATTTCAGGGAAACTAAAGATTTTTACAATAATGTATTATTTTTCTATAAGAATGGTTAAAATTCTTATTACTTGGGAGAATTTAAACATTTTCACCCATTTTTGCACTTTGTATCTTTTATAATTTCACCAATTGATAACATATCGTGAAGCTTTTTGGGAGATATTGTATTTGACATTGTAAGGAATAGATTGGTAGGTCAATTGTACATGTTGCTTTTGTCACCCCCATATATCTGATTCTGCCTTTAAGCATAAGACATGTTAGTATGAAAAGCCTTAAAATAAATGGTTCTTGAATGTGAGGATTTAAAAGAAGAAAGTAAATTATAGAGAATTTATTTCATAATTAAATAATATGGACTATGATATGCTGCTAGATAACAAAAGGCATATGTTTTGGGTTGTAAATTTCAACTACATTTAGACTACATGTTATAAGGAAAGGGGTTTGTAGAAAAAAACGGGTACCGGGTAGTAAATCCTTCATGCTTGGTTCAAAATTGGTACCCGGTCAAAAAAACCGGGTACCCAAAAAACGAAAAATACGAATATATTACATATAGCATTAGAAAACGTGTAAGATTTGTTTTGAATTTACAAAAATGTATGTAACTTCCTTCAAAATTGAGCTAGAAGCTTCAAATAAAAAGCATTTTGAGAACTTTTTTCTTCCTCTATCAGCATGGTCATATTTTCATTGGTTATGGGGGGGGGATGCGATCGCACCCCCTCCTGGCTACGCCTATGACATTATAAGACGATTTGAAAAACATGACAAATCAATCTTACTCTATTTTCAATAGTTCCTATGTTGGTTATTGAATTGTTTTGATTATGATTTAAATATGTAAATAGCTATCGTTACTTTAGCAGAGAGGTGACGTGTGTTAATTAACATGATGCAACCTGTAAGATTTTGATAATTAATCATAATTTAAGTTATCACAATTTTCGACGAAATGTCCACTGAAGTGTAAATTGTTAAAGGAATATTCCTTGCCAGACCCTTTCTCTCTTGATATGGTAGCTATAATCATATTATATAGTTTCCATATTTAGCAAAACATGGGAAAATGTTTTAATATGGTCAATATTGATCATTTAAAAATCTAGTGCTTATTTCCAGTGAGCTGCCATCTTTTAAGATTTCTTGCAGGAAGTGATGTCATCAACTCTCAACTTCTATAACCTTGCCCATAACAGTATATGAAAGTAGCACAAAATCACTTCTAGACAAGTGATCACTACTTTCTGTGCAAAAATATTTTCAGGGTTTGTCAACTTAGAATAAAAGAAGAGATTTTCAGAAGGATTAAATAAGATACAAAGTTGAAAAAGAATGTTTAGCTGGTTTTGTAATTCTTAATAGCTCCTAACCTAATGCTATATGCAAAGTTGAGAGTCGATGACATCACTTCCTGTGTGAAATTTTAAAGATGGCAGCTTACTGGAATTGAGAATCACATTTCTAAGTGATCAAAGGACCTTATACACCCTTCATTGGGATCTCCCCATGGGAAAATAAAAATAATTCATCTGATTTTTCAAAATAAGTATTCTGCTTCAATTATTACATTTATATGCACACTAGTATCTTGTTGACCTATATTCAGCACTGTATTGATGTATAGGCCACTTATTAGGGTCATATTTCAATCATGAAGTATAGAGGCATAGATTCCAAACCAGGAAGTATTTTTGTGTTTGTCAAAATCCATTTACATCCTACGCATCCCTGCATCTTATCCAAATATGTTATTACATAATGAAAT